ATTGTTACTTTGAACAATCAGTTCTCTCTTAAATCAAGTTAGAATAGGAAAAAAATGATGGTACCTACATTTATTTATTTTCTGATGTTTTTCCTTGCTTTATGTAGATCTGAGCTTTTGATCCATATCATTTTTCTTCTTCCTGTAGAATTTCTAAAAACATTTCTTTCAGGGTAATTCTTCAAGGAAAAAATTACCTTAGTTTTTGGTTTGTTTGAAAAAATATTTATTTCTTCTTCACTTTGAAGGTTAATTTCAAAGAATATAAAATTTTAGATTGGTGTTTTTCTTATCACTTTCTTTACTTGCATGGCTTCTGATGAAAATTCTGATGTAGTTTTTATCCTTGTTTTTCCATAAGGTAAGGTTTTTCTCCTTATTCGTTTGGGTTCTTTCAATAATTTCTCTTTGTTTTTGTCCTTTGCATTGAATATGAAATGACTTGATACAAATTATTTGATATTTATCCAGTTTGGTGTTTATTGTGGTTCCTGAATCTGTGGTTTGTTGTCTATTATTAATTTTGAAAAAAACTTTGTCAGTTACTACTTCCACTCTTCTGTTTTCTTTTTACCTCCTAGTATTCTACTTATATATCTATTACACTTTTTGAGATTCTTTCATTATTCTTAGATAGTGTGATCGTTCCCCACCCCATTTTTTTTTTTTTTTGCATTTTAATTTGAAAAGTTTCCATTGACATACCTTTAACTCACTGATTTGTTCCTTGGTCATGTCCAATCTGCTGATGAGCCCATCAAAAGCATTCTTTTTCATTTGTAGTGTTTTTGATTTCTAGCATTTTCTTTTATACTATTTCTCTGAGCTTTCATATTTTCGCTTACTTAGCCCTATGTTCTTGCATGTTGTTTGCTTTTTCCATTAGAGGCCTTGATATTTTATTTAGTAATAGTTATTTTAGATTCTTAGCTGATAACTGGAAAATCTTTCACGTCTGAGTCTAGTTTTGATGATTGCTTTTTCTCCTCATGCTGTGTTTTTTCTTGTGTTTTAGTATGGCCTGTGATTTTTTTGAAAGCCAAATGTAATGTATCAGATAATAGAAACTGAGGCAAGTGAGTGATTGATGTGAAGTTCTATATTAATCAGGCTAGGAGATGGGCCATGTTTAATATTTGTTCTACCTGTTTATGCCAGAGGCTTCAAATTCTTCTAGTATTTGTGTCATTGTCTTCCCTTTTTTCTTTGGATTTCTCTAAGAACTCTTTTATAAGTTGAGCCTTGCAGCATTTTCAGCTTAATCCACAGTTATTTTTATTGCGGCCCTGTTGGTGTAGTGGTAAGGGGTGAGAGAGGAAAAACATTCTATAATCTTATGATTAAATCTCAGTCTTTTAGTGGAACTGTGTCCCTGGACTGAAACTTTTAGAATGATGTCATAGCTATATCTCCTCTCCCTGCAGCATCTGGGGGAGACTGAAATGCTGGAAGGGCCTGGATTTTGGTAATCCCCCTTCCCCTGGGTCAGGTAAGTCTTGGGTAAAGTGTTTTTCCTGGGGAGTAGGCTTTTGTTATGAAGGGTGGCCTGCTTGTTCCAAAAGGTTTTGTTTTTCCATCTTCCTGCCAGAAGCACAGGGGATTTATCTTGGCTCTTTACCAGAGTACCTGGTGAGGTTCCTGGAGGTAAAACCCACAGAAGGTTCTCACTGTCATGCAAATCAACAATCAGCTTCCAGCAATTCATCATACTTACATTGAAGTGTTTCTAGTGGTCTATGGATCTAGTGACTTTTGCTTCTGGTAGCTGATCTTATCTGTGACTCTCCAAATGTGCTTATCAATAGAGATTTTGGGGTGGTAGTTTGCCCTGTGACCTCAATTTTCCTCTAGGTACATAAAGAATCATTGATTTTCAGTTTGTTCAGCTGTTTCTTTCTGTAAGGATAAAAGTGATGACTTCCAAGGTAGTTGCATGTCAGGGCTGAAACCAAAAGTCTAGCAAACTTTTAATATCTCTCTATATTTAGATTTTTTCTTTAAAAAAACTTTCTTTTTGTTTTAAAATTTAATCTTGTTGTAATATGATCTTATTGCCAGAACACGTAACTGTTCTCTTTCTCCTTATTATTTATTTAGATTAATTCAAGACCAAATACTTGATATGTTCTTGTGTGTTTAAGACTAAGGATTATTAATAAATATATTTTACTAATTTGTAAAACTTACCATATATATTTTAAATAATACTTTAGGAGTTAAGAATAAGATGTAAAGTGGTTTTTAATCACCATTAAGTTTGTCTATTTGTAGTCTTAAATTTTACTTTGAAAATACAAATATTGTGAATTTTGCTTCCTAATTTATTTGCATTTGTCTGATGTAACTTGCCCATCTTTTTAAATTTAACATTTTTAATTTGACTTTATTTTTATTGCATCTTTTGTAGTTAGATTCTATTCTACCCATTTATAGATTAAGATGATAATTTAATCTGTTTTAAATGACAAAGTTTTGTTACAGAATATTGGACCCGTTGGGGGGGCAGATACTATTACTGAAACGACACCCCCCTTCCCTGGGTCCCTGGTCTAGGTCCTTTGCCCGCCGCCCTTAGAAATTATGGCTCTTAATGGCAGAGTTTGGTGAAAAGGAAAGGAACTGTTTATTCAAAAGTTATACAGGTTTTGAATAATGGATAAAGGTTGCTGTTAAATCTCAAAATCTCTTTAAAACACCCATCGACACACACAGTCCTGCCTTCCCCGCTTTGCCCAGTCGGGTCAGTCAGGCCAGTCAGGGGTACCGTCCTTCAGAAGAGAAAGAACAGAAGCCCGGGGCTCGGCTAGGCAGGCCTCTCGCGGTTCTCAGCACCATCCTCTGCGTTGCCGCGATCTCCAGCTCTTAATCCAAAACCACGTGGCACCTTCTCATGGCCCACTAGCAAGGGTCCTTTCTCCCCTCTATTTCCCGCAGGGGCTTCACATTGTTCCCCGTGTCTGCGTCCCGTAGTCTCCCACGCAGGCCCTATAACTCCTTCCCCGTTACCTCCTGCATTAAAGTTATGCAAAGCTTCCTGGTGAGCCTTGTTGAGATGCAAAATAACCGTCTTTGCATATGAGGTCTGAAGCTCTCCTGCTGTAATTGACATGCACAATGACTCCCCATGGCCCTGCTCTGTGTTTGGTATGAAGCTGGCCTGTTATTGACACGAAAGTAACTCTCAATGGCCCTGCTCCCTGTCTCCCACCCCTCATGGTGGCCCGCTTCGTGGGGCGGTAGGGGGGGATGAGAGAATATCCCATATTTTTCTTGGATGCCCCACATTCTGGACCCTGTTACAAATCTCCCCTTTGGGGATAGACTTAACGCACCCCATTACAATTTCTTGCTTATGAATTTTATGCACTTTTATTTTATTTTATGTTTTTAAGGATTTTAATTATTTATTTTAGAGAGGCGAAAGGAGAGAGAAAGAGAGAGCGAGAGAAACATAGATTAGTCGCCTCTCGCACACCACCAGCTGGGGACTGGCCTGTAACCCAGGCAGAGTGCTGGCCAGGAATCAAACTGGCGAATTTTCAGTCAGCAGGCCAGCGCTCAACCCACTGAGCCACACCAGCCAGGGCTGCACTTTTTTTTATATCTTATACCTCTTTGCATTTTCTGATTAAAAATAACCGAGTATATTTTTCTACACTTATTTTTTGGTAAGATTTATGGTCTCATTTTGGCTCTATTTGTTACCCTTAGTTTTTCTAATTAATTTTCTGATATATATATTTCTTTGATAGCATCTCCTGTGAAACTGTGTCAGTTGAGTTTACTGTCTTTGAAATGAGTCATTTAACTGACTTTTTATTGTTTAAAACATTTTTAATTGAGTTTTAAAATTGCCCCATTCAATTAAAATTTTAATATGAATTAATATGTTTTACATTAAAATTATTATAATTTTACTATTATATTCTCTTTTTCTAGAACAGTGCTTTTCAAATTTTTTGGACTCAGGGCCCCTCTGTATATATACTTCCATATCACTGAAAGCCCCAAAGAGCTAGCCTTTGTTCATGTGGGTTATATCTATTAATGTTTACCACATAGGAATTAAAACTTTGAACACTTAAACATCTTTATTTATTCATCCAAAACCCCCTCCCAAATTCATTATTTGCTAACATAAATGATACGTTTTATGAAAAATAACTATGTTTTTCAAAATAAAATAAATTTTATTAAGGAGATAACAGTGCTTTACATTTCTGCAAGCCCTTTACTAGCTGGTTCAGTAAAAGACAGGTAAATTTTACATTCTGCTTTTGCATTCAATCTGTTGTGATACCATAGGCCACATATCCTCTGGAAAATACATTTGTCAGAGAAGGAGAGACAGGAAGGGAAAATATACGTTTGTATTTGTTATGAAAAGAGTTTTTACTTTGGCGATACCTGAAGGGGTCACACACAGTCTCAGGGAGAGAGGTCTGAAACATGTATTACCAGAAATTGGCTCACATCACACAGAGGCTGGCAATCCAAAATCTGCAAGTGTGGGTCCATAGGCTGGAGCCCCAAAGAGCTGATGGAGCATCCAGACTGAAAGCACTTTGCTGGAGGATTTCTTACTCGGAGAGACTGGTCTTTTAGTTCTATTCATGCTCTCAATTGATTGGATGAGGCCCACCCTCATTATGGAGGGCAAACTGCTACTCAAAGTTTACCAATTTAAATATTAGTCTTGTCCCTAAACACCCTCCTAATTAACACATAAAATTAACCATTGCAATATCATATCAATTCCTGTAAAGATTTTAACATGTAAAAATTCAGTGTCTTCCTTAAAGGGTTCAGGTGAGTCTTTTTACAGTAATTTTGATTAGCACAGGGTGAACTCTTTCACTTTTATGTACAAATCTTTCTTAAGCTCAATGTTTTTCTTCTATTGCACCCTTGATTATTCTCTAAATAAATAAATTTCATTTATTCTGGTCTTTCCAGAAGGACACTATTTTCATATGTTGGTCCTCTGAGGACTATCTTTCATGTCTAAAATTTTCCAACCCCCACAAACCTCTTAGAAACCCAATGTCTACATTCACATCATGTTTTTGTTTCTCAGGATGCCCAATGGGGAAGAGAACCCAGAGGATCAGAACCCGGAGGAGCAGTTTCTCTATGAGTTCATTTTCAGGCTCTTCAAAGAAAATAAGGTGGAGATTGCAAGTGCAATAACGAAGCCCTTTCCCTTCTTTATGGGCCTCCGAGACCAAGGCTTCCTCCCTGAGCAGATGTATGAAGTAAGTGAGGAGACTTTCCTCCTGCTAAACAGCCCCTCACTGTATTATTGCAAACTTCAGGGTGCCGCAAACCCCTGTGTGGACCTTCACTGTCCTATACCTTAGGAGGCGACAGGCGAAGCAGAGCCACAGAAAGCGTTCCTCCTTCTGTAGTGAATGTTGGTGGAGGGACGGGGGATGGGGACGTGGCAGGATCGGAAGCGGGAATGCTCCATAGGTACAGAGCACCTTAGGTATAGCCATGCAACACGACACGGATAACTATAATTAACGTAAGTGAGTTTGGTAACATTACATTACAAAGCCCTCTTATTTTACGCACTTGAACCTGAGATTATTGAAACTCACAGGGAAGATGGGTCACATTAGGATAAATTTGAAAGCAGATGCTTGCTGCTTTCTCTCCAAATCGTTTCTTGTTTTTTAGACATCTCTGGAGCCCTATAGTGCAGCTAGAGCTGAGCAGTGGGTCTTCCTAAGGATATTGAGGACAAGTCTTCTCCTTATCTGTGAATTTTCATTGCCCTTTGGCCAGGTCCACAGCAGGGGAGACTGGGTTCCTGGGACTTCCAGCCAGATCAGTCCTGGGTGGAGGGTGGTGGGGAATTGTCTGGTCACTAAAGTGGCTGCTCATTACCAGTCAGGCCACTTGTGAAGCATCTTGGCCAGACTCCTCGGGCCCCCACACAATATTCAACTCTGAACCCACTTTTATTCTTCAAAGTAGCTCTCTCAGTGTAAATCAATGTCAAAGAGTAGGGTGCATGAAGTCTATGTGTCTTGTGGAGAACATTTAAGGGGTCATCTAAATATGTGTAACACTGTAACATTTTGTGAGAAAACAGATGGTTTACTTGCAATCGGAATATTCTATGACTCATAAGTGCATATTTACAAAATTTTCCATTCAATATCTTTAAGCATTTTCAAGAAGCTTGTAGAAATCTGGTCCCCGTGGAGACAGTGGCGTATAATATTCTCAGTGAACTGGAGAAGACATTTGACAAGACAGTTCTGGATGCATTGTTCAGCAATGTCAACCTCAACGCCTATCCTGCTTTACTTGAGATTTTCAGAAGCTTCCAAAGTGGTAATTATAGCTTTCTATGACATTGGGGGATTTGAGCCCATTTCATTCACTGATTCATTCATTCACTCTTCATTAATATTTGGCAGTTATTTTGAGGGACTACTGTGAGGCAGGCATGAGATAAGACAGTGTACATGACCTGAGGCTAACCAAGCAGTCCCACAAATGATTCCTCAGCTGGGACCTGAATTTGGTGTTAAGAAACATAGTATTTCAGTCCACTTTTTCGGGGGTGGGGGGGGTGGGGCGGTGGCAAGAAGCGAATTTTGCTCTTGTAGCAAAGAAGAAAGCCCTCTCTGATGTTTGCAGAAATGTTTAAAAATGAAAAGATTCCCTTTGGGTCAGAAGACTTTTCATTAAGTGCTTTGCTGTGCTAACTTATTTCTGCAAACAAAGAGTGAGGAGTCAGAAGAGACCATCAGTACCTACCCACACACTGCGGCCGGGGCAGCCGGTGAAAGCTACAGAAAGCCAAACAAGCTGTACTGAAGTATTCTGTGGCTAACAAATACAGCGTGGGTGAGGGAGCTAAGAAGCTAATTCCGAAGAGGAAAGTTGGAAGGAATTTTTGAGGGTCCAACACTCTGTGCCAAGGAATTGGATGTTTATTACTTGGGAAATAAGGAAGCGTTAATGATTTTTAAACAGAGAAAAAGTAAAAGGAGTCAATGTAAAGAATGGGATGTGTTGGTTTGCGAAAACCACATCTTGATTATAATAGGAGCCATCTCATTTCCACACTGTGCTGTTTCTAAGTCAGAGAAAGGGATAAAGAAATCAAAGGCTTGTCACAAATGTCAAGGGTGTCCCGGGGCCATGGGTACAAATGGAATGGTGGCTTCCTTTACCACCTACATCATAGGGGCTCTAATCCTCTTCACGGACTGGGGGGCACCCCAACCTTGGGCCCAGCGCTCACATCACAGGGGACCCTTAGCAGGGATGATCTCCCCCTTGTGCTCACTGTCACTGCCGGGGTGGGGGGCTGGGACAGCACGGCTCACTGCCTGGCCCAGTGCAGCTGCCCGCCTGCCCCCAGAGGAGGTTGCTGCTGGTACCTTCTAGAACCTGCCATCCCTGGGTGCTGAGGGTCAGCAGCCTAAAGCCTCACTTTTGGAAGGGTGGCACACAGGTGTGAAGAAGGCCCTTCATTTGTGAAATGCCTGTGCTTGGCGACCCTCTTTATGTTCTCCGGACTGCCGACCCACCCAGCGTTTACCCGCCGTGTCCTCCTCCAGACTTTGCCTGGACATGAAGTCAACCTGTCCTCAGCATGGCAGATGCATTCGCTGTTCTGATAGGTCCTGTCTACCTTCACCCCTGACTAGTGCCCTGACTCCTCCATGGGATTTACACCCCGAAAGTCTGCTCCAGTTACCTGTCTTTCTAGGCGGGCATCTTTCTGCATCGTTTGGGTGTTTTTCTCACGCCTTGGGAGTCTGGCTTTTTTATCTGTTTTCTGAGTCATCTTGACATGCAGCTCTGAAGTAGGGTGCCCTGGGTTGGTTTCCTGAACTTCTGGTTACCACTTCCTGGGTCACAGATGCAGCGGTGGTACAGTCATTTCCTGTTTGTGCCTCTAAGAAAAGATTCATTCCTGATTGTGCCTTAGAGAAAGTGACTTTCCTGTTTCCTGGGTCCCTCGCCCTCATTTCACCCTGGGGACATTCTAGTTTCTTTTTAGTTTTATGTCTGTTTGTTACCAGATTATCTTCCCTGACCCAAGATCTCCTTACTTCCTTCCCTCCTTCTTTCCTTCATTTAAAAAAAATTCTCCATCCTTAAAGATGTTGGGGCTTTCTTTTATTTTTAAATGTAGGTCTATTTCTCTATAAACATTACCTTGCTGCTGAAGAAATCAAACCTCTGTGCTTCTTCTCTATTGCTGTTGCATATAGAATTTACAAAACACATTCCGCATATACTATTTATCTTAAATTGGCTTTCACTGTTCTCTGATCATTTTGAAGGGGTTTAACCATGATTTTCAACGTGTCCGCTGTGTGTCATTTTTAAACCTTGAGATGTGCAACTCTGTGTGGAATAGCTATAAGGTTCCAGGAGCCACATCAAGTCACAGGTCATGGGAGACCCACAAAAGCCCAAGATTCCCTGAGAGCTGGAAGTTTTCCCTCTGAACTGCTGGAGTCCGGAACGTATCTGGAAGTGTCATTGTGAGGCGCAGCTCCCCGTCCCTGCCTGAGACCTCTAATTGCATTTTCTTTCTTCTTCTCAGTGGTCCATGACTACCTCCATTCCCAAGCTACTGATGATGAAGAGACAAAGGAGATACTTAACTCCCAACAAAGCTGTGGACAAGGTAATTAGGACTTGATAGAAACTTACTTCCTCATCTACTAAGACCAAAGGAGATCACAGATCAGGGGACTGAGCTCCTGAGTGGGGGGTGTACCCTGTGGGGGGGGATGCAGGAGGAGATGGGGAGCCAGAGCAGTGGCGGGTTGCGTGGGTTCCCAATTAACCAACCGGGTGTGGAATCTAAGAATATCTTCAGACAGATGTAACACCTCAGAAGCTGGAACATACATACACCCGAGGGAGAAGATCTTGCTGAGACCATAAGACAGTATTAAAGAGGGAAGTGACGGCTGTAGTTGTGAGTTAGGAATTCAGTGGGTCTGTGAAGGAGTAGGGGTTTGGTCCTTTGTAACAAGTCCAAAAAGGAAGCCTTTGGTATGTCTAAAGGAAGAAATGTTGTAAATGTTACTCATAATACGAGAAAAGAGAGGAAGAGAGTGAGCGGTAATTGTGTGTAGAAAAGAATGTAGAAGGAGCGGTGCTGTGCAGAAAAGAAGGGAGGGGAAAAGAGGAGTAAAAATGGGAGAAGAGAATAAAGGGCAGTAATGATTTTAACAGTGACGATAGAAACAACACCTAATTTTATGCCCCGCTAGGCATAATATCAGCGCTTCACATAGAACAACTCATTTAATGCTCGTATATGAACTGTGTATGGTTGTAACCAGTAACCACCAATTCTAACTTTTCAACCATCTTTTCATTTATATTATTAGTAACAATTAATCATTAAGTTATAACGTATATAAGACATTAATACTGAAAACTGTGGTCTCTTGTAAAATTACTATAAACCAGATACTCCTTTATGAGTAGTATCCCACTTAATCCTCATAGCAATGCTGCCATAGGGGGTTTGTTATTCCTGTCTTTCAGGAGAAGAAACTGAGGTGTGAGGGAGGATAGTTAGTGATGTGTGCAGACCACACCACTAAGTATCAGCCTGTCTAGGACTCACACCTTCTGCTTCACACCGGCTGAGAGTAAAGTCGCCGAGGCCCCACTGCTGGGCTTCAGATCTTGGCCCTACCATTTGCTTACTTGGGCAAGTTACTTAATTTCCGTGTTCAAATATCCTCATCTATAAATCTATATCTGTAGCTATATGTAAAATAATGTTGTTGTAGGAATTAAATAACTCAATTTATGCAAAGTACTTAATTTGTGGCACAGAGTGGCCCAATAATTCACGGCACAAAGTAATTGCTAAATGCTTACTACAGTTAATACAATGTATATCTGACTACAACAGCTAGACATTAGTTTTCCCTCACACACTTGCTGAAGAAAAAATTATTTTTCAGACTAGAGTAGCATGAGTGAAACAGCCTTTAAGCCCGGGAAGAAGCCATCATCAGGCCAAATGGTCTACAATACATTTATTCACTTGCTAAATGTTGATTTTTTTGCTTTGGAAATAGCCAATGTAAGAAAACAACATAAGAATACAACCAGCTTTGTAGAATGCCATTAATATGTATCCTTTAATTTGTACACCTCAGGTATTATACATTTTTAACTGTAGCAATACATTTGTATAAAATCTGGATCTATTTTAATAATCATACTTACTCTTTTTAACAAAGACAAATTGTTAAAAGTATAAAGTGTACATTGAAAATACAGAGTGTATGAAAATATGCTTAGAGATTCATCTACTACTAGGGTAGGGGAAATGAGACCGGGGTAGTAGAGGGATTAGTAGTTGATATTGGTAAAGAGTAAAAGAGGTGTGTCATGAAGGAAGGAGAAAACAAATTCTTCAACATTCTTAATGTGATTCAGATGCCATCCTACCTGGAGCCGAAATCCAAGAGAATCACAGTGATGGACAGCAGATGAGTACAAGGGAAGAGGATTCATCTCTCGACCCAAATATTTCAATACAAACCCAGAAAATGACAAATGAATCTGCCCAAGAATCTCAAGACGCAGGTAAAGCTGACTCAGTCCAACAATTGCCTGATGATTCTGAGTGACTTCAGCACATAAGGGACGGGGCTAAGGGCTGTGTCATGTGGTCATAACTCAGAAGGGAAGTCCCAAGGAGCCTGAAATAGGGCAGAAGAGTAGACCTGGTTTATATGGCAAAGGAGGGAAGGGGAAAACCACAAAGAGACAGAGAGGGTAGGATGCTCAAATAACAGAGAGAGAACTGGAGGGGAAAGACAAGAGATGAAGGGGAAAGAGGTGGAAGCCTCCTTGAGGAAGGCAGAGGCAAAAACACGGAGTGGCAGGAGTGGCCGGGGAGAGAGACGCCCTCAGAATGGAGGAACAAATAGTTCCTTGGGCAGAGGCGGCAGCAGGAGCCTGACTGGAATCAGAACTGTGAGTAATGGAAAGAAGTAGAATGAGGTGTAAAAAGATGAAAAGAGGCAGAACGAATGTGGAAAAATGAACCTTTACTCCTATTTCATACCATTCCAAGATAATTCTTATTGGGTCACACATTTAAAAGTCAAGGCTAAAGTTATGAAGCTTCTAGAAGAAAACACAGGAGAGTATCTTTGCAACTTAGGAAGGCAAAAATTTGTTATGCAAGACACAAAAACATGGGTCACAGAATAAAAAGTTGGGAAACTGGACTTCATCAAAACTAAAAACTTCTGCTTTCCAAAGACACCATTGAGAAAAAGACAGGCAAGTTGAGATATTGGGAAAAAATATGTGCAATACACATATCTGACAAAAGGTTTTACCCAGAGTATATAAAGAACTCCTATGAACAGATAATAAAATGATATACCACAGATTAAAAAAAAAAAAAAAAAAAAAGGACCTGAACAGACACTTCATGCAGAAGATAAAAATGGTCAACAAGAACATAAAGTATATTATGTCATTAATCATCAGGGAAATGCTAATTTAAAACCACAACAGACCACCATTCACTCACTAGAATTGCTAAAATAAATCAGACTGAAAACACCATATGTTGGCGAGAATATGCAGCAAATAGAACTTTTTCCTATACTTTGTAGGAATGTAAAGTGATATAACCACTTTGGAAAACTGTTTAGCAGAGTCTTATAAACTTAATCTAACCTAGGGTTCAGCCAATCCACTCCTAAGCGTGAGAAATGAAATTGTGTGTGCACACAGAGATTTGCATAAGAGTGTTCAGAGTAGCTTTTTTCTTAATAGCTAAAATCTGGAACCAAGGTTTATCAACAGGAGAGTAAATAAATAAACTACGATATAAAGTAGAACACCAATCAGCAATAAAAAGAGAATGAACTACTGGTATACATAGTAACATGGAAAAATCCCAAAACCATTATATTGAACAGAAGAAGACAGACACAAGAGTACATGCTGAGTGGCCCTGTATGCAGGAGCCCCGGTACAGGCCAGTACTGAATCAGAAGGGAAGAGCTTGCTAATGGTGATAGAAGTCAAAGCAGTGGTTGCTTGCAGTAGAAACTGACCGGAACACAAAGAACAAGGGAGTTTTCTGGTATAAAGGAAATGTTCCAAATCTTTCTTTTTTATACTCACAGTTACATTTATTATAGGAAAAAGATACACTAAAATTAGCCAAAAGGTGCAGAGGGTGTAGTCTGGAAGGCCTCCAACAGGTTCCAACCTCAAAGCATCCCTTTTTCTCAGGATGCATTCCCCTCCTGACACTGACGTGTGACAATGCCCACATAGTATTGCCAACAATATTCCGTGCGCATCACCACTTCAGGAAGTTCGCCCACGCTTTGGTGGGCAGAGTTTTTATTGGTATGATTGATTGAATTGTGGTTGAATTGAGTCTCTAGTCCCTACCTCCCGTCAACCTGGCCGGCCCACACAGAAAACCTGTCTAGTGTGGCTGCCTCCAACCTGTGTCATCTCGTTAACATAAACTACCAGGTGTGGTCCAAGGAGCTCACTGTGAATAACAAAGACACTCCCAATTACTTGAGAATTTCCAAGCATTTAGAAGTTATCTCCAAGAGCCAGGATGATACCAGACCACTGTTTTGGCAAGGCCAAGCTCTTTACTATTACATAGGACCCTTTTTCCTTTCTTTCACTTTTATTTATTTCCTTTCTAAAAATTGAATTTATTGGGGTGATATTGGGTAATAAAGTTATATAGGGTCAGGTGTATAACTCTATAACACATCATCTGATTATTGTATTGTTTGTTCAACACCCCAGGTCAAGTCTCCTTCCATCACCACTTACCCCCGCTTTATCTCCTCTTTCTACCTCCCTCACCCCCTGAAATCTTTCAAATATAGACTATGATGTTGGTTACACAACTGTTTTCAGTGATGTGAGGAGCATCTCAATGAAAAAGGGGAGCAAGTCTCTTGTTTGGCCTCTGGTGGAGTCTTTGGTGCTTGAATATTAGAGTTCAGTTTGAGCACACAGAGGTCTTTTCTCTGGTCTTCCCATATGTGTTTTCTGTAACTTTCTTGTCACCTTCTGCAGTGCGCTGTGAATTCTCACCTGTCCACATGAATAATGTAGGAGGGCCAGAAGATAGAGCCAGCTTATCGCCACGTGATGGACAGGGTAACTATCACCTAACTTATCAAATCTGTATTGTCTTTGTTTTTTTGACCTGTGGAAGCAAAGGGGACATTTTATCTTATTCTAGGCCTGTGCTAGCCCTACTTCCCCTACATGCGCTTAGCTGCCCACAGCTGTGAGAGAGACCATGAGAAAAGGAATCTGAGCTCCTGAGTAGACAGAGTATCTGTTGATGAAAAATATAGAAAGAGAAATTAAAAAAGGTAGACAGGAGGTAATATATGACAAATTACAGGAATGGATCCAGGTTTTTTGTTTTTGAACATACAATTCTACTATTCCAGTTTGGGATGGGAATAATTTTCAATTACTTTCCCAGAACAATTTAGGTTACTTTCTAAATAATGGGACATGTCAGTTTCATGTGGGAAACCTTCATTGTGCAGCCAGCCAGTTGGAGGTCCCTGGCACTGTAGTCAAAGCCCAAGATAATTTTGGAGAGGATGAGAGACAGGAACCTGGAGGATTAAATCCCAGGGAGATGAAAGTTAAAATAACAATGGCAGACAGAACGTCAGGGTACAGTCAGAGATACAGAGATGGAAAGGGAGAAATATAAGGCATATCATAGAACAGATAAGCTTAGAAAATATTTTAAAGATCAGAGGTAAAAATTGAGAGAAAAGCATCTGGAAAAAGAAAGATGGAGAGGAAAATAAATAACAAGAAATGGGAAAAGTCAGGGAGAGGTACAAAGGCAACCACATGGAGAAAGAATTAAAGGTGAATGGATGGAAAATAGGTTGAGAGTGAAAATGAATAACAGGGAAAAAGGCACAGATTGGGACACAGCAGGTTTGAGGTAAGAGCTGGGTATAGGCATCTTTGGGTACAAGCGTTGATAACATTAGCTGTGAAGTTTCAGATGGAGCTGTCCTTAATTATCAAAGTGGCCCTTGCAAAATATTCAGATGGCAACAGGCTCTCCCTGAATGTTCCAATGATTCCCAAGATCGAATCTCCACCCAGGCTATCTTAGACCTGAGGAGAAGGGGTCTGACAGAGGTCTACACTTGAATTTTTGGAAGAGCCTTAAACTAGGCAGTTCCAGATCTGAAAGCAGCATCTTCATTATGCATACTGGACCTAATCCCTGCTCAGCACTCTGCTCTCAGTGAGGAATCACTACCGTCCTGTCGTTTTTCAAGTTGGAAACTTAGCAGTCATCCATGATGGCCTTTGCCTTCAGATACATGCCAATGTCCCACGTAACAGTCATTGTCTTTCAGAGTATCTCCCACCTGTCCTCCCATCACCTGGCCTAGCCTGAGTCTCTAACCCAGATCGCGGTCATGGTTCTCAGAGCAACAGCCATCTTCTCATCTCCTCGTCCTAATCTTGCTGCCATGAAATAGGTTGTTTGCATTTCAAGTAGATGGGACATTTGAAAATAAAAATAAGATTGTATTATTTTCCCACTTATTAATAGATGAGGATTAAATAAGTGTTTCTTTGAGTGGCATCCAAGGTCACCCTCAGTGAGCCACCTGCCTGTTTCCCCAGCCTCATCATCTGCCTCCTACTCTATTCAAGATAGAATAGACCTTCTTTCCCAATGATTTTAATTGTTGACTTTTTCTTTCATTTCCAAGCCTTCTCAAATGCCTTTTCAGAACAGTCTTCATGTTCTACTACTCTCCAATTACCCTCTACCCCCTGGTTAAATCCTGCTTAAATTAGACTATCTCAGAGAGGCTTTTTTTTTTTTTAGAAAGCTAGAAAGAACATTTGAGAGACAGAGTAGGCAAGGAAGAGCAATATCACAGAAGGCAAGAGACAAAGTTGTAGGAACGGAGAAGAGAGAAATACACCCAGAGAAAGGAAGCTCTAAGAGACACCAGCAGAAACAGAGGCAGAGATTGGTAAAATGTACAGAATGAAACAGGAAGGGAAGAGGTAGGAAGAGAATGAGGTGTAAGAATAGGAAAATTTCCCCAGAAGAACGAATCCTTCTCAGTCTGTAGGGAAACCTACTGAAGCAAAGTTAACCTTCAGGTCAGGTTGTTTTGCAGAATGGGGCATTCCAGTTTCTCAGACTTTCTTGGTTTTCTTATTGTTTTCTTGTGGTGATTCCTTTCACCACAATTGTGGGACATTGGCATGTATCTGAAGGCAAAGGCCATCATGGATGACTGAATTTTGTCACAAATTCAGATGTCTATGGGATTTCATTGTTTTCTGAAGAGAACAGCAAGGCCTGCTCTGTGACTTGTGGTGGAGAAGAGCCCCAGGAAGCCTTGAGCTCCCCATTGAGATATGAGCCAGGTAAGAAAGGGGGGATCATCAGTCCTGGGCTTCAGGATGTCAGGCGGCTGAATTCAGGACTGGTGTTTACTGAGGCATGTAATTATGAACACACTCCATTGTCACAAGATTTTGTGTGTCCTAAAGTCTCTTGAGTCACATAAGTGTTCCTAAATGCATATTTTAGTATAGATATATAAAGAAAGGGGATGCCTTTTGCATCTACTAATACTAAAGACTTTAATTTACACTTACCTACCCTTTCTCTTCCTTACAGAATAAAAAACTAAATACTATTCTCTTTGTTTATAATGTTATTATTGTGCGCCTAACTTTGGGAAACCCTCAAAAGAAACATGGTCCTTTAGATCACCTGCTCTCAAATCCAAATTATAATGTTTGCCAAATATTTTGCATTATGTTATGTGATTCCTTAAAGAACTTTGGCAAACAAGGCATCGTTTGATCTGAAGCATATAAGGGTCTTTTACCAGTTCAAATTAGTCAAGCTAGTGGACAGAGCAGATTCCTCAATGGCTCAGTGTGGTGATGGTCATGTGGGACAGACAAAGGGTCAGGGCAACCAGGGTCACCTGGGCCTTCCCAGGGCCTTCGCAGGTAGCAGGGAAGAGGAGCAGGGCTGGGTGCCAGGAGACTTTCATTCAACAAATATATTCATTGGTGAGAGCAGCGAAAAGCAGAAAGAGATGGTAGGATGGGACTTGGCCTATGGGATGCAAGAGATCTAGGTAGAGCTAGAAGGAAAAAGAGAGCCACAGCAGTAAATGGTAGAGAGCAAAAAGAAGCAAAGGACTGAGAGGGAATCCAGAAAGTCAAGGACATGAATGGTCCTTCATGGAGCAGAAGCAAATAGCATGGTGACAGAAAATGAGGTGACTGAGGGAAAACAAAGGGAAAGAGCTAGAGCGAGGCTGTGGGGGATCTTAGGTGAGGTACTTGGAGCAATAGTATTTTTTTACCCAAGAGAAGCTCAGTTGAGCACTGAATATAGAATTCAGCATGAACTCCCTGAGTCTGTTTCTTGTACTCTGAGAGGGCCTGCTCACCATGTCTTGTTGGTCATTTCCATGTTCCTCTTCAGTTTCCAGTGAGCATGAAGCTCTCCAAGGGACTAGTGGAGGTGATTCTGAAGAGATACCCAAACTGCTACCAGTTGATGGAGGAGGTAATCACGACTGAAATGACGAAATACTTCACCAAATTTGTTTGTCTGTCTGTATGTAAGTGAAGCTTCCTTTCCCTCCCTCCAGCATAAATTTGCACTTTTCCTTTTCCTCTCTGGTTGTTTTCTCCAGGTATGTAGAAGCAAGTGGGAAAGGAGGACCAAGCCCCTTAATGAAGGGTCTCCTGGGAGAAGAAGTTAAGGGCACAGAATAATAAATATGTAGACTGGGGGCACCAAATGGAGTTGTTTTCACTGGGCCCAATTTTATCTAAATGTATATGGAATCTAAATACTACCAATTTGGAGTATGGGAAGAAAGATAATTTTAAACTTATTCACCATGGATTGCACAGGAACAATGAAATACTATGTATAAGAAAAACAAAGAGAAGTTGAGTTGAAAGAATAAATAGAAAGACAATGGAGAAGAAATGTCAAGAGCATGATGGAGGAAGAAAAAGACAGAAATACAGGGTGGCAGGAGTCTGGCACAGAAAGTCATAGCCAAAGAGATCCACAAATAGCTTCAGGGTGCAGATGCAGCAGTGTGCAGAAACTGGGCCAGAGGGATAAGAAAGAGAAGGAGAGAGAAGGAGAAGGGGGGAGAGGGTCTATCAAGGTGCTCAATGATACAGAGCGAAGGTTGTTTGATGCTACATACTTTTATTCCCAAGGAGCAGTTCTTCTGCGCTCTAAACATCAGAGCTCTGGTACACTCTGAACATGACCTCACCCAGGTAGAGTTCAGATCACTCTCAATTATTCATCATGGTCCTGTTTCTCTTTTCAATGTCCTTGGGACTCATAGATCTACAAATGGATGGAGGAAGAGAGTCAGAAGAAATGCCCAAGTTGCTGCCTTATGATGGAGAAGGTAATTAGGATTTAAATGACCCATTATCTAATTAAAGCTTTACTTTCCTGTCAACAGAGAAAAAGACCAATTCTTTTGTATTCTTTCCTATTCCTACATCCACCCACCCAACTACTTATCCACCCACGTATCCATCCCTCTCTCTGCCTGCCATTCATCCATCACATACACATAGACTATGCTCAGCTGCTAATTGCTTTCCTCTAGAGACTCAAGCAGTGAAAGAAGGATGAGCTCTGAACATGTGGGGTTCCACTGGTACAGGACACAGGCAGACAGGGAGAAAGATGGAGTCATTATATGGAGAGAGATTGGAGTGTTGCCAATTTTACCTAAATAAAATTGGAATGTAACTATTACCAGGTTGGATGTGTTATCAGGCAGAGAGGTAGTTTTCAAGCTAGGAACATGGGTGTAATGATTTTAATTGCAAAATAGAAAATGCTTATGAAAAACTTTCAAAAGAGACCTGGCAAGGGGAAGGATCCCTGTTCATTTGTCAAGAGCAAAAGAAGAGAAGTTTGATGATATAGGAGAGAAATATGTAAGATGAACAAAATAGATAAGAAGGCTGAAATTTAAATTTTTTAAATTTAAATTTTAGGTTCAAACCTTGGTAATAGAATGTTAAGAACTAGGGAGAACAGATAGAAACAAGGAAATGATCACCACAGAAGAAATGAGGCTAGCTTAATAATCAAAAGAGGTGCAGAATAAAAAGATAGAGAACATGATATCGAAAAACTCAGAGAGGAAAGTGCTCAGAAATAGAAAGAGTTGGGGAGAGGCACATAGTTATACAAAGAGAGGGAGATAAAGGAGAATGAGTGAAAAGTAAGTATGGCAGGAGCATTGTATTCAAGGGATAGAGAGGATGGTTGGGGTCATTGTAGGAACTGAGAGACGACCTGCACAGAAACAACTTCTGGCTCTAGGAGTGACACATGTTAGCAATGAGTTTTCAGATTACGGTGTGCTCAGTTATCAAAGTGGCCCCTGTGAGATCTTTAGAGGCCAAGGGCTTCCCCCAGCCATTCTTGACTATTCCCATCATACCTTGATAATCCCAAAAATCTTATCTCTATCCTACACTTGTCTTCTAAACTCATTCATCTAAGTGCCTGAATATGTTTCTGCAGGGATCTGAGAGGCATCTTCATTTCGAATTTTTTCCAGGAACCTCAGTACAAGATACTTCCACAATTGTGCATACCGTCTTTCTTGACGCCAAATCTGCCTCCTTTTCTGGTGTTCCCTGTGTCAGTATGGGACACTGCTGTTCCTTTCCTCAAGCAGGAACCAGCACCCCTATTTTCTCCAGCTCAACTCGATGACTGTTTGAAAATGCAAGTTGGCTTATATTACTTTCCTACCTTAAATCAATAACTTCTTGTTGTCATAAGAATTAAATCTGTTTTCCTTTACATGGCTCCAGTCTCCTACCTGCCTCTCCTGCAATCACTTCAAAACTTTGTATAAAACTACAGGAATTTTGATTTTTTTTTTTTTTTAACTACTCTTTCCCATCTGAGTCTTTGCACATGCTTAGCTCTGTGCCTGGGACAGTTTTCTTGGCCCACTCTGTTCTCCATTCTGCTTACTAATTTGGTGCATTTATGTGGAAATTACATTCTGTCTCAGAGATGGCACTTGTGACTGACTGCTGGCTTGGGAAAGAAACAGGATGAGAGACAGGGAGAAGACATAATGCATAGCATTGGAGATGCAAGACAGAAAAGAGGGAGGTGGGAACAGACCTGGGAAAAGAAACAAATTTGGACAAAGAGAAGTAACAAGAGATTCCATCAGCAAGATGCAAAGGTAGAAATAGAAGAAGCAGAGACAGTTGAAAGAGGGAAAATGAGAAAGAACAAGGTGTGGAAGACAAAGACACGAGGTTGTTTGACAGTTTCCATCAAATTACGGGATTGTGCAAGAATTTTTACCTTCACAAAACCTAAGCCACAGACACAAACTGTTGTAACTCTGTTTTATGGGTGGGGAAATAAAGCACAGAAAAGCGTTCTGGTCAGTTTTCAAGGACAAAGTTAAAAAGGGAGAGTGGCACAGGAGTCCCTCCCGGGCGTGTTACTGAAGGTGACGGTTTAGGGAAGCCAGCCGACAGTTAGGGCAGAGTCACGTGGTCAGAAGAGAAACAGGAAGTCAAGGAATTCTTCAGGTTCCCATGAAGTGCACCAGATTCTGATGTAAGACCTTAAAAAAGGAAAAAAAAATAATGTTGATGGGGAGGGAAGGGAAACTACTGAGAGCACAGGACTGGCCCAACCTCCTGGGCTGGGGGAGATCTAGAATCAGAAAGATAAAAAGTGTAATTGGAGAAATGACACATTATCCCTGAAAAAAAAACCAAAAAACCCCCTAAAAGCCAAAAACTAGACCTAAAAAGAGATGGGGAGAAAAACCTGATAACTGAAGCAATGCAGAGCAAGGAAACAGAAATGTGTGGATGCAGAACTGTAGGAAGGACACTGAGAAGCAGAGAGAAGCAGAAGGAGGTGCCTTAGGATGGTGAAAAGGCTGAACAAGAGTGGCTCTCAGGAGCAGTGCTTGGGGCAGACAAGCAGGCGGAGGTCCGCTTCCAGTTGCCCTCCACGGTCCATCATTTTCTCGTTTCTCTGCAGTGACCTGGGATCCCGAAGCTTTAGAAATGACTAACCTAGAAACACACAAAGTGCTCAGCCTACTACCTGCTGAAGGACAAGGTAATTATGATTTAAGTTCCCTACTTCCTCAATCCTCGTTTGTTTTCTAGCCAGCAGGGAAAAATATCTCCCTGGTTCCCCACCCTCCCATTCTTTTCCTCACATTCACATGCATACAGATGAGATTGCTTTGTTTTTCCCAAACTGTGAGAGAGAAAAAGAATAAAGATGAGCTTGGCTCCTGGGAAGAGAGGGGATCCTGCAGAGAGAACAGAAGGAGACAGAATATGCCAAAGGTGGGCTAGGGCACTGAGGCCGATGTGCTCAGGTGGTTTTATTAAATGTACACAAAACCTAGATATCAGCAGTTATGGCAAATCAGGCAAGGAGATCCTTTTCAGCCCACCTCTGGAAGTACCAGGAACACGGATCTAAGTTTTGTGAATGATTGACAGGCCTGTCTCAGGCTCTCTGGCACTGTGGTCTATGTGAAATGGAAGGGTTTTTTGTCAGTTTGGGAGAAGGGACCTGTGAGAATGAGGAAAATATGTAAAGTAATAGAAAACCTTATAGATGTCAATTAGGGGAAGACTCAGAGAAGCAGAGATAGAAACAAAGAAAGTGAGAGACAAAGTAAAAAGAGTATAACCCCAATAGGAAGTGAGATACAGAGATAAAAATTAGAGAAATCATATGGACAGGCAAATAAATACAAAAAAAAAATGCAGAAGGAAACACAAGAGAAACTACATAGAGAAATAGTTTTAAAATCAATAAAGAGCGAAAACTGCTCTATAAAGAGGAAAGGAGAGAAGTTAGGATCCTGTAAGGCTCAAGCACAAGTCACTAGACAGAAGCATCTCCCATCAAAAGGGGGCATGTCAGTAATGAATTTTCAGGTTAAGGTTTCCCCAGGTAGAGAGTTGTGCCCATTACATGCTCAGAACAATGCTCTTCTTCCTGCCACCCTCAGCCACCCACAGGTAACAGAACAGGAGTCTGAAGTGCATGTCTGCTAGGTAGACCTGTCTCCCAACCCCATTAATCTATGAACTGATAGCCTTTATCCAAGATCTTGTCCATTTGTCTGTCTTTCAGGAACTGACTCTTCCAAAACTGAAACCGACATCTCATTCTCCTGCTCCAGGATTGACTTCCTCAGTAAGGCGGACATGGATATCCCCCTTTCTCTGGCTCCCATCCCACACCTTTTTTTGCTTTAGCAAGCTGTAAATGAGATCATATTATTTCCCCACATAAACCTTGTGACCTTTGTTGCCCTTGGATTACATCAGTTATCCTTCTTCCTGGGGATTTTTTTTGCTTTCCATTCACCATTGGGCTCCAACCTATTTCTTCTGCTTCATCTCTGATGAGACTATAGACATTTTCAGTGATTACAATGTTCTAGTCTTTCTTCCATAGATGGGCTTTTGGACAACTTCTCCTGTGTTTGATGGTGTCACCTTGGCCTACTTTGCTCCTTATCCCATTCCCTGACCAGGTTACATCATACTATTTCAAGGATGCCTCTCCTGAAAGGCAGTGAGAAGGAGATAAGTGAGACAGGGAAAGTCAGTAAAGAGCAGTGCCAAGAGCTCAAGGGAAAGAGTCAGGAGTAGAGGAAAGAGAAAACATCAAAACGAGAAACATCTGGAAACTCTGGCAGCAGGAAACGAGGCAGAGACACAAACAACGTGCAGAGACAATGGGGCCAGGAAAGAAGTAGAGGGAGGATCAGGTGTACGGGAGGGAGGAAGATGGTGGATGGCTCCTGGCCTCTGGTGACAATGACAGCAGTTAGTCAAACATCAGGCCAGGTAAATGCAAAGGGAAGCCCAGGATCATCTGCCTCAGGGACAGTCTCGCCTCGGGGATACTTGAGCGTCCTACATCTTCACTGTGAGTTTTCTGGCCATGATTCCCCCTGGTTGTATACTGAGACCTCTGAGGGGTTACAATTTTTCTCTGCAGAGGACAGCGATGCCTACTGGGATCTCAGCAATGGAGAACTCCAGGAAGCCTTGAGCTCCTCACCAAGGCGTGAGCCAGGTAAGGAAGTGGGGATCGCCAGCTCTGGGCTGCGAGGTGTCAGGAGGCTGAATCCAGAGCTGAACAGCAGGGCTTCTAATGTTAAAATAGGTGTGTCCCCTCTTCATTTTGTAGTAGATAAATACCAAGGAAAGGTAGAGTCTTTCATGTTCTTTATACTTATTTGTACTAAAGACTCAATAATGTGATTTTAACCTTGCCCACCTTTATTTTCTATATAAAGCATAGAAACTTAGTATTTATTTCCTGCTTAATAATAGTATGTTGCTATTAACTTGGATAGGCTTTAAAAGAAACATGGTTCGGAGATCTACTTGTCAAAATAGGAACAATGCCTCTGAAGCCCAAATTACAGGTTTCCTGCCCGCCCCCCCCCGCCCCTCCCCGCCATATTCTTCACTAAGCTATTGGATTGTGTAGCACTTCTTTTTTTCAAAGTACGTTGGCAAGTGAGATTTCCTCACAAAACTTTAGGACTTAGCCAGGGAAACTGTTATTGTCCCTCCTTAGAGATAAGGAAATGGAACCACAGAAAAGGGGTCCTTGTTTCTCCCCCAAGATGTCTCAGGCATCTCCCTACCGGTGATGGCTGTGAGAGGTTAGTTGGGGTCAACGTGGTGCCACAGTCAGAGTCCAAAGGGGGACCTGTGGGCTCCCAGGGGAGGAGAGCAAGGCTCTGTGCAGTGATGCTCCCACGTCACAAATAAAGGCATGTCAGTAGGGAGGGAAGAAATCCAGAGAGACGGTGAGAGAACATCCGGATCCTGGTGTAGGGATCGGAGAGACCTGGGAGAACAGAACTAGAGAGAATGAGCAGGAAAGAAGAGGCCAAGATGACCACAGAGGAAAAAAAGAAGAGTAACAAGATAGGAGAAGTCAGGGGGAGCAGAGCATGCAAAAATCAAAGGTGCACAAATACTCCTGGTGCAGATGGAGAAATACCTGGAGGCAGGTCTACAGGTAACTGAGATGCAGAAGCTGGAGTTTGAGGTGAATGAGACAGAAGCAGAGGCAGGTCAGGGCTTGGTTGGATCTCAGGTGAGGTCCTTGGAGAAAATGTTCCATTTCCCAAAAGACAGCTCACCTGTGCTCTGGATAGCCTGGCTCGGCACATTTTCTCTTCAGTGTCCTATGAATCTGAAGCTCCCCAAATGACCAAAGAGAAGCCAGGGCGGGTGTCTAGCCATCTACTATGTAACGGAGGAGGTAATGGTGATTTCAATTCCAACTTAACAAAATGAATCTTTGTTTTTCTGCCCATGGGAGGAAAATCTCCCTCTTTCTTCTCCCCTCCTACCCTGCTTCCATTTAATACCCAAACAGACGAAGTGTGTAGAACCAAGGGTCAAGAATATTGAGAGCATTACATGGAAGGGAAAGGCGTGAGATGGGTGGAGTGTTTTTGGCTTCTGGCGATAATGACAAAAGCCATGTTAACCTCCAGGTCAGGTTAACTCCGAAGCAGGAGGATCTGAGGGCAGGGACATCCCCACTAGGAGACCCTGAGTCACCTTCCTGGAGGGTGGGCTTTCCTGCCTGTTTTGTTTCTTGCCAGTAGATCTTGAGTCGTGCATCGTGTAGGTATAATAATGTGCACATTAATTATAAATTAATCATGTATAAAAGAATTTTCCAGGAATTCTAAAATTAGTCTTCCTTTAGGATATCTAATCTATTAGTTTCACTTGTGGAATAGATCCTTACTGACTAAATATATAGGATTTTTCTTTTTTAAACAAAAAGAAAGGAGGTGATATTAGATAATGGTCTGAAAGTAACATTTAGTAGTTGGGACATAGGAACTTTTGGTAATTTATCTCTCTTTTTTATAGAAATATTATCAGATGCATTGTTTACTCTGATGTGCCACAAATTCCCCATTGAAAACATCTGTGAAGTTTTGTGATTTATTAAGCCACGTGCAACAGTTAGAACCACAGTGAGAACACCAAGAGGAAGTGGCGTTCTGCCTGCAGGAGGCGGCAGCTTTGGCAAAGGCAGGCTCAGGGCAAAAAGCAGAGAGGCCACAATACTTGCATAGGGTGAATGGTGTCCTGCATGTGAATGGAGTATGGGGTTCATCCACCAAGCAGAGAGGAAAAAGGGGACATATGATCACTTACACGGTAACAGTTGACCTCAGATTGTGTGCTAAACAAAATGGTTTTCTTAACAATTTGACAGGAAGTCAAGTGTCTTCATGAAGTATTTGGAGTGGGGATTCAAGACTAAGTGTGACCAACTATCTGCACAAATTGGGTGCTGTGCAATGGACCCACACCCATTAAGTAGTCGCTGAGACTAGCTTGGATAGTGGCCTACCAGGTCTATGTCTCCTTCCACTTGCTTTGGATCACTTTTTTCTAACATTCAAGAAGCAGAGGAAAACCAGGAAGAAGCACACTTGAGATAAGATGTCTTATAATAGACGAGAGTGAGAGTAAATGAAGTAGTAAAAGGATAAGCATCTTAACACAATATTTGCTAAATGCTGCACCTCCAAACTAAATGTCTAATTACTTTGCATCTAATTGCATACACATCATTAAATAATAAGATACTTTCAGGCATAAGAGCTTATGAAACAACGAAGAGTTCAAGTACTGTGTTTACTGTGTATAATGCATACCTACTCTTTGGGGCCAAACTTTCAGGAAAAAAAAAATCTTTCATTTTAATTTTTTAATTCAACTTTTTATTTATTCATGTTTAGATATTTGTTTTTTAAATTATAAGTGAATATTAGCATTTATTTTTGAACATACTATGGTACAAGAAATTTTAGGTAACAAATAATTATAAAACACAAGAATAGATACAAGGTATTTCAGATACTACCCATGTATAATGCACATCCTTATTTTTCCCTCAGAAATTTGGGCAACAAAGTGTGCATTAGACCCAGAAATATGTGGTAGATGTTGAGACAGGATTTATACCTATTGGTCCAAGGGTCCCACAGGACTTTTGTAAGCAAAAGTCTTCAAGAGATCTTGGTGGCAACTCTATTTTGAAAGGGGTCATCTATCACACAATATCTGAAGCTAAAGGAGAGATTTATTTCTTGTATAACAAGGCACATGGTAAGAGGAAGAAGTGTACTTATTGGATAATGTTTCTTTAAAAATAGAAACTATTGATTTTATATGGAGTTTTGTCAAGCATGTGTTTCAGGGACTGCAGACTTTCAGAAACAGGAGTGATTATAACACTCCAGTTATATTGAGCCGTAGATGCAGGTTTTCTGGAATATGGTTGTTGCTGACTGGCTGATTTTTAGAATTGTACTGCTTCAACTGATTAGCCAGCTTTAAATGTGGTTGGTGCTGTAAGTAGTCATTGGCCAACTGGGATGAGTTTAAAAGTGGTCTGGTACTTACTTTTACCATTTTCAAAGAATAGTTAGTTCTTTTTCCTGGAAGAATATGATCTTTTTTCTTATTCTTAGGACTACAAGTAGAAAAATAAAAGTAGAAGAAGCAGAATGAGATGCAAAAATGGGGAAAATGTGACTCTATAGGATCTCAGGTGTGATTATTATAACAGGTATATATTTTTTCTGGGATGCAATTCATCTTAGCTCAGAATACCAGTGTGCCACATAGGCACAGCGGGAACTCTTCCCTAATCACTGTCTTGGGATCTGTGGACACTAACTTTCTTGTTTCTCCTCAGTTTCTTGTGAACCTGAAGCTCCCCAAATAAGTGGAGAAGGAGAATCTCAAGAGCTTACCTTTAACCTATTACCCTGTGATGAACAAGGTAATTGTGACTTATAATAAAAACAAAAACAGGGTTCTAATAAAGGGGAGAAAATAAGGGAGGAAAATGGGAGACTTAAAAGAAGAGTCAGGTATAGGGTGAATCAATGGAAGACTGCGGAGAAAAAAGTAGAAAACAGGATCAATGCGTTTACATAAAAGAGGATCCCTGGAGAAAATGAAAGGTCTTTATAAATCATAATTTTGTCCCAGGAGGAGAACTACCAACAGGTGGAAATGAGAAGTGTCCCTGTGTTATGTGCTTCTCAGAAGATGTGCCAGGATGTCTGGAAGCAAGGACTGAAAGAAGCCAAGCATGTGACACAGAAGGTAAGGCTGTCCAAAGGTCATGGTATGTCGGTGGATCCACCAGGAGAGTGTGACAGGTGGTCCAGTGCATCCCAAGGTCCTATTCTCTGCCATTTTTCGACCTGACCCTATTGGGAACAGCAGGGAGGCAAGAGTCATGTTTAATAGGATAGGCTCTGTTGATTATACATGGCTGATACAGTAGAAATATATGTACACTCTTAAAATGACAATATCTAGTTTACTACATTAGTATATTAGTAATAAACTCCGTATTTATGCAGTGATTTCTATCCCTGCCCAATCCGAAAAATCTATGGAATCCCTAAAAAGGAAGGTGTACCTCTGCTAGTAGATAATAGTGTCACTCATCAGAACCATAGAAAGACCTCAAAGGCCACTGATTCTGCCATTTAATTGTCAGTAGGGGAGACTTCAGATCAACTGTTCTTTACCCAGCACATATTTTTAATGGATGCCTTCTAATTTATGTAGTGTTTTCCTATAAACTTTTGCGCCTTAAATAAGACATTATTTAATTCTCATAAAAAAATCTTCAGATCTAGACAGAATAGGATAACTGTTTCCATCCTTGAGTAAGTTGAAGTGCATAGGTATTTAAGAGTGTTTTTCAGAGTCCCATTGAGAAATAAAGGAAGACCCAGGGCCCCTCTGGGACTCCAGCTTCTCAATTCAGAAGACTTGTAGTTCCTTCAGAAGGAAGAGAAAAATGATAACCCAGATACCTTTAAAAACTCAAGTCTTCTGTAGTATGATTCATCCTAGGGTAGGCAATTTTAGTTATTAATTTGTTTCCTTACATCAACCTCATTTTCTAGATACTGTGGACCTTGGAAACCACTCAACTCTAGGAAAACGCAAGAGGAAACGAAGTAAGAGTGCATAAGGTTTTACTTGATTTTGATGTTATGAATTTTTTAATGCCAGAGTTTTATATTATTATTTGCAACAATATGTGATAATAAAAAATCAGTGATAGTAATATGATATTCCCTCAAATACGTCCATATCCTAATCTTTGGATCCTGTAATACATTTTCTTCTATGGCAAGAGGGGTTTTACAGATATGATAAAGCTAAGAACCTTGAAAGGGGAGATTATCCTGGATATTTGCCACCAAGGATAATAAATTGGCTTTAGAGTGAAGAACCATTTTCAGATGTGGAGGGAGAAATGACTCTGGGATGCAGTCAGAGAGCTGCAATGTTGCTGGCTATGAAGATGAAGAAGAAGAACAAGGAATATGGGTTCCATGTAGAGAAGCTGGAAGAGTCATGACAATAGATTCTCCTCCAAAGCCTCAAGAAAGAAATGGTGGCCTACTGAAACCTTTATTTTAACCCTTGTCAGACATACTGTAGACCCTTGTCAGACTTCTAACCAACATATCTGTAAGATAATAAATTTGTATTATTTTAAGCCACTAAACTTGTGGTCATTTGTTATGGCAGCTACAGGAGAACAATACAGATTCTGGTTATCGTGCACTTAAAAAGGTGGATGTGACTTAGGAATTAGGAAATGGGCAGAGGGGAATTTGGGCAATGAAAAGAATTTTAAGTAGAATGGTAGAAAATGTCTGCATGGCCGGGAGCAGTTTGTTAGTAGAAATGTGCAAAGATTACTAGCGAGGACTCGGAGGTGAAGAACGTGGGAAAGAAAACATCTATTGTCTTAGAGAATACATAAATCATGCCAAACAGATGTTAGTAGAGTCATGGAGGTGCAAGGTGTACCTGGTGATGGATGAGAAAGAAATAAGGAATGTGTTTTTGGAAACTGGAGAGAGAGGATCTGGATTAAACAAAGGCAGAAAGCTAGTGAAATTCTTTTCTGAAGATATATGGAAAGCAGAACTATCTGGGTGTATATCTAAGGAGATTTCTGAACAAGTGATAAAGATTCAGCTTCTTTTTCTGCTTAGAGTAAAATGTTAGAAGAAAGATAAAATCAAGGGAAGAACTTCTCAACACAACAACAAAAAATAGGACTTGATTATCTGAAAAATTTTCAGCCTATTCAGGTTACAAAAGATGCTAAACTTAGTTGATTCACTGTCAGGAAAGTGCGCTCTGTAGAAGTGACCAGGAAAGTGGCTGAATAAACTTTTTTGCTGATGCCTTACAAGTAACAAAAGATCAAAGAATTCGGTCACATACAGGGGTCTTCGAAGAGATTAAGCATGTGACTCATAGACCCTCTCAAGCCACCTCAACAGTAATAAAACACAGATATATAATTATAAGGGAAAACTCTGTGGAGGAGCCTCTTTTTAATGGAGTAAATCCCCATGACATACATGGCAGAGCCATAGGATTCTTGAGAATTTTACGCCACCAGAAACAGAGCTGTCGATGTCTAATACCTGTAACCTGGAACCCGTTTCTTTTCTTGGAGAAAGGGAGTTTGAGGATGTGGTCTGGGATCTTGAGGTGGGGAGGTTATTTTGGATAATCTGGGTGGTCCCAATAAAATTCATGGGTCCTTAAAATCAGAAAACCTTTCCTGCTGTGCAGAGAGGGATGTGTGTCCCTGGAATAATAATCTGAGAGATGCAATGAGGCTGGCTTTGAAGATGCAGGCAGGGACAGGAGCCAAGAAATTGGAAGCTGGAAAAGATTAAAAAAAAATGGATTATCCCCTACCGCTTCCAGAATGGAACAGAGCCCTGTGGATAACGAGATTTTAGCCCATTGATGTTTGTGTCGAATGTCTGACCTTCAAATATGTGAAATAATAACTTTGTGTTGTTTTAAGCCACAGAGCTTATGATAATTTATTTATAGCAGCCATGACAATTAATTCTTTTTATAAAATAAAAAAATGAACACTTCCCTTTAATATGGTTAGATTACATCTTTTAAAATAGCAATTTATATTTTTAAATGCTCACATCTGTGTCTCTTTAATTTTAAAATATATAAACTTTGTAAATTTAATGTCCATATTTCTAGATTTTTTCTATATATGTATTAAAATATTCAGAATTTTATATCTAAAAAGTCTATTTGTGATGTTACATTTCTCTTACTTTAAATTAGTATATCATGCACAAGACATTACAAATATTTAACATATTGCCAACTTTAAAAAGTTTTCTTTTGAGATAAAATTTACAATGAAATGTAATAAAGTTGAGGATACTACTTAATACATACTGATAGATGCATTCTCCTGTATAATTCTAATCCTATCAAAATACAGAACACGGCCATCACTCTGGAAAGGGCCCTTATTTCCTTCTTGTATACCCTTCACCTTTCACTCATCATACACAATTACTATTCTTATTTTTTCATGATAACTTAATTTGGCTTGTTTTCAAACTTTAAATAAATGAGGTTTTAAGGTATATTTTCTTTAGGTGCAGTGCTTCACTCAGCATATTTTTTGAGTTTTACCCATGTTGTTGAATGTATCAGTAGCTTCTATTGATTGCAGGTAATGCACTTTGTATGAACATACCAAATTTGTGTACATATTCTCCTATTGATAGACACTACAAGTGTGCCAGTTTTTGGCTAATATGAACAAGCTGCAATGAACATTCTTGTAGAAGTCTCTCTGTGGCTCCATGCCTTCATACCTTTTGTATAAATTCTTGGAAATGAAGTTTCTGGGATATGGTGTAGGTGCATCAGTCCTTTCCCCCCAAAAACCCACAAAGGGGTGATGAGGCACACAGAGACTGTGCCAAGCTAAGGGATACAAGCCTCAGAAACTGTTCTGATCTGTCAGACACTCCCAGTCTTAGAAAAGGTTTAATAAACCTGTTAGTAAACTGGCTGAACCTTACCCATGAAGGAGGCATTATTTCTCAGCAAATATGGGAGACTTTACTATCTTGGGATATTTCTAAGGAGGGAGATGTTCTCTATTTTATACTGGTCAGGGAACAAATCCACCCTCTTATCTGGGCAGCTACATTAACCCTAGATACTCTGAGGCATGTGGAAATGCCACAAAGAATTGCCTCCTAACAAATCCACTTCACCCAGTAGACTGGTGAATATCCCCATGGAGACCCCAGTCCATCAGCCACTTCAATGTTTGTGACCAGTGGGGATGGGACCAAATCCATTTGATTTGTTTCTAGCAGCATTTAATATATTTCACAAGCCACAAATGCTCTAGGTCTCTCATGACCATCTCTAATCTGCAGTTTACCATGTTTGCTTGAGGGAGGCAAGTGAGTGCCTGGCTTTCACCTAAGAAGTATCCGCTCAGGGGCACATGCAGTGACCCTGGAAAGGATGCGTCTATAGTTACTGAGGTCCCCTAATAGGACGTACCCTAGCCAGGAGGAAGATGGAGAGTGCCCCAGTGTGGGCCCTGGCTACAGGCTTTATAGTTCCCTGTTCCATTCAGCGTGTCTAGTCCCTGATGTTCAGAGGGGTTCTGCACGGGTGTGCAGATGCAGAGGCCAGCCCCTATTTTCTCGTGTCTGGTGCAGAATGGCCGACTCGGCAACTCCATGGGGCCGGGGGTGCAGTCGGTCTGGACCATGCTCATGGTCCGGGAAGAAGGATTCAGGGCACCCCTTAAAGAGAGACATTATTAGTGATTCTCCCTCTCTTGTATGTCTTGTATGGCGCTCCTTCCTCAGAAGCCTGGATCTTCGCTCTTCTTTCAGGGCCAGAAAATATGCGTGTACCATTCCAGTGGCTGTAACTTCATCTCTCTTCCCCAATCATTTTTACTTGTTGCTCAGGTCTCTTGTCCAGAAGGGTCAGATACAAGCAGGAAAAGGCATTTTCATGAAATGTAACCAGGATTAAATGCGACTCTCCTAGGCATTCCAACGCGGGTTAGGGAAAGAAGGCAACCTCATCCCTGGGGATGGTCAGAACAGAATGCTGAGTTTTTAGCATTGGTCTATATAACATTATTTATCTTTTACTGCTTTTGTTCTGATCATGATGCAGGAAGGAGGTGATTCTTTTCTGGGGACAAAGAGCCTTACTGAGGTCTGTGAACAGGAGGAGATAAGGGATGTTGAGTCAGACAATCAGTGCATTGGGAGCAACATTTTGTAAAACATTTTTATTTTTATTTATTTATTATTGTTCAAATACATTTGTCTCCATTTTCCTGCTGCCACTTTCCCCTGTCCCAGCCACTCCCCACCTCCCACCCTCAGTCCTTCCCCACTTTGGCTTTGTCCGTGGGTCCTCTATACACATTCCTTGACTTGACCCTTCCCCTTCTTTTCCCTGTTACCTCCCTCCTGTTTCCCCTCTGGTTACTGTCGGTTTGTTTTTTCTTTCAATGTTGCTGGTTATATTTTTCTTGCTTCTTTGTTTTGTTGATTAGCTTCCACTTATAGGTGAGATGATATGGTATTTGTCTTTCACTGCCTGGCTTATTTGGCTTAGCATAATGCTCTCCAGTTCCATCCACACTGTTGTGAAGGGTAGGATCTCTTTCTTTCTTTCTGCTGCGTAGTATTCCATTGTGTAAGTGTACCACAATTTTTTGACCCACTCATTTACTGATGGGCACTTAGGCTGTTTCCAGCACTTGGCTATTGTAAATAGTGCTGCTATGAACATTGGGGTGCATGAGTCCTTTTGAATTGGTGTTTTGGGATTCTTAGGGTATAGTCCAAGCAGTAGAGTTGCTGGGTCAAAAGGCAGTTCTATTTTCAGCTTTTTGAGGAAATTCCAAACTGTTTTCCACAGCGGCTGTACCAGTCTGCATTCCCACCAACAGTGTTCTAGGGTTCTCTTTTCTCCACAGCCTCGCCAGCACCTGTTGTTTGTTCATTTGTTTATGATGATCATTCTGATCAGTGTGAAGTGGTATCTCATTGTGGTTTTAAATTGCATCTCTCTGATGGGTAGTGATGCTGAGCATCCTTTCATATGTATCTGGGCCCTCTGTATGTCCTCCTTGGAGAAGTGTCTGTTCAGGTCCTCTGCCCATTTTTTAAATTGGATTGTTTGTCTTCCTGGAGTGGAATCATGTGAGTTCTCGTGTATATTTTGGAGACCAAACCCTTGTTCGAGGCATCCTTGGCAAGTATATTTTAATAGAGGCCATACCATTGTCAGGCTCAGATGATCCAGCCAGGCAGGCTCATGACACTTGTGAGCTCTTAGGGTCACAATGCTGTGGCCAGAATCAGTTGGCCGGTAAGTTGAAGTGTAGACTGTGTTGGTAACCCACCCATAGCCTCAAGAGGGGTTTGAGAGCTGATGAGTGTGTCAGGAGCAAGCAGAGCACAGCCCTTTGTGATGTGGCTCCCCGACCCATGGGATGAACAGGTTGACTTTAGCAGGTGTCATGAACCTGGTCTGTAGCTTCAGCCCTTGCATCAGAATCACGGTGTCAGCCTCTGTCAGCAGAGAGCAGGTACTTGGGCATTTCCATGAAGGGTCCAGACTGGGCAGTCAGTACGATGAGTTCATTTCTGCAGTCATGGCCCAAGTGATAAGGATGTTAATTTCACCAGCTTGTACTTTTCCACTTGTCTGACAGATAGGCCATGTGTGGAAGTCAAGTTGTCTGAGTTCTGCCAGCCAGAGGAGTGACCGAATTTGCTTTTGGTTCTGCAAAATTGGCTCTGAGGTCAAGCTGCCATGGAAGCCCAGTGGACAGCAGCTGTCACTTCACCAAACATTAGGGGACCAGGTGTAGGTCACCAGGGGAATCTGGGAATCTTGCTGATTTAAGGACCCTGCAAGGCCAATGTTTGCTGCAGGCCGGGAAGGAGAATAGAAAGCCCAGGTGTCCCTGGGGCAACATCTCTGAATTCTTGAATACACCTTTTCCACTTGAAGAGCAAGGCTTTCAGGCTCTTACTGACTTGTAGGTCCTGGAGTTGAATTGACCCACCTCAAAATGAGAATCGCAGGAGAATCATAGGCCTTCCTCCATGGACTGAGGCTTCACTTCTAGCAGTAAAAATCTAATAGCTGGCAGTTATGGCATTCATAATAATAATAATAATAACAAGAAATGATCTCTGTTCACCCAGTGCCAATGGACTTCTCACATTCACCTGTTTTCATATCATTCACAAGAAAGCAAAAACACAACATGCACAAACCCATTGTGGGTCTTTGAGTTCTCCATGAGCTTCAGGCACTAGATTAAATACAAATGAGATAATCTGTTTTATACCTGCAAGAGCTAAGAGATTGTTTCATGAAAATGCTCCACATTGAAGTTAAGCCTGTTTCCTTGACTCCTAGCCCAGTATGTTATCCATGACATTATGCAGGAATATAATAAGAAGTATGCTTTCTCATTGCACATTTGAATGGACACTTGAAAAGGGAACACGTTGCTACATAACCAGAATCATTATTCAGTCTAAGGCACCAGCAGTTTATTTTCTAACTTAAAAAAACTCAAATATACGTCATCTCCGATTGTCTCCCAGGTCCTTGAAGTATAAAGTATAACTCCATAATCAACCTCATGTTACTACATCGGTAGTTAAGAATTTTTTCTCATCCTTGAGGATCGAAGTCTGAAAAAAAGTACTCAAACACTACTGATCTATGAGGCTTTGAGAATTATGTTGATAGTTCTGAAATATTAACTTTATTCTCTTCCTTTTTGAAGGAAAAAAGAAAGGGCATGCCTGGACAATATATAAAAAGAAACAGCGGAGAAACACACATCAGAGAGGTAAGCAGGCGAAGTGAAGAAGTCACACCTTTGGCGTTTATGAGGGCACTGCTTCTGTGCCCTCGTGGCCTGCAGTCACCTGTGGGCCCTGACAGTTTCCCAGTGACTGTGGCAGGTAGGATATAGGCTACGACACTGCAACAGAGAGGCCTGAAAATGCAGTGGCTTCAACAAAATGGTTTATTTCTCATACACGTAATCACCCAGCACTAAATGATCGGGGCTCATAGGGAGACACTGCCATCCGCAGTGCATGGCTTCTTTACTGGGTCAAGAAATTTCTATTAATTTAGAAAAGTGTTCCAGAGAAGGCACATGAAGAAAGCAGAGGATAGACCTCACTGGTGTGGCTCAGGTGGTTGGGTGTTGCCCAGCAAAGCAAATTGTTGTCCGTCCAAATCTGGGTCAGGGCACATGGCTAGGCTGTGGCCTGGTCCCAGGTCAGGGTGTGTGAAAGAGGTAACCAACTGGTGTTTCTCTCTCACATTGTTTTCTCTTCTTCTTTTCTTTTCTGCTTCCCTTCTCTTTAAGAGTAAATGAATAACATCTCAAAAAAAAGAAAAAGAAAGCAGATTATGTGTATGTGTGTGAACATGTGGTAAAAATATAGATATAAGTATGTACACATTTGTGCAAATATGTTTTTATATATGTATAAATGCTTGTTTATACATATTTATCTCTCTGTATAGCAAAACATAGATATAGATATATAGAAAAATGAATGGCAATTTATCCATAAAAATATATGCAGTGATTATATTTGGTCTATGAAGGGTGATATTTATATATTTTTTGTTTTTTAGATGTATGTGTGTACATTCAAAATAATAAACATGTTCAACTATTGTAATGAAAAATATTATTTAAATAGTAACATATGCAAAGAAAAAGTCTAAGAGGATGTTTTTGAACAAGTTAATTGTTGTCATTTCCAGATGGTGATGTTTTGTACAATTTTTATTTTCTAATTTTTCAATAATGTATATGTATTACTTCTGGTCAGATCCTTGTAATCTTTTTTATTTTAGTAGTTATTTAAGGAACTCCTTTCTTCTGGACAAAAAGGGCAAGACCTCATTTTATACATGACTGATGATTTGAATCAGTAGATCTATAAGATTTTTAAGTCCAATTAAAAATTATAAATTTTCACTAACCTGAATATCTTACGTTCTTATCAATTTACACTCCTGCCCTGTTGGTGAATGTGTATAATTTTGTTTGAAACAAAAGAAAAAGTGGTTGCACCCATTTTAAAGTTATTTTCAAAATAGCAAATATTAGGATTTAATCATTTAACATTTTCATTTCAGTCTGTACGTCAGTCAATAAATTCTAAACTGCCTCTTTCCAGAGTACAGTGAAATCTTGCATGTAATTTAAAGTCAACTCTAATATTCTGGAAACCTGAGTCTGACCCTTACCATTAACTTGCCTTCTTGTCCGAACGTGGAGGGAAGGTGTTCAGAATTGAATCCAGCGTTCCTGCGCGTGCTTTTGAAGCCTTGCGTCAGCTGCTATTTTGCCCAACTCTGTATTTTCCCTGCCTGTCCCTAAACAGCAGCAAAGCTGCTGGCCAGTTGGTCTTGAGTAGAAAGAAGGTGAAAATGAATCTCCAGGACACTGCCAAGGTTATTAGGCAAGAGATAAACTTTGTGTTACTTCCACTTTGCACTGTGAGTCAAAACAATATTTGCTAAAGTTTTGCATTCCATGAGGGTGGCTCTAAGATATTTGATGCAGTCAAATGTAGGAAGGCTATTACAGAAAAGTCGGACACACATTGTCTTTAATACTCAATTAATTCTATACATCCTCTTATTTGTCTTTTAGATATGGTTTTGGGTAATTTGGGATACTCTGTAACATTTCTTTACACAATGTTATTCTTTAGCCAATAGATTATGGCTGAGACAATAACCTGTTGTTTTACAAACTTGGAGTTTTTACTTAGAAGTTTTGTATGGTTAGACTTTTTAAATTTGGGATCTATAGAGTATTAGAGGAGGTGACCTGTATCTTGGATCAGACAGGATGCACAAATGAACTTTATATACCTTAGTCTCATTTAAGAATTTAAGACTTGGCAGAGGATGTTAGTCTTACTTTTTCATTACTACATAACAAATTCCCCAAACTTAGTGGCTGATCACAAAACCAATTTATTTTCTCCGATTTCTGTGGGTTGCAAGCCTGGACAAGTGCAATAGAGTTCTTGAAACCAGCGGAAAACCGCAGGTGGAGTGTGAGAGGCAGCCCAGTCCATAGCACTATGCTGTTCTCCGCATTTTCTCGATGTGACCCTTTTGGGAAGAGCAGGGAGGCAAGAGATCATTATAAAGTCACATTTAACAAGACAGGCCCTGTCAATTGTATATGGATAATGTAGTAGAAATGTACTCTGAAAATGGCAATGTCTAATTTGCTGTATTTTTCTATTGGTAATAAGACCTTGAATTTATGCAATTATTTCCGTTGGTAAGTAGTCTTACAAGGTTCTACTCTAGTTGGAGACTATGGGGAGATTTACCCAAAGTGGTGACAGATTCTAGATCCTTGAGGTTGTAAGACTGAAATCCAAGCCTTGTTGCTCATGGTTGGCCAGAGATCATTCTTAGCTCCCGAGGCCACTCACTTTCCTGGGCGTATGGCCCCTGCACATTCAATCCAGGGACTGTGTGTAGAGTTCTTCTCAATCCTTTTTGATCTTTGAATCTCTGGCATCCTCTTTGGACACCAGCTAGAGAAACTCTTCACTTTTAAAGGGCTTATATAATTAGATTGGCCCACCAGGATAATCTTTTCTTTATTTTATTTTTGATGCTCACTAAATTCTCTATTTTTCTTTCAGTTTTTTTTGAGCTATAACTGACATACAATGCTGTATCATTTTTAGGTGTACAGCGTAATGACTTACATATATTATGGAGTGGTATCTATAATAAATTAAGATCCATTATCTCTATAGACACATTAAAAAATAGTTTTTTTCCATTGTGATGACATGTTTTAGATTTTAGTCTCTTAGAAAATATATCATAGAGCAGTGTTACCTATAGTCATCATCATGTTGTATATTACAATTCCAGTACTTATGTATCTTCTAACTGGGGGGTTTTACCTTTTGATAACCTTCTTACAATTCCTTCACTCCGTCAGTTCCCCACTTGTAATAACAACAAATCTGACCTCTTTTTCTATCAGTTTTATGTTGGTGTTTGTTTTTCTAATATTCCACAATTAAGAAAGAAGGTGTTTTTTTAGATAATGGACTGAAAGTAACATTTAGTGAGTGGGACACAAGAACTTTTAGGTATTTTATTCTCTTATAGAAATATTATCAGATGCATTGTTTACTCTGATGTGCCACAAGTTCCCCATTGAAAACATCTGTGAAATTTTGTGATTTATTAAGCCACGTGCAACAGTTAGAACCACAGTGAGAGCACCAAGAGGAAGTGGTGTTCTGCTCGCAGGAGGCGGCAGCTTTGGCAAAGGCAGGCTCAGGGCAAAGAGCAGAGAGGCCACAACACTCGGTCGTAGAGAGAATGGTGTCCTGCATGTGAATGGAGTATGGGGTTCATCCACCAAGCAGAGAGGAAAAAGGGGACATATGATCAATTACATGGTAACAGATGACCTCATGTTATGTGCTAAACAAAATTATTTTTTTTCACAAATTGACAAGTTGTCAAGTTTTTGGAGTGGGATTCAAGACAAAGTATAACCAAGTATCTTTCTACAAATTGGTTGCTGTGCAATGGACCCACACCCATTAGTTAGTATCTGGGACTCGCTTGCATAGGGGGCCCACCAGGTCTATGGCTCCTTCCATCTGCTTTGGATCACTTTCTTCTAACATTCAAGAAGCACAGGAAAATCAGGAACAAGTACACATGAGGAAAAATGTCTTATAATAGACAAGAGAGTGAGAGTAAAAGAAGTAGTAGGAAGATAAGAACCTTCACAGAATATATGCTAAATTTGCACCTCCAAAGTAGATTTCTAACTATTGTGTACCTAACTGCACACACACATTTAAATAATAAGATAAATTCAGGAATAAGAGCTCATGAAACATGTCAAAGCTCAAGTTGTTGTTAAGACAGTACACTTGGTAGTTGATCAGGAAGATGACCTGAAGTGGGCACAAGAGCTGGGGAATTACATCTGTTGGTCCAAGGGTTGCACAGGGCACTCCAGCAAGAGTCTTCTAGATGATCTTGGTGGAAACTTCATTTTAAGGGACAGCCCATATGCAATATCAGAAGCTAAGAGGGGGATTTATTGCTTGCTAAGCTAGGTGCATGGTGGGAGAAGACTGTATTTACTGGACACAATTTTTTTTTTTTAAACAGACACTGCTGATTTTGTAAAGAGGTTTGGAAAGTATGTGTTTCAGGTGCTGTGGACTTTCAGAAACAGGAATGACTATGAACAGGTTACATTTAGCCATAGATGTAGGTTTTCTGGAGTGTGGTTGTTGCTGATTGGTTGATTTTCAGAATTGTACAGCTGCAAATGATTAGGTCCTTTAAATGTGGTTGGTGATGTAAGTGCTGATTGCCCAACAGAGATGAGTTTAAAAGTGGTCTAGTATTTACTTTTATCATTTTCAAGGAATACTTAGTTTTTTTTTCCCTGGAAGAATACAATCTTTTTACTTTATTCTTAGGGATACATTAGAAAAATAAAAGTAGAGGAAGCAGAATGAGGTACAAAATATGGGGAAAATATGGCTCTGTAGGATCTCAGGTGCGTTATTCGAGAGATATATTTTTTTCTGAGAGTGCAGTTCATCTTAGCTCAGAATACCAGTGTGCCACATAGGAACACCAGGAATGGTACTCTAATCACTGTCTCAGGATCTGTGGACAGTAGCTTTCTTGTTTCTCTTTAGTTTCTTGTGAACCAGAAGCTCCCCAAATGGGTAGAGAAGGAGGATCTGAAGAGCGTATAACCTACTACCCCGTGATGAGCAAGGTGTGTCTTAAAGAAGCAGAGTTAAGATAAAGAAAAGAGACAAGAGAAAAAAAAGGGAGAACTACTGAACACTATTAAAGCTCAAGGTGAAGGCCAGTCTTGGCCGATGAACTGGGTGTCAGAAGTGTGCTATGTTGATGGCAGGGTGTTCACTAACACCAGTAGAGCCTGCATCTATGACTGGAGTTTGATAGCACATGCAATAGTTGGAAAAAAAAAAAAAGAAAAGGAGAAAAGAGAGAATTAAAGGAAGACTCAGATATTGAGAGGATTAATATTATGTTTCAGAGGAAGAGGCAGCAAAATAAAATCCACAAGAGTATCAAAAATAGGATCATTGGGGCATATGAGAAGAGTTTTCATAAAATATTATTTTGTCTAGAATCAGAGCTACCAGCAAATGGAAATGAGAAGTGTTCCTGCGTTATGTGCTCCTCAAAAGGTGTGCCAGGGGGTCTTAAGTCAAGGACTGGAAGTCGCCGAGGTAAGATGCCGCACAAGGGTCATGGCATGAGGGTGGATCCATGGTTACTCGGGACCGCAGGTGGAGTGTGAGAGGCAGTCAGTCCACAGCACTATGCGGTCCTCTTCAGAGTCTCCATGTGACCCTTTTGGGAAGAGCAGGGAGGCAAGAGATCATTATAAAGTCACATTTAACAAGACAGGCCCTGTCAATTGTATATGGATAATGTAGTAGAAATGTACTCTGAAAATGGCAATGTCTAATTTGCTGCATTTTTCTATTGGTAATAAGACCTTTACATTACATAACATAATACATTACATAATTTATGTAATTATTTCCATTAGTTTCACACTCAATATTCTATGGGACCCAAGAAAACAAAGTGTATTTCTGCTAGTAGATAGTAGTGTCATATTTTCCCAACCTTACAAAGACCTGAAAGGCAACTGATCCTGCCACTTAATTTTCAGTAAGAGTGACTTCCAATCTGCTGCTTTTGACCCAGTAGATATTTTTGATGGATGTCCTCTGCATGTCAGTAGTTTATTTAGTATTTTCCTACAAACTTTTTGCCATAAGTTAATTCTCACAAAACTTTGCCATAAGTTAATTCTCACAAACTTTAATTCTCACAAAAATCTTAAGGCCTAGATAGGATAGGACACTTGTTTCTATTCATGAGTGAATTGAAGTATGTAGGTAAGAGGTTTTTTTTTTTTTTAAGTTCCATTGAGTAAAAAAAAATGGAAAACCCAGTACTCATCCTGGACTCATACTTCTCAATTCAGGAGATTTTTAGTTCCTTTAGAAGGAAGAGAAAAAAGGTAATCCAAACAACTTTATAAACTCAAACCTTGGTAGTATGAATCATCTGAGGATTGTTAACATTTAGCTCTTAATTTCTGTTCTTACATTCAACTTCTTCTTTCTAGATCCTATAAATCTTAGAAACAGCTCTACTTTTGGAAAACACAAGAAGAAAAGAAGTAAGAGTTCATGAGATTTTACTTGACTTTGATGTTAATGATGTTATTAATACTAGAGTTTCATTATTACAATAAGTGAAAATAATATGATGGTTCCACAAAAATGCCCATATCCCAATCTCTGGAATCTGTAATGTATTTTCTTCAATGGCAAAAGGGATTTCACAAATATAATGAAGCTGGGGACCTTGAAAGGGGAGTTTATTTTAGATATCTGTGTGCCACCAATATAATCAATGGGCCTTAAAAACTGGAGAACAGTTTCTGGCTGTGGAGAGAGGGAGAAGTGACTCTGGGAGATACAAAATTGCTGGCTTTGAAGACGGAGAAAGTGAACAAAGATATAGGTGACTTGTAGAAACTGGAAAAATCATGGAAATAGTAGTTTCTCTGTAGCCTTCAGGAAGGAATAAAGACCTACTGAAACCTTTGTTTTAGTCCAGAGAGAAACTTGTCAGACTTCTAACCAACATGTCTGTAAGATAGTAAGACTGAATTGCTTTTAGCCACTACATTTGTGTTCATTTGTTATAGCAGGTATAGAAGAGCAATACAGATTTTGGTTATTAGAAGTGGGGTGGGGCTGTAATACATTCCTATACAGGTAGAAGTGGCTTAGGAATTGGACATTGGGAAAAATGTTAAGTAGAGTGGTAGAAAATGTCTACACGGCCTGGAATAGTTTGTTAGTAGAAATGTGGATGCTAAAGACAGAGATACTGACAAAAAGCTTAGTGATGTGGAAATCAGATCTTTTGGGTATATATGAGGAGATTTCTAAACAAAATGATGAAGGTGATGCTAATTTCATTTTACAGCTCAGAACAAAATATGAGAGGAAAGAGATATATCAAGGGAAGAACTACTAAATAAAAGAAGTCAGGACTTGATGATTTGGAAAATTCTTAGCCTATTCAGATTGCAAAGATGTTAAAATTAGGACATCTTCTTTCAGGAAATTGCTCTATTGAATAAGAATCTGGTCTAATGACTTTTGGCTAATGCCTCAGAAGTAGCAAAAGATCAGTGTTCATTCACATAAAAGGTTCTTTGAAGAGTTTAAGTGTATGTCTCAGAGATCCCCTCAAGCAACCTCAACAGAAATAAAACACAGATATATTACTATATACAAAAGATCTGTGGAGGAGACTCTTTAATGGAGTAAGTCTGCATGACACAAACGGGAGATCCGTAAGATTCTGGAGAACTTTATACCAACAGAAACAGAGCTATCAATATCTAACCCCTGGAACCGTAAATCTGTTTCTTTACATGGTGAAAAAGAGTCTGAGGATGTAACTAGGGATCTTGAGATGGGGAGGTTATTCTTGATTATTTCAGTGGCCCCAATGAAAATTACAGACATCCTTAAAATCAGGAATCCTCTCCAGCTGTAGAGAGAGGGATTTATACCATGGAATAATCAGAGAGACCAATGAGGTCGGCTTTATTGATGTAGACAAGGGACAATAAGCCAAGGAAAGCAGGCAACTTCAGAAACTAGGAAAGACAAAGTAATGGATTATCTTCTACAGCCCCAGAAAGGAACAAGCCTTGTGGACACCTTGATCTAGCCCAGTGAGACTTGTGTCAGTTTCTAACTACAGCACTGTCACATGTCCCTTCCTTTAAACCAGTCTGTGATGCACAAGACGTTATTAATGTTTAATATTTGCCAACTTCACTGTAAACTGTTTTTTTCTGAGATAAAATTTACAATGAATTATATAAATATTAAGTGTATCATTTGAAGAGTTCTGATGCATTCTCCTGTATAATCCAAATAATATCAAGATATAGAACATGACTATCATTCTGGAAAGAACTCTGATGCTCATCTGTTATATCCTTATACCTCACTCATTAGAGGCAATTACTATTCTTTTTTTAAATGGTAACTTAATTTATCTTGTTTAAAGACTATTTTACTGAATTTTTTTCCACTCAGCATAATGCTCTTGTGTTTTATTCACGTTGTTGAATGTATCAGTAGTTTTTTTCTTTTTTGTTGCAAAGTAGCGCACATTTTATGAGCTTACTAAATTTCATATATATAGTCTCCTATGATGGACACCACAAATGTGCCAGTTTATGGCTAATATGAAAGTACTTCAATGAACATTTTGTAGAAGCCTTTCTCTGGCTCTGTGCCTCATATCTCTTGTAAAAATTCCTAGAAGTGAAATTGCTAGGATATGGGATAGATGCATCAGTTCTTTTTTTCTTGCAAACCCATATAATGGTGATACTGCACATGGAGGCTATGCCAAAGTGAGGAGTACAAGCTTAGAAACTGTTCGTATCTGTCAGAAACTCCAAGTCTTAGAAAGGATTTAATAAACTGCTTAGGAAGCCTGCTCTGACCTTACTCCTGAAGAAGACATAATCCTAAGTATCTGCAAATTAAACAGATATTCTCTGAGGAGAGGAGTGAGTCCCTACTATCCTAAAATACTTCTAAAGAGGGAAATGTCCTCTGGTTTTATACTGGTCAGGAAACAAATGTGACCTCTCACCTGGAGGGTTAGTTACATTGTCTCTCATTTCCAAGGCAGTTTGCTGTTGAAGCATCCTTGGAAAGATAATTTGAGGCATGTGGAAATGCCATGAAGAATAGTTTGTATGTGTCTGTTCAGTTTCTCTGACATTTATTGAGGAGACTGTCTTTTTCCCATTGCAATTCTTGCTCATTTGTCATAGATTCATTGACCATATAAGTGTGGGTTTATTTCTACTCAAGTAATCTACAGATTCAGTGAAATCCTTATCAAAATAACAATGACATATTTCACAGAGAAAAAATAAATAATCCTAAAATTAATGAAACCACAAAAGACCCTGAATAGCCAAAGCAACCTTGAGAAAGAAGAAAACAAGTTGGAGGTATAATATGCCCTGATTTCAACTATAGTACAAAGCTATGATAATCAAAACAGTATGGTACTAGCACCAAGACAGACACATAAAACAATGGAACAGCATAGAGATTCCAGAAATAAACCCATGCTTACAAGTGATTTAAAAAAAAATTCAGAAAGGTCATTTTCTATGGTTTCCCAAGTCCACATACAGAAAAAATACAACCATAATCAACCTCATGCTACTACATCGGTAGTTAAGAATTTTTTCTCATCCTTGAGGATCGAAGTCTGAAAAAAAGTACTCAAACACTACTGATCTATGAGGCTTTGAGAATTATGTTGATAGTTCTGAAATATTAACTTTATTCTCTTCCTTTTTGAAGGAAAAAAGAAAGGGCATGCCTGGACAATATATAAAAAGAAACAGCGGAGAAACACACATCAGAGAGGTAAGCAGGCGAAGTGAAGAAGTCACACCTTTGGCGTTTATGAGGGCACTGCTTCTGTGCCCTCGTGGCCTGCAGTCACCTGTGGGCCCTGACAGTTTCCCAGTGACTGTGGCAGGTAGGATATAGGCTACGACACTGCAACAGAGAGGCCTGAAAATGCAGTGGCTTCAACAAAATGGTTTATTTCTCATACACGTAATCACCCAGCACTAAATGATCGGGGCTCATAGGGAGACATTGCCATCCACACTGCATGGCTTCTTTACTGGGTCAAGAAATTTCTATTAATTTAGAAAAGTGTTCCAGAGAAGGCACATGAAGAAAGCAGCCTATATATGTATGTGTGTGTACACATGGTAAAAAATATATACTTGTAAACATATTTATTTGTGCAAATATATTTTTATATGAATAAATGTTTATTCATACATATTTATTAACTCTGTATAGATAGATATAGGTATGTATGAAAATCAATGACAAGTCATCCATAAAAATATATGCAGTGATTACATTTGGCCATTGAAATACAGGTGAGTTTTATATTTTTGTGTTTTGTAGATGTATGTATGCATATTAAAACTAATAAACACATTCAATTTTCATAATAAAAGTATTATTTAAATAGTAAGATATGCAAACAGAAATGCCTAGGAGGATATTTTTGATCAAGTTAATTGTGAAGAGATACATATATATATATTTTCAGTCTCCTGTCATTTTGTTTATTTTAGTAGTGATTTTAAGCAACTCTTTTATCCTGAAACAATAAGGGTGAGATGTCATTTTTTTCATATCATTGAAAATTTTGAATCAGTTGATCTACATAATAGGATTTCAGAGTCCAATTAAAAGTTTCCAGTTTTCACCAATTTGCATATATTGTTTTTGCCATTTTACATGGCTGCCCTGTTAGTGACTCTGTACAACTTTGGAAAAAAAGAAAGCGGTCTCATTCATTTAAAGAGTAGTTATTTTCAATATATCAAATATTAGGATATGATCATGGTAACATTTTCACTTATGTCTGTATGTATATAGATAAATTCTAAGCTATTCTTTCCAAAATACAATGACATTTTGTATGTAATTTAAAGTTGTCCTTTCTAAAAGTAGAGAATGTTCTGGACACCTGCTTGAGAGCCCTTACCATTAACTTGCTTTCTTGTCTGAGTATAGAGTGAAGGTGGTCTCTCTCACATGTCAGTTGCAATTTGTGCAGCTTGATTTTCCTTGCGTATTCCTAAACCTCAGCAAAGCTGTCAGCCAGTTGGTCTTCAGTAGAAAGAAGGTGAAAATGAATCTGCAGGATCCTGCTAAGATAAGGCAAGAGATAAACTTTGTGCTACTTCCACTTTGCACCATGTGTGGGTCAATATAAATTTTGCTAACATTTTAAGGAACATTGATTCTCCTTAACCTATTATTAATCAAGCTTATCAGTCAGTTTGAGAGCTATGAAATCTAGAAAACCAACCTGTTTAGAACTGTGGTTATCAGTTCTTTGCATTTATATCATAGCTCTTAGCTGCCCAAGACATACCATTTTTTTCCTTGGGGTTTTATGTGCTTTTCATGGAAATTCCTTTACCTTACAATACTGGTTCATTAAAATGGCTGGACTTGGTAACTGTAAGGAGAAAGAAAGTTCATTTTCTCACTGACCTTTGAAGTCTATTCTGTAGATGAGTTTTTTCAACCTTGGGCAGGACTGGTAGCTTTTCTGTTCTCTTATCCAGTAATTGAGAGTCTTTCTGGTCTAGTATTAATACTTCGATATTTTTTTTAATTCAAAGTGCCCCCTCTTCTTCTGCCTGGGCAAGCCTTGGACCGGGTCACCTGCAATGAGAAGGTGGAACGTTTGAACTCTTCTCTCACTCTCTCGTCTCTGTCTCCATTTAAGAGCTATTGGTTTGGGTCCATCCAGGATGGGGAGGTGGAAGGAGAAGAGGGATAACAGTGTGGAAGTATCTGATCTGATGGGCACAGGTGTGAGGTGGCATTGGCTATGGATAGAGCACAGTCACTAGCTCTTTCCTTCATGAGATGTTTTCATCAACTCCATGGTGAAGGTAGACGCAGGGTCAAACACCACAGCTTGACTTCTTTCAAAAGACATGTAACCTCTCTTCTACTGCCTGGATGTGGCTGAAGACCTAGAGCCGACATAACCAGCTCTACCAACGCTTTGTAGGGTAATACAGGTGTTTTGGTTCACTGCCTTTAGGAGGTGGGGTGACCAACCCAATCTGGTTTGCCTGAGACTTTCCCAGTCTTGCCATTGAAAGTGCTGGACCCTTGGTAACCCATAGTTCTCAATAGACTGGGGCAGTTGGTCACACTTTTTGGCATTTAGTGAACTGTTCCCAACTTTTGAGAGTTCTATTAAAATTTTGAGGAAACGAGAAAATTTAAAATTCTAGTCCAAGAAGAGGTAGGAATGGCACATGGACATGGACAACGGTGTGCGGAATGACTGTGGGGGTGTGAGGTGGGCCGGGCAGAGGAGGGCAAAGGGGGAAAATTGGTACATCTGTAATAGAACAAACAAGAATAATGACAAAAAAAGAAAAAAAAGTCTGTCATACTTCTAGAGGTTAATTAATACCAACCATGACAAGTTAAAAAAAACACCTTAAGTGATATTCTGACTGCTGCAATATTTATTAGGGTAGTGATGAGGTTTCGGTGTAAAGTGTATATTACAACCCAGGAACACAAAAATAGTAAAACCTGCCTTGCTTAGCCAATACACTGTGAGAGTAAAACACAATAGCACTATGTTATGAATTAGCTGGCTTTAAACCCCAAACTCCAAGTCTCCTTATACCAAATGTTCCACAGGCTAGGTGAACTTTAATGTATTTATTTATTTTTTTCCCTAAAAATATTAGGCCTAACAAGTTTGATGAAAGCTAAATCCAACATATTCACTAGTTTCAGGAAAGACACAGAAAGAACTCTGTATTTGTTGGGTTGTCCAAGGTTGTAATTAGAGCTTCGTGCCACGCCTGACAGTGCAGGGGAGGCGAGAATAAGCTGTCTGCGTCTCTTCTCCTTGGGCTGTGGGCATGGGCTTTTGGAAGAGGGAGGAATGAAGGAGAGCCAGACATATCTTGGCCTTCCAGAGTCCCTCATCACTTTGGCTTCTTGGGTGAAAGAGGAGGTGGGGAGAGTCTTTCAGAGAGCCATACCTGGGTGGATGACTTTCTATTGCCTGGTGACCCATCTTCCAGGGGGGAAAAGTGAGAGGGAGACAAACAAATTAATCTGAGTCTTCAAAAACTACATTTTCACTTTTTTAGTAGTTCTCCTTTGCCTATGGCTATTAATATCCAAGTCTTCCACTTTCTTACACAAGTTTATCTGTCTTGGTAGACATCTTGTTAGGGCTGCTGTCATCTTGGTTACGTGATAACAAGGTGACAATATTTGCCAGTCTGTAATTTGTACGATTTTGTAATAATATTTGTCCCATTGGACCATTTTGATCTTGAAGAGATAAAAACCCTCTCAGTAATTGTTTAGTCTATATATCAGAAAATGGGGTTGTTTTACTGATAATAGGTCCATTGTGGGTTTGATGGAAGGAAATAGTCCTCTTAATTTTCTGGTCTCATATACTCATTAACGTGCTTAGAGCTTCCTGCACTTTAGACTGGGTAGTTCAGAAAATATTTCTTATTGGAGTCTGCATAACTTCACCTGGTACCACCAGGTAGTGGTCGTTGGATGGTGGGCATTGAACACAGTGAGGAGAAAATGAATTTGTCTTCCTGCCTTAAAAAAGAAGACACATTTGAATGATAGAAAACATTGAGATGCATAGTCATAGCCAATTAACTTACAAATAGAGGAACATTCTCTGCTGCAACATCTATCAAGCCAATCTTTAGTTACTACTTGAAACTACAGTTTTGTAAGACTCACTTATACTCATTTTTCTTGATAAGACTTCTGGTAGTTCCTTAGATTATAATATCTTTGTTCAAACCAAAGAAGACAAAGCCCTTTGTCACATTTACTTCATTTTTGCATCACCTTCTGAACAAAGGTACAAATAACTTTATTCAAGATAATGTGCTTCTCACCTGTAAGCCCACCACAGGGTTTTCCTAAATGCACAGAATTTCTATTTTTTTCTATCTCTCCACTGAAAGAATCCCTATATGTATTAACATAATTTTGTAGTTTTTGCATCAATTTCCTCAGAATATTTAATTTCTGTAATGGGAATAATTACCATCTTGATCTCGTATATTAGTTGAAAAAACTAAATAAGTTAGTAGGTGTATAATTGACATCTATTAAGCACATATCACATGGCTGCTTGAAGTATAAGTGAAAGGCTGATTTCAATTGTTTAATGAATGTGGGTTATGAAAAATAAAGTAGAAGATGAGCCTAAGATTAATTCTTGATAGTTTAAAGACTAGGGATTATATATTGCTCTTTATGCTTTTAGTCAGTCTTTGAGGAAGTTACATTAAAATGGAAATTTAGAAAAGCACTAATATCTGCAATAAAACTGCATGTCTACAACTGTGATTTTTTTTTCTTTTTGTCAGGGGAAAAGAGAGGCATATGTAGAATCTACTACATCATAGTAACAGAGCCCTAGAGAAGAGAGTCCATTTAGAGGCAATGCAGGAAAGGGGAATATATTTTTTTGGAGGGGGGGATATATTTTCAATAACTATACACCTGATTCCCTGTGCTCCAGTCTGTGTCTTTAGTAATGAACCCACTTTCCTAATTGCTTCATGTAGCTTCACTAGTAACTGTTGAGAAATGCATATGACTTTGCCTGTTTTCAAAATGTGTCAGGACAGAAAGAGGATAATCTGACACACCAGTTACTTGGAGACAAATCTAAACCAGGTCCCAGGGTCCAGGGTCCACTGCAGTGCTGCTGTCGCCACTGAACTGATAAGTTTCACGCTGGACCCAGGCTGTTGCCATAGAAAGGGTATACACAACCCACAAATGATTTAGCTGACCCTTCTCTTACACAGAGAGTCACAGGTTGCAAACCACTGGTGACCCAGAGTGGTGGTCAGACGTCTTTCCCTCTCTCGACCCCATGGGCTTGTGTCAGTCACGTAACCACTCTTGCCTCAGTTTCCTCATCTGTAGAGCAGGAGAGTGAATTAGGCCAACCATCGTTCTCAGCCCCTCCTCGTGCTAACAGTCTGTCTGTCTCAAAATTGTTACATGGACAGACCACCTCCTCCTATCATGGCTCTAAAACTTGGCTGAGAGGGCAGGATCTGGTGCACATCATTCTAGAGTTGGTTCACTTGCTGCTGTGGGGGAGGAATGAGGCAAAGCAGCGAACACAAACAGCAGACACCGTGTCCATCAGGTCGGCCCATCGCTGTCCTCTCTGCCCCTGAGTCAGAGCTCACACAGGAAGAGGCCTGCACAGCCTGGACTTTGTCTGCAGCGACCTGAGTGCAGGGAAATAGCCCCGGTGCAGAGCCCCCTCCGACCAGGGCAGCAGCTGCGTGTGCCACTGTCACCTGAGAATCAGCGGGTGACCACATGGCGGGGAGCTGAGACAGTCTCGTGTGGACGCCTGGTGTCTCTGCTACAGCGTTCTGACTGGGGGGGTGGGTTTGAGAGGTGAAATGAAGGTAGATGATCTGTGGTTATGTGATCAAGAGTGCCACTGAAAGATTCTGAAACTCTGGAGATTGGTAGAATAAAGTTCCCTAAGCACCCCTATGTCTTTATAGGAACAAATTCAGCATGGGGAGAGGGGTACATGTCCAATTGCGAAATTATACAGATTGAAGAAATCTTCTGTTTCAGGATCAAGAAAGCACAGAGATAACAGTGTGGATTTTCGCTCAGAAGTACTTCCTGTGACTTGTAGACAGGCAAAAGGGATGTTATATAAAAAGAAATTGAAGCAAGGTAGGTTTCATGGTCTAATTTTCAACTCTTATGTGAAAGAATTACAAGAAATTCAGAGTTACCCATGTGAATTACACATTGTTCAAGGAATTGAGTCTGTATTTTGACTTGAGAGATGGAGGAAGGGAACCTCAAGAATGCACTTTCATCCTTTAAGACACCGTACATATTAGCGGCTCACTGCCACATGGAAGTGACCATGGAAATGCCCAAAGAACCAAGCTGAGAAGTGAATCAGAAATACATGGGAAGAGGCCCTCAGCTGCCACCTTCCTGTCCTCTCTCTTTCCTGGATCATTATTGGCAGGACAGGGTGTTAGATACAGTGAGGAGATCACAGAACTTAGAATGAGAAACCCTGGGTCCCAGCCTCAGCTCTGCCAGATGAATGACTGATTCATCCGAGTAAAAAAGGGCACTGCTCTTGACTCTAAAACAGTCTGAAAAAAGAGATGATGTTTAAAATATTCCTCATGGTATAGCTGTAAGGAATTAATTTACGTAATTGATGTATACTATTTAAACAGCTTTCCAGAGATACAACTCACATGCAATTCACCACTTGGAGTGCACAATTCATTGTTGAGTTTTGTTTGTATGTTCACAGGATTGTGAATTTATGATCTAATTTTAAAACATTTCTTCTCCCCACTAAAGGGAACCTCATGTCTCTCAGTAGTCAATGCCAACTCCCACCTCACCCCACCACCCAGCCTGAAGCAACCAAGCCTATTCTTGGTGTCCTATATAAATCGAATTGTATAATATGGGCATTTCTATGACTGGCTCTTTTCCTCGGCATGATGTTCTTCTCCCATGTAATAGCATGTATTAGTACTTCATTCCTTTGTATTGTCAAATAATATAATACTCTATGGCATGAATATACAGTATATTGTTTATCCCTTCAACAGTTTGTGATATTTCCACTCTTTGGGATTATGAATAATGCTTTTTTGAACATTTACATGCAAGTTATTGTGTGAATGCATGTTTTTAATTTTTTGGTGTATCTACCCAGGAGAGAAATTGCTTGTTCATATGGTAAGTTTATGTTTAACTTATTGAGAAAACACCAAAACATTTTTCGCAGTGCCCGCACTATTTTATATACGCCTGAACTTCTCTCTGTCCTGGTAAACACCTGTAGTGTCTGACATTTTAAATGATGGCCATGCTGGTGGGTGTGAAGTGATATCTCACTGTGGTTCGGATGTGCACTTCTCTAATGACGACTCATGTTTAGCACATAATTATCTTTTATTGTATGATTTAAATGTTCACTGGATACATTTCACAAATATGTTTACCACTAGCTGTCCATGATCAGGGATGGAAACCTCTGCTCCGTAATGCCGTTAAACTTAGATGAAAGCTGGTGTAAGGGAGGGCACGGATGTTGCCACGGTGCCATTCTGAGCTGTGGAGCCCCCATCTGACATCTCGGTCCAACCTGAAGTTCTGTGTCCTCATTGCCACAAGGCCGACAGAGAGTCTGGCCTGTTCTCTCTCTCTCCAGAATTCCATAGCAAATTGAGAACCTCTCATTGTACAGAGAGGATTCGTGGAGGATTCCATATAGGTGATTTTGGAATATTTTTATAGTGTTGATTTTGATGGTAATGATTACTTTTTTGTTGTTGCAAGAAAGTCAAAGAAACGTGTGCGTAAAACAGGTAATCTCCATGGAGAGGTCTCACAGGCTGGGGTGGAAATTCTGGTGTCTGAGAGGAAAGGCCACACTCTCCTGCTCCAGTGATCTTGAGCCCAAACTGGGTGACTCCAGATCCAGTGCGGTGAGAGGCCAGTGTCTGAACTGTGAGAACAAAAGGTTCAAGGTCAACTTCCCCTGGTCTTACAGGAGCCATGAAGAAGTCCATACAGGGTGAGGATGGAACATGGTTGACTCCCGGAGAATTTGAAATCAGAGGAGGTCGTGCAAGATGGAAGTACTGGAAACGGAGTTTGTCCTGCGGTGGGAGAGCCCTACTGTGGCTGATGGAGGTATTCTAGTGACAGGAGGCTTTGATGTGATTTTCCTCGTTGCACCCTAAGATAATGTCATTTTTCATTGAACAAATATCTGCTGAGTTATAGTTAAAGCCTCAAGGCCCCTGACTTTATCCCTTCCCAGGGAGAGGCACCCCGCACTCATAGATCAGTACAAGGGAGCCCATCGATTTCTGAAAGGGGCTCTGTTGGGGTGGATGCAGGAGCCTGGAGGAGGGAAGGTCATTCTGACTCCGGTGCCTGCAGACAACTTTAGTCTCTGAAAGAGAGAAGACGTTCCACAGTCAAACAAGTGGGCAGAAGACACTCCAGAGAAAGAATGGTACAAAACCCAGAACCACAATAACTGTGACTCCATGGGTTGAGGTAGAAGGACTGTGTGATATGACATAACCCATCAATTGGGGCTATTTGGGCGGGATCTAACACCAGGATACGGAGTTTAATCTCCTAATGTAGACAATGCAAAACCAGGGAGTCTCCTGAGGTGTGAAATGGCATATTATAATAGTATCTCAGACAACATGGGGCTCTGAGGTGATTGTACTTTCTTTCTACTCAAGACACCTGTAGTCAACCTGCAATGTCTCAATGTTCCCTGACTGTTCTGCCCTGGTCATCCCTTCCCTGAACCCCTGAGCTTACTAGTAAGGCCCTTCTCATACTGTTTTATTCTCATGCTTCCATGCATTCCCTTTGTCTCTGTAGAACCCTCTAAGGTTTGTCCATGTTTAGGAGCTCAACATTGTCCAGAGTGTCTGACACCCTGTAGGTGTGGGACCCGTGTGTGTCAGCTGAATAGCCCTGGTGTGAGGAGGCAGGTGTGCGTGGCACTGGTGGGAATGGCGAGGAGGGGAGAGGTGTCAAAGAGATTGTGGAGGAAAACCGCTGAAAACTTAAGAAATAGCACAAGGGGAAGGAAAATTGTTCCAAAGATGACTTTCTGGTTTCCATGGATGAATTCTAGAGGAAGAACAGGTGAGGAGAGGGAGATGGTGTCTCCTTTAGACACCAGGGCTTTGAGGTGACAGTGGACCATCACGACAGAAATATTTGGGAGGAGGCAGGAAATGCCAGACTCACAAACCAGGAACACAGGCTGACCATATCCTTGGATATTTTTATTTTTCAGAAAGGATTTCTCTATAATCCTCCAAGAATATGCAGAAGGAGAAAAAAGGTAATAATTACATAAATTACTGCAAATTTTTAATCACATAACTGATTTTAGATACAAAGTGTGTTATTTTATGGTTTCTCAATTGGATAATTATAATTAAGTACCGTTTTTTGTGTGTGCCTTCAGAGTCGCTACCTTGAACATTATGTGGTATGCAAAGTCTTTGAATAACAAACCTTTGTGACAGAGATGAAAAGGAGATATGAAAATAGACATCAGTTGAGTTTTAGGTATAGATACAGATGTGGTAAGGGTGTCCAAGCTGTAAAAGCAAACCAAATTATGGAATACACAGAAACAATTCATAATAAAGTCACAGGGTCACCTTCAAATCAAACCTAGATATTTTTAAAATCAAAGTTATTATTTTCTAACTGTATTGAAATCTGGTGGAGTAAAGTTTGCTCACCATCATGCAGATAAATCCATCTAGTAGGTAGTCTATCTTGGGACATATATGAACCCATACACCATTTCATGATATAGGCAACAAAAAAAACATGTTTGTTTTGTGATAGTTTACTTCCCCTTCCACATTCCAATAAAGTGTATACAGAGACACACAGATTCTTTTTCAGGGTGCAAACTATTAGCCTTCCACGAAGCTGCTACTTTTGGGGAGGAAGCTTTTGGAAGATCCATGTATATAGGAGGACCTGATGTGGAAATTGTTTATTGTGATGCTGCCCCTTTGGCTCCAGCAGAAGAGCTGGACAGGCCTCCTTTCTGTCTGTGAAAGTGTTTGTCCCTCTGTGGAAGAAGGCTGTGGAGACAACAAATACGTAAGGTGCAGTGTAGATTCAGGACACAGTGATGGCTCTTCCAAGATGGGACATGAAGAACTTGAGGTAGTGAGGGAGGAAACAAATCCCGTTCTCGTATACTTCAGGTAGAAATGGCCACCCAAGACATTCTCAGAATCATCCTAAGGTAGGTCAATAGTGCTGGCCAAGCTAACTACATCTTCCACTGGGGATGTGAGGTCCAGGCCTGGACATTGCCTGCACATCTGGTTGATTTAAGCTATCAGTCCTTGGGACATTTCATTCACTCAATTTCCTAATTGGAAACCACTGTTAGACTCATGTAGCGAGCATGTTACAAACCAGCATGTGAACCATTCCTTCAGGGTCAAGAGTTACTCAGTTGGAGTCCCTAAGGGAGCTGGCAACTTCCTAACACTAGGTTCTACCCGCAGTTATGAGTCAAATACTTCTCAGCGCAAGGGGCAGTTGCCTCTGTATTTTGTGCCTCCTTGAAGGAGAACAGAAGCTCCCAACAGTGGCAGGTCCAGGACCCATAACTGCCTCTGTGGGGCGTCTGTGTCTGCCAGAACCTCTCTTGCTGATGGTGCCTGCTTTCTTCCGGAAACTTCAGTGTCACTGTCTGCACTACATGACAACTTCCTGCCTCCTGAAAAGGGCCTGTAATCTCTCTCGGTGACAGCTTCTGTTTTGTGAAATGATATCGTCCTGAAGAACAATCATTCACTCTATGGTGATGTTTGCTTAAGAAATATCAAGTAATCTCTTTTCCTAAATGCAACAATACTCATTCATTCTCTTGTTGAATAGAAAGTTGTTGGGTTCATACTAAATGCCCAATATCCATTAAAGAAGAATCAAACACTGTCCTTGACCTCAAGGATTTTTCAGCGTCACTGGCGAAGAGGGAAGAATGAATAATGGGAAGGGCTGAGGGAACCTAGGCCACCCACAGAGGTGGGCAGTGACATGGCCAGTCTCAGGTGATTTCCCAGTGGTTCACACTTGTCTCTGACCTCTGCCCTGGGGTGGAGAGTAAGTCTGGGGCTGTCTGAGTCCAGGAGGGAAGTCATTCTACTGAATGTGCACAGCAGTGTAAGTCTAGTGGGCAGTAGTCAGTGACCTCAATGCCACCCAGCTGACATCTTGGGATTTGAATGCAGAGGAGAGGAGGGTGACTTTCTGGAAGAAGAGCTGCCACACCGGAGTCCTTGACCACAATTTATCTTTGAAGCTCCACCCTCGGAGAGCTTCAGAGGGTGATGGGATTCTTCTCTGGGTCACTGGCATGGATTGCAGGAATCTGGGCTCTGTGGTTGCTGGAGGCTGTGGACGATGAGTCCTCAGCTTGTCACTCCCATTGCAGCTCTTCTGGTGGGATACCGAGAAGAAAGCCCGAGGGCCCCTCAGAGTGGGAGAACAGAAGAGTCCCTCCATCCCATCTGTGAGAGCTGGGCCACACTCCCTGCCTGACTTCCCAGAGGCCCACCTTGGGTCTCAGTGCCAGGGAACGTATTAGCTTGAACCCAACAGTGCTACTTTGGCAATTTTAATTCTCATTGTAGATATATACCTCCGTAAAAGTATGTATGAAATAATGGATAGACTGTGAATGGAATGCCTCCAAAAATGGCTATTTAAAGAAGTGGTGGATAGACACTTGACATTCATTATTGTCACTCAATCTTTCTCTTTTTTCAGCAGAAAATACCAAAGTCTTGCAACAGCATCATAGTTGACCTGTGTGTAAGTACCAGCTCCCATGTATAGCCCCAATATAATCTAGGCGTTTCCCCTTGGCATTTTACCTGTGTCGTTGTTGCCTTTCCCTGAACTGTGCTCACACTCAGCTGGAACATGTTGCTGTGTGTTTTGAGCAGAAAACAGCAGATGCATCACACATTTGAGCTACGTGTTCTGGAGTTGGGTGTCTCAGCATGAAAGCATTCTTGCCTTTGTTGGTGGAAACCTTCTTGTTCTTCCCTGTTATTATGGGAGGCAGAGTTCTAGTCCATTGGGTTCCTTAGAGATGGGACTTGAAGTAGAAATAGGCAGGGGAGACCTGCAGATTAGAGGGAAGGTGCAAATTTGAGAGGATAGCGGTACTTTAAAGAAGGCAGAGGGAAGGAAGAAAATGCCAAGTATTCAACCCACCATTCAAGCAGAGCTAAGATGGTTGTATGCATCAGGCGGGTGGACATGGCCAGGCCAAGCCGACAAACTGAAGATAAAGATGCTGTGATGAGTCCCGCTGAGACGTGTATGCAGGCCAGCTGGGTCCTTTACTGGGGCCCTGCATCCAACCTCAAGGGAGCCATCCAGGTGCTGAGTTGGAGGTTAGGATAAAACGCATCATCACTTAGCAAATCACAGGCATCTTTAATTACACTGATACCACATGGCTGTCTGCTTTAGGTTCGCCAAATATATGGCAGATTCCATTCTCTAAGCTTTATCATACATCACTTTATTTCATTGTGACAAGATGATGTACACTTTAAGCAGAGTCGCCTTTGCACAACTCCAGGGGGCTGCAATCCAGAGGATGTGATGCAGTAATATTGATACATGATATCCACAGAGGAGGGATAGTGAAGGAGGACGGGGCAAGAGTACCCACACTCCTATTAGTTTTGTTCCTGGAGTAGCCATTACAGACCAATTCAGCATCGAATAACAGTAACCCCCAGCCTTGCTAACCAGACTCTGCTCAGGCTAAATCTCATCTGAAGACATGGATTACCCCCTGGAGACAATCTGATTTAATCACTCTGTCCTAGGATTTGCACATTAGGATTATTTAAGAGTCCCCTGGTGATTCTGATACACAAAATTACCCATTTAATGACTCTAAGAAGAATATCAATGCGTATAGTCACCCAGACCAGTTGATTCAGAATCTCTGGTTTGGGGGCCAAGGCATTAGTATTTTGTACCCCCTCCTTTGAGGATTCTATCGTGTAGCTGGGCAAAGATTCAGAGAGACACGCTCTTGAAGAAGACTATATATGTGCGATTCTGAAACATCTGTTATGTTTGTCATTACTTGTTGTTTTGGAGAGAAGGGTCATCACTTTTGGAGAATGATCCTGGTAGTCCTTGAGTGTCTGCACTGGTAGGAAGAAATACAGCCCAGGGCTCCCCATTAGAGCACCTCAGGCCCACTGAGGGGGGGGTGTGTCAGGACCCCCCAGGATGCCGAATGGGAGCTCTTGGCTGGGTATTCCTTGAGGCTGTGCCCCCTCATCTATGACCGTTTTAGCAACAAAAGAAATGGCCAGAATCCCAATTCAGCCAACCCAAGTATTTTCCACCGAAAAACCACTAAAAAGACTCAAAACATTTGTAAATTAGTGCCTTTTCACCTTTTATTACTTTGCACACTAAGAAGTTGTTTCCATCTTAACAAATTCTCAATACACGGCCATTGCCATTGGCCATCCAATATATGATGCCATTGTGGTACAGACAAATAGGCTTAACACCACTTCAGGATCTTATTTTACCTGCAGGGTAATGACTTTGCTCAGATCTCCATGAGATCACCCTCTTGTTTTGTTGCCTGTCTTTCTGTGTTAGGATCTCTGGTTTTATGGGAAAAACTTCTCTGGTCTGGCACACAGGCCAGTCCTCCTGAACTTCACTGCAGATCAAGAATCCTTCTTCTGAAACCCCCGTTCCATGCTGCCCCTTCTCAGCTCAGGAGAAACACACCAGTCCCTGCACGTGGCACAAATGCCATGAGACTTACATTCCCACAGCGCTAATCATCAGGGGTTCATGGGTATGCGGTCACTGTTTTACCTTCTAGATGAAAAATTCAGACATATGTGAGATCTGCCTGGACGGAGGGAAGCTCTTCTGCTGTGATACTTGTTCCAGATCCTTTCACGAGGACTGTCACTTACCCGCTGTGGAGACTGAGAGGTTTGTGCGATTCAGCCCCCCTCCCTTTTGTAGACCCTTCCCCCTGCCAGGCACGCTCCCCCTGCAAAGTTCCTTCTTGTGACCTGATGGGGACAGAGTGGGGTCAGAGCTACGGGGTCCAGCAGTATGAGCCCGGCAGCTGCTGAAAGACGCTGGCAGCAGGAGGGGAACATTCTCCTCTCTCCTCTGAGAGGGAGAAGCTGGCAAAAAGAAGCCCTTGCCAGCATCCTGGTACTGTCCTTTCCAGAACTTTCTGAGCACAGACTACGAGTTATGGGCGTGGAAATGCCAGTTGCTTGTGTTCCGTACTTATTCAGAAAAAGCGGAAAACATGGCCTGTTTCCCCATTTCACCAGCTTTCCAGCTGGCTGATGAAGGCCTGAGTTCCCCATGGGTTAAGTTACGGTCCCGTCTCTGACACTCAGGCCTGGTGAGCAGAGCTCCTTGGGCTCCCAGCAGGTCAATGGGGAAAGGAGAGCCCGCCACCCACCCTGACACCGCCCTCCACCCACTGACCCCTGCTTTTACCCTTGAGGATAGAAGGTCATCAGCTCAGACTGCACATGGGGGTCTTAGAGTCCCTGGAGGGTGTCCCCTTCTGGCCCCTGCGGTGCCCATCAGCCATCCTGAAAGAGAGCAGCAGCAGCCGCAGGAATGGTGGCTGTTCCTGCGCTTTGCCCGGCTCACGTTGCCCGACCCCTCAGGAGCCCGTGGAGCTGCATCTTCTGCAGGATAAAGGAGTCTTCAGGAAGCCAGCAGTGTGGCAGGGAGCCCGAGGTCCTGGCCAGGCCGATGGGGCCTGAGGAGCAGCTGGTGAGTCCGGTTCAAGCCCCAAGCCTTCTCCCTTCTGCCCACCTGTGAGAAGCCAAACAGCGCCAGGGTGACAGGCAGGGTGTCAGAGCGCGCCTGCTCCTCGAGCCACGTCTCAACCACAGTGAAAACTCCCCAGAACCTGCTGGCGGAAAAAAATAGTTCAGCCATCACATGACTGTTTCATAGAGCGAAAGCTGTTTGGGGAAACTCCCAGGAGACTGGTATGGGCACGTCTGCCCATAAATGGACTCCTTCTCTCCAAGTTGCTTTTCATTCACATCCTCCTTCTTTTGTAGAAATGTGAGTTCCTCCTCTTGAAAGTCTATGGCCATTCAGAGAGCTCATTTTTTGCGAAGATTCCGTATTATTATTATGTGAGTAGCAACAACCATGATGTTGGCTGGCCTTGACACGGGCTCCGGTGGGATTTGCGATGCGGAGCCCCCGGGAGGGGGAGCATGAGCCGCCTTTGTCTGCACGTTGGGTTTCTGCCGGTGCGATGGGAATCCACGGAAGGCAGGCACGGTACTGTGTCAGCAATTCTCTCAATGAAAGTTTCCTCCACCAGATTAAAAAAATCTCCCAAAACATCAAGGAACCCATGTGGTTGGACAAAATTAGAAAGAAGCTAAGCGAGCAGGGTTACCCTCAGGTGGAGGGCTTTGTGCGGGACATGCGCCTCATCTTTCAGAACCACAGGGCATCTTACAAGGTAAGTGGCTCTCTGTTCTTCCATTTCATTATCTGTCCATTGAATCAGTTGGCCCTCATTTCCTGGGTCTGGAAAATTTTAGAATTTCCCTCATCTTGTATTATGAGCCTGTCCAAGCAAGAGTTCAGGAAGTGAGTGACTTTTAAAGCTCAGGATTTCAGCCCACCAGGGAGAGTGACAGTGAGTCAGGGGGTGTCCCTGCAACCAGAACCCCACGCCTTTGACAGCCCATTCTCCTTGCATAAGGTGACAGGTGCCCACGGAGAACAGTCACGTCCTCCCTGCTCCAATCCAAGGAGGAGGCTGTGTCCTAAAGTCATGATGTTGTTTTTGTCTTTCCCCAAATTCACTCAGTGAGACCTCTGAGAATCTCCATACTGCAGAGTCTTTTGCGTGTGAATGTCCATGTAGTTAACAGGGGTCACCAGAGGGGAACAATGTGACAATGTGAAAGGAAGGTCACCGGTTGAATTTAATATTTGGTTGTTATGAAGAACATGTATTCGTTTTCTGTCACTATAATAAACAACCCAAACCAACAAGTAAGACAATAGATTAAAGAAGGATAAAAAAAATAACCAGCTCCAGAAGCTTCACAAAGCAGTAATAAACAGAAAAAATCCCCACATGTGGTCATCATTGCCCATTTTTGTCTAGTTAACATGAATTAATTGTGCATTAGGACACAGAACTTACTCTTAGCCATGGGAGTGTTTTTCTGTCTTAATCTGGTTAATGTGCTGTAGGTGTTTAAGGCAATAATTCTTGAATGCAGTGCGTGTAAACACCGAGAATGAGTGGCGCTACTTTTGTTGTTATTTATCTTTCTTCCCAGTACAAAGACTTTGGCCTAATGGGCCTTAGACTGGAGGCGGAATTTGAGAAGACTTTCAGGGAAGTGTTTGCTATTCAGGAAACAGCTGAGAGCCATTCACCGGAGTAGTGGATGCTGCTGGTTCCCTGGCCCCTCCCCTCTGGGGGCCGACTTCTCCTGTCACAGCTGCTGTGAGGGTGGCTGCCAGTCCACCTCTGAGGGGCATGATTCGTGCTCCCCACTGGGCTCAGGCTGGAGCTACTCCCGGCCGGCCGAGACCACATCCTTGCTTAGCTCCCCCCACCCCATGCTCTCCTGCTTCCCTCACCCCTCCTCCTCCTGAGGGATTCCTTACAATAAATCACTGTTGAAGGGACTTGATCTCAGACTCTTCCTTTAGGGAACAAGGGTAATAGTCCTGGCCAGCAGGCCCTAAGGATGGGGCTTGCGGGTTGGATCGCTGTCTGGCCAGACGGTGACAGGCAGAGTATTGATCCGACATTCGGGGTGCTATATCAGTGTCATTGACCAACGTTCCCCTGTAGGAATCTGGATGAGAGAGAGCAGAAGTCCTGGCTGGTACAATTCTCTGGCGTTGACAAAGGGAGAAAGAGTAACTACAAGAACTGTGGATTTTGGTGGCTATTGCTAAGTGTGACTAATGTGCTGAAGAGAGAACAGCTGGCTGAGGCTTCTGGAAAGTGAACAAAGGCAGCCCACTTTGAAGAGAAGTCAAATCTCACAAGCAGGCAGGCAAGATAGTCCCTGTTCATTATCACCTGGCTTGGAGAGCAACCGCAGGCTTGCATGGGGTGGCTAAAATTCGGTATGAGAGTCCGCTTTCTTCCTGGTAAGATGAGCCAGGGAAGAAGCTCCGCGCCCCCAGGCTTTCTGGGGAGAGAGGGGAAATTCCAGGAAGAAGAAACTCACAGGAAGAACCTCAGATTCTGAGTATGAGCCCTCCCCACGTCTCCCCAACCTGAGTTCCAAACCAGCGGACAGGAAAAAGTGATGCAGGGAGGGGCTCCAGGTACCAGCCTTCTCCTGGTGAAAGCTGGGTCCGGGACGTGGCTTGGATGTGGGCAAAAACAATCCCTAAGTCTAGATTGGATTTACTCAGTCAGCTTCCGACAGTTCCAAGCAACCACACGCGCACACAGGCAGTCCTCAGAGGCCGCTGTCCCTGTGCACCTGAGCTTGGAGGAGCACAGAGCCCCGGCCTCTCCCGCGGGACTAGCCCCGGGAGACCCACCAGGAGCTGAAGCACCTTCACAGGGCTCCCAGCCTGAGCGTCTCCCCAGAAAGAAAAGCGTGGGTGGGGGGACCAGGGGTCGTGCTTGTTGACGGGCCACCTCCTAGAAGGCAACGTTGGTGCAGGGCCTGTGAGTTCCCACTTAGGTCCCGGTGCCCCTCCCCCTCCATTCCTGCATCCACAGAGGCGCCTCGCCTCGGGTCTCCACCCTCAGCTGGTTTCTCCTGCGCCTGAATTCTCAGGTCTGGACTCCCTGCCTCGTCTCCTCGTCTCCGGGGACTAACCTCTGTCCCCGCAGGGTCTCCCAGGCTGGAGACTCAGCCCACGACTGACCTCTGAATGGACGCTGCTCCTGGGGAAGCTCAGGAAGCCCCTCCCCTCACTGCGCCCTCCACCCCATGACCCTCCTCCTTCACCGCCTCTCCTGCTTTCACGGTTTCCAGGCCCCGCGGCTCGGGCGACTTCCCTGGAAACAGGAGTGGTCCCTGTTGGAGTGCCCCTTGCCCCCGTGGAAAATGCCCCAGGCACTGCCTTCTTTCCTTCAAATCAGGACTGTTCAGGGGGCCACCTGCTTCTGAAGCTGGTCTCGTCTGCGTCCGAACCTGAGTGGGTCCGACCTTGTTTTCTGGATCAAAAATCTTTGCTTCTCCGCAGAGGCCTCTTGACCCCACAGAAACCAGTGCTGCTCACAGCGCAGGGTGTGTGCCCCGCTTTCTCTGGCCCCACGTTCTCTTCGGCCAGGGCAGCCCCAGTGTGGGAGTGTCCCCCCAGGATGCTGGCCCCCGTGGATTTCCCACCAGCCGACTGCTATCCACCTCTCCTCACACGGTGACCCTGGTGACTCGAAGCAGACTCAGGGCAAATCTGATACATTTATGGCAACCGCCACCGCGGTGGTGGCCTAGTCTGCCTCCTGCTCAGGGACAGAGGAGGCGGGCGGGGTGAACACTGGAAAAGGCAGGTGTCATCTGTGTCAGACTGTGTCTGGGCCATGAGTCCCACGGAGGTCGAGAGCACAGGACAGCCGTGTCCTCCAGAGGCTCAGCTTTCTAGTCTGCAGGGAGGGGGATCCCCGTGTGCGCAGCACCCGGGACACACTGAGACCCTGCCCGCTGGCAGAGGGCCTCGTCAGCGTCCTGGGATCTGCCCCGTGCTGATTAATATTCACTCCTGTGGGGGAAAGAAAGAACATAGGTGGAGAGAGGGTGGAACCTTCCCTGTATTTGACATGTAATTGGGGGAGAACCCTGAGTCTCGGCTGGAGGGAGTCCGGTTCCAGGAACCATTGCTCTAAGGACGGTGCTTCTCAGACCCTGTGTCTGAACCCCGGGACCAGCTCAGTTGGCTCCAGGCTCTCCATAGGCCTGAGAGAAGATCTGAAGTTTCTGCCTTTCCCTCTTTCCCCAGCACTGTGTCCAGAAGGACCAGGGGCAACGTGGAGCTCATCCAAACCCTGTGCAAGCTCTGCACCCTCTTAGAAGGTTGCGGCCGCTGAGGGCAGTGGGTTCACAAGAGGTTTTTGGTGTCTTTGCACAAATGAGTGGACCCCTGGGAGCCTCCCCTTGGGGGTCCTCCTCCCCTGACCTGCCAGTTCCTGACTGTCCCTCCTCGTCCTCCATTCCTGCTGCCACATGTCCTGACGGCTGAGAGCCACACTGGGGCGCTGGAGGAGGGAGACATGTCTCACAACACCCAGAAAAAGTTACTTTCACTTCTCTTTTCAAATTTTGGGTGGAGCCCTGTCTGGGTGAGTTCACACATTTCCTTCTCAGGGCTGGATAGCCACGCTGAAATCAGGCTGAACCCAGGCTGGGGACCCTGGAGGGATGAGGCCCCAACAGGACCTGGGGCAAGAAGGTGGCCAGTGGGGCAGCAGCCTCAGCACCAGGTCAGTCTCTGCCTTCCTTCCTCTAACTTTCTCTCCGGCTCTGATGCTGCTTTCGTGCCTGTCATTAGATACTCACCGAAACCTTGACCTTGGTCCTGCTTTACGAGAACCCTCATGTGCAGTGTAGTGAAATGCAGGACTATGTGATGAAATCAGATCTTTAACCTGCAGAGGGATGGACACCAGTGTGAGCGCAGCTGCCACCGCCCACAAGGACCCTTGTCTCACACCCGCTGCTCTGCCGACGGCCTGTCTGGACTGGCCTGTGCTTCCTGGTGCTTTGAGAAAGGGATTTGTGATTTTCTCCTGACCTCTGAACCCTCTCATTTTCCTCAGGCCTCTTCTTGGCCATTTCAAAGAAGATAGTTTAAAAATTATAAAATTCAGGGTATCCACCAGACTTATTTTCGATCACTGTGTCACTCCTCTGGTCTGTGTACAGGCCTCTGCAAGGAAAAGGCTAGAAACCCAGTTTTTTTTCTCTGCTAATGGATTCAGAAACAACATTACTTAATACATTTAATTAAATTTTTTTAATACAAAGCCAATATGTTATGCATTCTTGGTCATAATTTTAAATGACATGGATGTATGTAGAAGGAAGAGTCCTATCGCCACCCACCCCCTGCAGCTTCCAATCCTGGTCCTGCTGAGGGCCGTGGGCGCAGCCTTCCATAACTTTTCCTGTGTATATACATGTGACTTATTTTTCTAAATATAGAGTGGTGTCTTGTTTTTTAATAAATGGGATAGTGTTGTATGTGCCATCCTGTTTTTTACGTTTTCACTTATTTCAGTATTAAATATCTTAAGAGATCTTTTAACTCTAATGAACATATAGATCTACCTTATTGTTTTTACCAGATAGACTCTCTCCCACAGGCTTGCTGCACCATATTTTCTAAACCACTTTCCCCTCCATTGGCTGATATTTAGGTTGTTTTCAATTGTTCACTTTTACCAAGATGTATAAACAGCAGTTATATATCTATAATTTGCATGTATGTATGTGAGCATTTGGCTTGTGTCAAACACGAAAAGTTAGAGTGTTTGAAACAAAGGGTATATTATTTACTTTTTAGAGATCCTGCCAAAGTGCCTTTCAACGTAGCTGAATCAATGCATCCTCACATCAGAAGCAAACGCAATGTACCATCTCCCCACACTCAAGAGGCGGTGGATAAAAAGTCCCATCTTGTTTTTAGTTGCATTTTCCTGATTACATGGGAAGTTGAACATTTTTCACGCTTCTTGGCCATTAAAATAGCCTTTTCTATGAAATGCTTCTTCATTTATTGCCAATGTTATTCAGTTGAGGTTGGATTAATATCTATGATGTTTATGAGGGTTCCTTATTCATTGTTTCTTCTTTTTTTCTCTTCTTTCCTGCCTTCTCTGGTTTTAATAACATTTTATTAATATGCTTTTGCTAGCATATTAATTCTACTTTTAAAGTTTAATTTATTGAAAAACACTTTTTCACCACAAAGTGGATTAAAACAACACAAAATTATCATTTGATAGTTACTGAGGTCTGATCTACTAAATGAATCCCACTGGGCTAAACCAAGGAATTTTTCAATTGAATTCTTTAGGAGGCTCATAAGGGAGACTCGTTTTCTTGCCTTTTCTAGTCTTTAGAAGCCACCAGCATTAATTGGCTCATGGCTCCATCCTCCATCTTCAAAGCCAACAACATAGCATCTTCAAATCCCTTTCTGAATTTTACTTTTCTGCCTCCCTCTTCAACTTACAAAGTCCCATGTGATTTCATTGGGGTCACTTAGATAATTCACAATGATTAATTTCCCCTTCACAAGATGCTTAACTTTTTCTTTTCTTATTGAAGTATAATTGACACAATATTATACTAATTTCAGGTGTTATAAAAGCATAATAATTCATATCTATTTATATTGCAAAATGATCAAAATAGTAAATCAATATCCATCGCTGTACAGTTATACAATTTTTGTCTTGCAGTTAGAACCTTTAAGATTTATTCTCTTAGCAACTTTTAAATACGCAATCCAGTATTATTACCTATAGTTTCTTTGCTGTACATTTCATTACCATAACCTTTTTCTTTTATAACTGGAATTGTGCACCTTTTTACCAACCTTACCAATTTTCCCTACTCCCAACCCTGTACCTTTGGCAACCATCAGTCTGTTCTCTATCTATGGGCTTCATTTTTGCTTGCTAGCTTTTGTTTTATATTCCACACATGGTGAGTTCATGTGCATTTGCCTTCTTCTGTCTGACTTATTTCACTTACCATATGCTCTTGAAGTTCATTCACATTGTTGCAAATAGCCAGGTATTCATTCTTTTATACAGCTGAATAATATTCCATTGTAGACATACACGACATTTTCTTTATCCATTCATCCATCAATGAACACTTGGTTTGTTTCCATATCCTGGCTATTTTATTTTATTTTTTAAAAGATTTTACTTATTTTTGGAGAGAGAGGAAGGGAGGAAGAAAGAGAGGGAGAGAAATATCATTGTGTGTTTGCCTCACATGCAAATACTACTGGGAACCTGGCCCGCAACCCAGGCTTGTGCCCTAGGCTGTGAATTGAACCGATGACCCTTCGGTTTTCAGGCCAGCACTCAGTTCACTGAGCCACAGTAGCCGGGGCCATATTGTGGCTATTTTAAATATGCTATAATGAACATAGGGGTGCATGCCTCTTCTCAAGGTAATGTTTCCATTTTTTTCAAAAAATATTCAGAAGTTGAATTGCTGAATCATATGGTAGTTCTGTTTTTAATTTTTGGAGGAAACTCTTCCATACTGTTTTCCATAGTGTCGGTACCACTCTATGTTTCCTCTAACAGATCACAATGATTCTGTTTTCTCAACATCCTCATCTATACTTATTTCTAGTGTTTTTGATAATAGCCATTCTAACTGGTGTGAGGTGTGTTTCTTTTAAAATGTTTTTAGTAGCTGTCTGGAGTTCACACTACAATTTATGCCACTTCACCTGCAGTGAAGGTACTTTATTACAAGCAGAGTATTTCCAAATCCTTCCATCCATTCCTTCCATCTGAGATGTCTGGGTTTTCTGTCTGCTGCTGGACTGTCTTCTTGAATTTCTCATTAATGTCTCCAGGGTTGGACTCAATGCCTTCTTATGTTCACATCTTTCTCATTACTGGGTTACTTCTCTGAGTTTCTGTAATCCACGTATTGTATTTTTCTAAAAGTGGGAGTGTATGCACAGTATTCAACATTAAATAAATATATAAACAAGAGTCATACTTATTGACTTAGATAATTTTTTTGCAATGTATTAATGTATAAAACCAATCTGATGCAAAGTAACAATGTATGATGCAGAAAAAGAAAATCATATAATAATATAATATGATTAAAAAAGAACCTTTGTAACATATGGGTATAGATTATAGTTTTAGGTAGAGGAAATTATATGCTTAGAGAGAATTTAGGGAGGCAGACACACAAGGTTATGAAAGTGGATTATGCCAGAGGGCTGAGGGCAGCAAAGCAGATGGGAAAGAAGAGATGTGGTTGAAAATAAGCAAAATATAAAAGTAAAATAGTGACTGCATAAAAATTTAAGAACACATGTAAATGCATTTAAAAATTGTATATATGTGTATATTAGCATGCACACAAAGAAAATTTTTAAATGTCTAGAAAAATATACCCCAAATGGATGTTTGTGAAATAAAACTTCTCAGCCTCCCATGTCTGAGGTTGTCCTGGTGTTACCGAACAAAAGGACCTGTGGGGGGGCGGAGCCCAGCAGCTACTACCGAAACAACGACACCCTCCTTCCCCGGGACCCCTCGGTTGTGGGTCCTTTGCCCGCCACACTTGGAATTGTGGCTCTGAATGGCAGAGTTTGGTGAAAAGCAAAGGAAGAATTTATTCAAAAGTTATACAGGTTTGATTAATGTCTAAATGTCAACTTTAAACTTCAAAATCCCTTCAAAACAATCCCCAGCGCACACACCGTCCTGCCTTCCCCTCCTTTGCACAGTCAGGCCAGTCAGGGGTACCGTCCTTCAGAAGAAAAAGAACAGAAGTCCGGGGCTCGGTTGGGCAGGCCTCTCGCGGGTCTCAGCACCATCCGCTTCGTCGCTGTGATCTCCAGCTCTTAATCCATAACCATGTGGCACCTTCTCATGGCCCGCTAGCAAGAGTCCTTTCTCCGCTCTTTCTTCCCTTGTGGTCTTCACACTGTTCCCCAGAGTCTGTGTCTCTTTGTCTCTCCTGCAGGCCCCTGTCTCTCCTCTTTCTCTCCCAGTTACATTCTGTGTAAGTCTTTTTTAACCTTCCTGCTTAGCTTAGGTGATATGCTAAATAACCCTCTTTGCATATGAGGAATGAAGCTATCCTGTCATTGACATGCAAAATGACTCTCAATGGCCCTGCTCAAGGCTCCTATCCCCCCTGGCGGCCCGCCCTGGGGTGGGGAGAATCTATTTTTCTTGGACACCCCAATCTCTGGACTCCATTACAAATACCCTTTGGGGGGGCCCTGGCTGTGCCCCGTTACACTGATTCACTCCAAGGATTTGAAGGCTGGCTCTACAAGCACTGTTTCTGAACAGATGTCTCTAGCTGTGTTTGCCATCATTATCCCATAGGTGTCTAGTTTTTAATTTTTCTGAAAGTTTTTAAACATTTATCTTTGTTCTATAGGTGTGGAGATTTCAAAACTGATGCGTCTTGGCTTATTCTTTTAGAATTTATTTTCCTAGGTACCCCATTGTGCCCTTGCAGCAAACCGTGTCTTCCTCCTCTGTGGAATCTCCTTACATAATTCTTGTGGCGTGCTCCCCTCTGCCTTTTTCTCACAGTTTTCTTCAGTCAAATTAGATCTTATATCACCTACGTGAACCCTAACCCCCTTACATTTTCTCTCAAATATGCTTTCTTCCCCCTCTTAACTCATTTATTTATATTCTAGGAAATCGCAACTGTTATACAACCATCTTAGCATATTTTAGTACATATTTAAAAATTAATTTAAAAATACGTAACCCCTATCTTCTTCTAAGTTATGTTTTCTTTCCTCTGCATCCTGGGGTACAATATGTATTCTCAAAATTTTCTAAAAATATTAGAGTTTTTAAAAGTTTTCTCTTGCTTTCAACAATATCCTTGTTTCTCCTGGGGTAACTTCATTCTCTTTTTTGTGTTATTCTTTCTTTATTTTATGGGAGAATTTCCTCAAGTTACTGCTGACCTCTAGTTAACCTCTAGTTAAGTATCTACTTAAGAGAGGGTCTAAAAATCAATCAATATGAATTGAATACTAAAGAGAATAAAGATGAACACCATGTGAATAGCTCAGTAGATGCATTTGATAATATTTAATAATAAAACTCTCAGCAAACTAGGGAAAATCAGAACTTTCCTATCATACATATTTATGTACAAAAATGTACAACTGTCACAGTTAATAATGATACTGAGTGCTTTTTCTCTGAGATTGAAAACAAGAAACTCCACTCTTACTACTTCTCTTTAACATTATATTTAAACTCCTAACCACTGGATTAAGAGAAGAGAAAGAAACAATTGCTAGGAAGGAATAAGTAAGAGTTTTATTTGACAGTGACATGAATGTTTTCTATAAAATCCAAAAGGAATCTATGATATTTTATTAGAACTAGTAAGATAATTTAAGAAAATTGTGAATACATGGTTAATGCTTTTCAAAAGCAATTTTAAATATATACAATAGCAACAAGCAATTTAAAAAGCAAAGCCATTTAAAGTAGCAAAACCATAACTAGTGGTAGGTTTAATAAAAAAATGTGCATGACTTCTATACTGAAAACTATAGACACTAATAGGCAAAATGAAAGAAAACTGAATAAATGGAGAGCTATACAATGCTAAAGGATTGGAAAGTCAGTATTATTAACATATCAGTCCTCATAAAATTTAGGTAGAGGCTCAATATAAACCCATTGAACACTTAGAAAACTTTTTATGTAGAAATTGACAAACTGATTATAAAAGATATGTGGAAAGCTTAAGATTTAGAAAATCCAAGACAATATTTCCCTGATTGTTTTTTAGGTCTCTTTATAAGTTATAGTATTCAAGACAATATGCTATCAGCATAAAAACAGACAAAGAGATCGATGGTATAGATTATAAGGTTGACAAATTATTCATGCTTATAAGTTGCTTTTTGAATATTTCCATAAATTAGGGTAGACAAAAATTTCTTAGATAGTACACTAAATTCACTAACCATAAAAGAAAATACCTGATGGAATATACTTCATCAAAATTAAAATTATTTCCTTATCAAAAGATATAGACAAGAAAATTAAATTCAGGCCACAGGTGGAACAAAATACTAACAATATATACATCGGTCAAAATACTTCTATTTGTAATATATAACAAACTTCTACACATCATAAGTAAAAGATAACCCAATAGTATATATTAGCAATGGGTGAATGAAAACTTCACAAAAGAAGATATATTGTCAATGAATTGCCAAGCATATGAAAATGCACAAACATAATTAGTCATTAAAAATACAAATTAATATTGAATCACATGGACTAGCATGGCTAAATTAGGAAAGCTGCTTCTAAAAACTTGGAAAACAGTTTGGTGGATCGAGAACAGTTATACATACTCTTACACAATGACCCACAAATTTCACTCCCAGTTATTTATCCAAGAGATATGAAAACATTATGCTACAAAAAGGTTTATACAAGGCAGTGGCTTTATTCTTTGGTATATTGGGGTGATGCTCTAACCAACTGAGCTACCCGGCCATGGCTAGCGGCTTTATTCCTAATAGTCCCAATCTAGAGTCAACTCAGATGCTCAACCATAAGAAAACAAACAGGTAGTGGTAGATACACACAACAGAATACAACTCAGCAACAAAAAGGAAAAAATATCCTATCAGCTAACAGCAAGGATGATGAGCAAAAAACATCAGACACATAAGCATACATGACATATCATTCCATGTATGAAATACAGTAACAGGCACTAGTAACATGTGGCGACAGAAAGACAGCAATGTTTGTCTCTGGGGTTGCCGGGCTCCAGGTGGTCAGCTTGTGGGTTGTGGGCTGGAGGGTGCCCTGGTCTGTCCTTCATTTTTCACCTGACAAGTCAGTTTTCAACACTTTGTCTTCCTCGCAATCCGCACTCCTCTTCAGGATCCACAGGGCACCTGGTTGCTTTCCTGGCTGCTGGGAGTATCCTCCACCCTACAGTAGCAACTACTGCTCCTCTGAGCACCTGCTGTCCTGTAGATTTTGGTTGAAATTGCTCATCTGCTCATTGTTCTCATCATTCTCTTTGTCATTATGAACCCAGTTCCTTTATTATCATTTTAGTGGGGTTCTCAATAAAAGGGACAGCAAAAGTTTCTCTTCATCTTTCAACTTTAACCAGGGACTTTTTAAAAATACAGAGTTGAACACAATTTTACAAAATTATTTTCTGATGCTTGTTGGGTAGTGAGAAGTGCCAATGATTCTCTTCTGGTGTGAGAAAATAAACCTTATGAATCTTTATTAGTTTTAGAAATACAAAATGCTGATCAAAACAATATTATCAGAGCATGATATATTAAGAAGTAGAATTACAGACTCAGGTTTAAAATTACTTTCACAGGAAACAACATCAATTTCTGAAATTCAGATGCCTAAAAAATATTTACTATGTAGAATAGCATAGACAGGTTTATATTAACACAAAATAAAAACCCCAAGAGAAGTGATTGATATACTTGTGAAAACCTCAGTTTAGATGTTATCACACCATTATTAAACTATATCTTATTTATTATAAACTAGTTTTATATGCAGACGATATTTCCTTGAGTAGCATTATATCAGAGAGGAGACACCTATTTTTGATCTTTTTGGTATTTAGTTTTTCTTAGTTATTAATTAAGATGTATTTTCAAGGTTGGTTTTCAGTTCATTATTTTTCATTCCTCTGTTCATTTTAATTTTTTATGAATTTAAATTTTTAATTAAAAATATTTCAGATATGATAAGATGCTTTATAATGTATTTGATAAGGACAGACTGGAATGAACTTTTCCAATCCTGTGTTTCCCTTTCTGATTCTCCATACTTCCTTCAATTACATCTTTTTCTATTTCTTCAATTCCATTTATTCCACTCTCTACTCAGGACCACTTATTTTACATATGTTGGTTCTTCACAGACTATCATTTGTAAATAGTTATAGCTTCCACAAACATCTCAGAATCTTGATGACCATTTTTTCATGGTATCCTTTCTCTCTAGGACTTCTACAGAAGACCAGAACATAAATAACAGTCCTATCTATATGACTGTACTCAGTCACTTCAAAAGACATAAGATTGAGATTTCAAATGCAATAAAAAAGTCATTTCCTTTCCTTGAAGTCCTTCGTGACCGTGGATTCATCACCGATAAAATATATGAAGTAAGTGAGGTTTATTATGTCATAATGTGGTAAATAGGCACCAACAAGTTATGCTTTGATATCCTAGAATTGAACATCAGGGAACCATTAGCCAACTGAGGTGCCTCCTCAGGGGGGATCTCCTTGAGTACTGCTGTAAGTTTTCCTATACGGTAAAAAGGGAGAAGAGAAGCAGGGCATCACCTGAGACAGTCCAGCTCCAGACTGAAGGAATGGGGCTCCATGGTGGCCACTGGAGTTGCTGAATAACCCTGGAGATAGGCTGTATCTGAAGCTGGTAGGCTTCAAGATGTATAATTGCTTGTAGGAGTTATATAGGCAATATAGTATAAAAGAGGAATTAAAAGGAATTTTAATGATGGGTGAATAAGTTTGATGATTTCATTTAATGAAATAATAATTTCAATGAACATCAATTTAAATAATTATATCTGAGGAGATTAAAACCCATAGAGAATTAATATCATGTTGGACAAATATGGAAGTAGATACTTGCTATTTTTTCTCCAACAGTTTTCACTTTTCTTTCCTTTTTTTTTGCTTTGGTATTTCTGGAGTCTTGGAATTTAGGTTAATTTTATCAAAAGACATAAGTGGAGATACAGAAATACAAGTCTTCTATTTCCTTATCACTTGGATTTCTCAATGGCCAGGTTCATGAAAAGGAAGAATTATCATTGGCTCCCATGTGTCCTTCCAGGACAAGCCAGTCCTGGGGAAGGGATGAGGGCTGTCCACTCTATGGAATAGCACCTGCTAAGTCTATTCCTAAAATATTTGGCCAGGCTCTTTAACGGCCAAATGTCATTTAACTTTGAAGCCACCTTTATTCTTCAGAATGGCTCCTCCTTCCATCTAATGTAAAAGAGGGTGAGGAGATCAGATCAGATTCACAGATGGATATGTTCAGGGAGGAAGGGTCTACTTGTTTCACTTAGTAGTCATACAAATTTATAGATTTTAGGCTTCACATGAGAAAATACACATATAGGAATATTGTAAATCATTATATATAAAATCACTTTTCAGGGCTCTTATATAACTTGGAAAGGTATATTTACATTTTTCTCCCTTCAATGTTCTTTAAGGATTGTCAAGAATCTTGTAGAAACTTGGTCCCTGTTCAGAGAGTGGTGTACAACGTTCTTAATGAACTGGAGAAGACATTTGACCTGCCACTTCTGGAAGCACTGTTCAGCAAGGCCAACATGCAGGAATACCCTGATTTAACTCACATTTGTACAAACTTTGAAAAAGGTAATTAGGCTTATTATCTACCTTTTGATGTCTAAGGCCAATTTTTTTTAGCAATTACATATTGTTCTTCTACTGTGTGCCACACACTGTGTTGGGCAGTGGGGCTACAGCAGTTAAGAAACAGACAGACATATCATTAGCCTCTCAAAACTTATGATGCAATGGCTTTAGTGCAACACCACCTAGGGGTCTGCTTAACTAAGCATCTAGACTCACAGGATAACCAAAGCCACAGTGGCATCAGATTTAGTTAGAAGGATAAATGACAGGACATGTGGCATCCCAAAAGGCAGCATCAGTTGCTGCTCTGCTGTAGGGTCCCTTGCAGCGGTCCACACAGCAGCCCACCAAGTTGACTACTACCTGCCTCAAGTGAAAGTTTAGCTGTGGGTGCAGAAGTCATGCTGGCTTAGCAACACCATGTACAAGGCAGTCAATGTTTCATGTAACAATTCTGTAATCATAGCTCTCGGGGACCCCAGGGGGGACGCTCAAGATACAAGAATCACCATGGTGAAGGGAGACCAAGCATATCTTAAGTTCATGTAGAGTCTCTCCCAGGCCGTGTGCCCCTACCTATCTACAGTCACAAGTCATTTTTCACCCAGAGCATGTGTTAGCCTAGTAACATGCAAGAGAGGCCACCTTCATCAGGTTTCCAGAGTAATGCACAAAAAAGTTAACTCAAGGGAAAACTTGCTCTTAAAGAAGGGACATGGTTGTATTAGGTCTTTTTCCACAAAGGGTGAAACAAAAACTTATCAGATAATCCCCAAACCAATTGCTCTACCAGAGGCTGTTTTTTAACAGTGTACAAAAGTGATAGAGACACTAGTTTTTTCTGAGACTCACAGTTTATATTTTCTAACTGGTCGTCAGGAAAGAAATTGTCCCCCAGTAAATTTGTTTTGGCTTGCCTAGAAAATTTTTTTTCCAACGTGGTTTGGTGTCAACAAAGGTCTCCAAATAATGATGGAGAATTCACAAGAAAAATGATTATATGAACTGAGGAATGCACATGCTACAGGGAAAGGCATAGAGGTGAAAGGGCCCAGTGCGTTAATAACACAGGGACAGTAAGATTGCTCTTGGAGTGGGTAGCAGATTGTGGGAGTTGATGCAAACAAGAAAAACTTGAAAAAGATTTTAGAAGGTCTTGTATCTAAAGTCAAGAAAGCTGCATTTGATTTACTGGACATTGCAGAGATCCTACAGGTTTATAAGTTCATTAGGACATATTTATTGTCCCAGTGGGTACCCCTGCCACCACCCCTAGGCAGTGGCGGCCCACCAGCAGCCTAGTCTCTTTCTCCTAACATACCCATCCCCAGGCTTCTTGGTTTATTTTCTTCCTGCCCACACTTCCTGGGTCACCTAATTACAGGGTCCCTTGGCTGGTGTCCTGGCTGCCTCTCTTTGGCAGCCTACTGGGTCCCTGGTCCAGGCATCTCGGGGACATCCTTCAACATTGCAATATGCACTCCTTGCTCGTATCTTCAGAGAGTGTCCTACCTTCATTCCTGAGATCTGCCCCACATCCCACGATTTTTTTCTAGTTCCTCCTGTGACCTCTAATGTCCCTTTGGGAAGTGCATCCATCTGATCAATTAAGTGTAATTTTCTCTTGTCCAGTCAAAAATTGAAAGTGCTTGGCTTTTCTCTTTTACATACGTGGCCACTTATAGGATCTTATTTCTGTCCTGAGGAAATTCCTGATTTTTCCTTACAGTTTGAAAATGTTACATGCTTTCCCAGCCATCTGTAAATGTTTTTTTTTTTTTTTTTTTTTTTTTTTACATAAATAACAGGCTCAGGATGTTTCCATGACACCTTTATCCTGACATTCAAGTGGCTCCTTTCTGTGCAGGAAACATAAGGACTCCCTTGTTGGGGGTTCTATTTTCTGTCCACATCTGATGATGTGGAACTTTACTTTCAGGGTTGGGACCCCGAGTTCTAAGTAAGTAGAAAGCTGAAAATTCCTAAATGTGCAAATCTGAGATGATGCCCCTTGGCTGTGATGGAACTTTCTAATTTCTGCCTCTCTTCAGTGATCCAGAAGAAAATTTATCAGCAAGCAAGTGACGGAGAAAAGCTTGCAGAGAGCCCTCACACCCAGCTGAGCCTTGAACAAGGTGATTGCAAACAGATAAAGACCAATTCTCATCTGCTAAGAGGAAAGGAGAAAGGGAGGTGGGCCCTGAGTGGATTTGGAGAATCGGGGGAACTGTGGAGGAGCCTGTAGAAGGCAGGGAGGGGTGTTCGTATGAGTCTGACCAGAAGCCAATCATGGAGTAGTAGCTGTGCTGAGTCCAAAGGCCCAATAACCAGGAAAAAGGAACAGAAACCCAGTGTGTCAGGGAACCAGATGTAAAAAGAATTGTGACCTGGAAGTAATTGTGAATTAGGAAGACACTGTAGGAGATCAGTGTGGAACTGTGAAGGGCTGAAGACTGTGGGCACAAGGTCAAGTATGAGAGGAGATCCTTGATGATGAGAGAAGAAAGGACTGACTTAAATGTGGGGAATGCTGTTCAAGAGCAGGAATATTCAAGAAGGTAGGCAGTCATATAAAGAGAGAAGGGAAGTGATAAGGTGTGGAGGAGGGGATGGCTGTATTTTGAGAGAAAGTAGGAAGGGAAATGAAAGACAAGAGAAAGGAGTAAAGGTCACAATAAAACAACCATATTATTAGGACCTCACTTATTGAACATTTACTCTGGCAGTTGTGATTGGTGCTCACAGCTGCCCTGGGGTGGAAGTATCACTATCTTCCCATTTGCAGAAAAGGAGACTGGAATCTAGGGAGACCGTGTGTGTAGTTGGCTTGGGGTCAAATGATCAGAATGAATGCAGCCATTCTGTACCCAGAGCCTGTGTTCTTAACCCTGTGCACTTAACACTCATGGAAAGGCCAACAAGGCAGTAAACACATGTGAAGAGGGAGGGCATGGTGTGAATTGCAGTGGGGATAGAAGACGTGATTTTGCAGGAAGTAAGGTAAGGCCACCATTCAAAGGCGTTTCTAAGGACAAAAATAGGTTCATTATGGCCAGGGTTGACCAGAAAAGCCATATCCAGTTACTGAGTGGCTTATGAATCATCTCAGTAAGGTGTCCTGACTGAGGTCAGGGATGCAGCTGATGGCAAGAGTCAGGTGGGATTCAGGTCCAGGTGGCCTATGTATTAATACCTGGAAGGAGGGGATCTTCAAGTCCTACTTTGTAGAGATTAAAATGGAATTAGAGGAGAACAGCACAGCCTATGCTTCAATATCTATGATAATTCATAAATAGTTCATTGAATGGCAGGAACCTGTTGAATGCTTTCAATTAACAACAGGGCTGTAATCCATCATGTGTAAAGGTGATCCAAGTCCAAAATCTCAAGAAGCTTAAACTCATAGCCATCTGCAATTGCTTTGAGGCAACCCAAGAGAATCTGTGGCTACTAGAATGGGCTTTTGATGTCTGTCATGTATTAAACTAATACCCCTAGAGCATGGCCTGTTTTCTTATCTACATATAAAATAAAAGGATTATGATAATATGAGGAATGCACTGTAGATGGCTGTTGAGGGAGTGCTTTGAGATCATGAAGATCTTTTAGTTGGTTCGTTCCAGGAGGGTGGCTCTAAGATATTTGATGTATTCAAATGTAAGAAGGCTGTTACAGAAAAGTTTGACGCCCATTGTCTTTAATACTCAGTTAATTCTATATATCCTCTTATTTGTCTTTTAGATATGGTTTTGGGTAATTTGGGATACTCTGTATCCAAATGGGATACATTTCTTTACACAATGTTATTCTTTAGCCAATAGATTATGGTTGAGGCAATAACCTGTTGTTTTACAAACTTGGAGTTTTTACTTAGAAGTTTTGTATGGTTAGACTTTTTTAATTTGGGATCTATAGAGTATTAGAGGAGGTGATCTGTATCTTGGATTAGAGAGGATGCACAAATGAACTTTATATTCCTTAGGTCTCATTTAAGAATTTAAGACTTGGCAGAGGATATTAGTCTTACTTTTTCATTACTACATAACAAATTCCCAAAACTTAGTGGCTGATCACAAAACCAATTTGTTGTCTCCCAGTTCTGTGGGTTGCAAGCCTGGACAGGCGCAATAGAGTTCTTGCTTAAAGTCTCACAAGGCTGAAGTCAAGATGCCCACCAGGCTCTACTCTATTTGGAGACTGTGGGGAGATTTATCCAAACTGTAGACAGAATCTAGATCCTTGAGGTTGTAGGACTGAAATCCAACTCTTGTTGCTCATGGTTGGCCAGAGATCATTCTTAGCTCCCGAGGCCACTCACTTTCCTGGGCGTATGGCCCCTGCACATTCAATCCAGGGACTGTGTGTAGAGTTCTTCTCAATCCTTCTTGATCTTTGAATCTCTGGCATCCTCTTTGGACACCAGCTAGAGACACTCTTCACTTTTAAAGGGCTTATATAATTAGATTGGCCCACCGGGATAATTTTTTTCTTTAAAAATTTCATTTAATTTTTTGATGCTCATTAAATTCTCTTTTAGTTCTTTTCGTTTTATTGAGGTATAACTGAAACACGACACTGTATAATTTTAAGGTGTGCAGCATAATGACTTGACTTATATGTATTGTGGACTGATATCTACAATAAATTGAGTTAGAATCCATCATCTCACAGAGACACAATGGAAAAAAGAGGAAAAAAAGTTTTTTTTTTCTTGTGATGAGATGTTTTGGATTCAGAGACTCTATTAGCAAACATATTATACAGCAGTGTTAACTATAGTCATCCTGTTGTATATTATATTTCCAGTACATATTTATATTATAACTGGAAGTTTTTACCTTTTGACAACCTTCTTTCAATTCTTCCCCCATCTCCCACATTCCCCGCTCCTGGTAACAACAAATTTGACCTCTCCTTCTATTAATTTTACCTTTTGGTTGGTTGTTTTCTTTGAGACTCCACATTTAAGTGAGGTCATACAGTGTTTGTCTTTCCCTGACTTATTTCACTTAAACTTAATGACTTTAAGGTCCATCCTACTGTCAAAATGGCATGTTTTTTTCTTTTTGGCTGAAATGCATTTTAGTGGGTGTGTTATCACATTTTCTTTATCTATGTATTTGTTGATGGACACATAGGTTGTTTCCATTTGCTGGCTATTTTAAACAATGCTTCAGTGAGGTACTATATCTCCTCAATATAGTTATTTTGTTTTCTTTGGATAAATACATCATAGGGCAGTTCTGTTTTTTTTTTTTTTTTTTTTTTGTAGATAAATACATCATATGGTAGTTCTATTTTTAATTTTTGAGGAAATGCCTTACTGTGCTCTACAGTGGCTCTGCCAATTTAGAATCCCACTTGTAGTCCTCAAGGGTTCCCTTTCACCCACATCCTCACCAGCATTCACCATCTCTTGTTTTGACAACCTTTTTATCTTAACATCTCTTATGCATTATAACATAACCTAAAAATTGGAGGATATTTCATGATATTTACAGTCCCTGGAGTTAGAAAGAGAAAGGAAATCTCGTAGGGTCATTTCAGAACTCTGTCCACTGCAATGAGGTTTAAGTAAGTCTCTAGAAAATAACCATCCTCATCAGCTATTTTTTTTTCCCCCCATAAATAATATAAAATATTCTTAGCAACTGAGCATTAATGTACTAAAGATTTGGTTATATAAGAGAATGTAGAAAATGGGTTAGGCACTACAGGGAAGTGAGGAAACAATGAGGTATTCCTATATTGTTTACCACTTTGAGGATCTTGACTTACACATGCTGTCTGTACACTAATGTTCAGATTAACTATAAATTGATCGTGTGTAAAATAATTTTCAAGGAATTCTAAATTATTCCTTCTTAGAACATTTAATCTGTTCATTTCATTTGCATAATAGATCTCTACTGATTTAATACATAGGCAGGGTTAAAACTCAAGCAAATCAAAGCAAAGCAAACAAAAGCAAAGCAAAGAAAAGAAAAGGAAAGAAGGTGTTTTTTTAGATAATGGTCTGAAAGTAACATTTAGTGAGTGGGACACAAGAACTTTTAGATATTTTACTCTCTTCCTTTATAGAAATATTATCAGATGCATTGTTTACTCTGATGTGTCACAAGTTTCCCACTGAAACCCACAGTCATTGCCTGTGACGTTTTGCAATTTATTAAGCCACGTGCACCAGTTAGAACCACAGTGAGAGCACAAAGAGGAAGTGGTGCTCTGCCCGCAGGAGGCGGCAGCTTTGGCAAAGGCAGGCTCAGGGCAAAGAGCCGAGAGGCCACAACACTCGGTCGTAGGGTAAATGGTGTCCTGCATGTGAATGGAGTATGGGGTTCATCCACCAAGCAGAAAGGAAAAAGGGGACATATGATCATTTACACAGTAACAGTTAACCTCAGGTTATGTGCTAAATAAATGGTTGTCTTTCATAAATTGGCAAGATATCAAGTGTCTTCATGAAGTTTTTGGAGTGGGGATTCAAGACTAAGTGTGACTAAATATCTTTATGCGAATAGGTTATTATCTAATGGACTGACACCCCTTAATTAGTCTCTGGGACTAGCTTGGATATAGGACCTACCAGATCTATTCATCCTTCCATTTGTTTTGGATCACTTTCTTCTAATGTTCAAGAAACACAGGAGAATCAGGAACAAGCACATGTGAGATAGGATATTTTACAATAGATAAGAGAGAGAGTAAAAGAAGTAGTATGAGAATAAGCACATTGACAGAATATTTGATAAAAGCTGTACCACCTAATTAAATGTCTAACTATTGTGTACCTAACTGCACACACACGTTTAAATACTAAGATAAACTCAGGAATAAGAGCTCATGAAACACGCCAAAGCTCAGATTATTGTTAGGGCAGGTTTACTTGGCAGTGGACCAGGAAGTTAATCTGAAGTGGACAGAAGAGCTGGGAATTACACTTGTTGGTCCAAGAGTCCCGCAGGGCACTCCAGCCAGAGTCTTCAAGATGATCTTGGTGGAAACCCCATTTTAAGGGATTACCCGTATGCAATATCAGAAGCTAAGAGGGGGATTTACTGCTTGCTAAGCTACGCACAGGATGGGAGGAGAGAGTGTATGTACTGGACACAATTTTTTTAAAAAACAGAAACTGCTGACTTTGTAAAGAGTTTTGGGAAGTATGTGTTTCAGGGACTGCAGACTTTCAGAAACAGGAGTGATTATGAACAGGTTACATTTAGCCATAGATGCAGGCTTTCTGGAATGTGGTTGTTGCTGATTGGCTGATTTTCAGAAACGTAGAGCTGCAACTGATTAGCTGGCTTTAAATGCGGTTGGTGCTTTAAGTAGGCATCGGCCAACAGGGAGGAGTTTAAAGCGGTCTGGTACTTACTTGCCTAATTTTCAAAGAATGGCCAGTATCTCTTTTTCTGGAAAAATACAATCTTTTCTTGTACTCTTAGGGCTACAAATAGAAAAATAACAATAGAGGAAGTAGAGCTGGGCGCAAGAATGGGTATAAGCATGGCTGTGTCAGAGCTCAGGTGTGATTATTGGAGCCGGTGTATTGTTTCCGAGGGTGCAGTTCATCTTAGCTCAGAACACCAGTGTGCCACATAGGAGCACCGGGAACTCTTCCCTAACCACTGTCTCGGGATCCGTGGACGCTAACTTTCTTGTTTCTCTTCAGTTTCTTGTGAACCAGAATCTCCCCAAATGGGTAGAGAAGGAGAATCTGAAGAGCTTACCTTTGACCTACTACCCCGTGATGAGCAAGGTAAGTGTGTCTTAAAGAAGCGGAGTTAAGATAGAGAAAAGACAAGAGAGGAAAAAAGGGAGAATAAAAGGAAGACTCAGATATAGAGAGGATTAATATTATGTTTCAGAGGAAGAAGCAGCAAAACAAAATCCACAAGGGTATCAAAAATAGGATCATTGGGGCATATGAGAAGAGTTTTCATAAAATATTATTTTGTCTAGAATCAGAGCTACCAGCAAATGAAAATGAGAAGTGTTCCTGCGTTATGTGCTCCTCAAAAGGTGTGCCAGGGGGTCTGAAGTCAAGGACTGGAAGTCGCCGAGGTAAGATGCCGCACAAGGGTCATGGCATGAGGGTGGATCCATGGTTACTCGGGACCGCAGGTGGAGTGTGAGAGGCAGTCAGTCCACAGCACTATGCGGTCCTCTTCAGAGTCTCCATGTGACCCTTTTGGGAAGAGCAGGGAGGCAAGAGATTATTATGAAGTCATGTTTAACAAGACAGGCCCTGTCGGTTATACATGGATGACGTAACAGAAAAACACCCCTAAACGACAACATCTAGTTTGCTGCATTTGTATATGAGTATTAACACGCCTTGAATTTGTGCAGTTATTTCCATTGGTGTCACACTCAATATTCCATGGAACCCAAGAAAACAAGGTGTACTTCTGCTAGAAGATAATAGTGTCATTTTTCACAACCTTTCAAAGGCCCTAAGACAACTGATCCTGCCATTCAACTGTCGGTAGGGAAGACTTCCAATCAACTGCTTAAAACACAGTAGAAATTTTTGGTGGATGTCCTCCACACGTCCCACATTTATGTAGCATATTCCTACAAACTTTTAGCCATAAGATCTTATTTAATTCTCACAAAAAATTTATCACCTAGACAGGATAGGACACCTGTTCCTGTCCATGATTGAAATGAAATATGTAGGTATTTCAGTTTTTTTAAAGTTCCATTGAGTAAAAAAAAAAAAAAGGAAGTCCCATAGCTCATCCTGGACTCCTACTTTTCAGTTCAGAAGATTTTTAGTTTCTTCAGATGGAGGAGAAAAATGATAACTAAACAACTTTATAAACTCACTCTTGTAGTATGAATCATCCTAGGCTTGGTAACATTTAGCTATTAATTTCTGTTACCTAATTCAGCTTCTTCTTCCTAGATCATATGAATCTTGGAAACAACCCTACTTTGGGAAAACACAAGAGGAAAAGAAGTAAGAGTGAAAAAGATTTTACTTGTTTTTGATGTTAGAATGAGGGTATTAATGCCAGAGTTTCATTATCATAATTATAAATGAAAATAATATTATGGTCCCACAAAAAATGTCCATACCCTCTACTTTATCAGATGCTTTTTCCACATCTATTGATATGATCATGTGATTTTTGTTTTTCCTTTTTTTAATGTTTATTATGTTTATTGACTTGAGAATATTATACCATCCTCACATCCCTGGGATGAATCCCACTTGATCATGATGTATCATCTTGTCAATGTGTTGCTGAATATGGTTTGCCAATATTTTGTTGAGGATTTTAGTGTCTATGTTCACCAGCAGTATTAACCTGTAGTTTTCTTTTTTGTTGTGTCTTTGTGGTTTTGGGGTATGCTGGCCTCATAAAAAGAGTTTGGGAGTCTTTCCTCTTGTTGGATTTTTTGGAATAGTCTGAGAAGAATAGGTGTTAGCTCTTCTTTAAATATTTTGTAAAATTCTCCTATGAAACTGTTAGGCCCAGGGCTTTTGTGTACTGGGAATTTTCTGATTATTGCTTCAGTTTCACTAGCTACTATCAGTCTGCTCAGGCTTTCTGCTTCTTCTTTCAGTTTTGGAAGATTATATTTTTCTAGATTATTTTTGTCTATTTCACCCAGATTTCCAGATTTTTTGGTTTATAGTTGTTTGTGGTAATTTCTTACAATCCTTTGTATTTCTGTGGTATCAATTGCTACTTCTCCTCTTTCATTTCTGAATTTGTTTATTTGGGTCCTCTCTCTTTTTATCTTGATGAGCCTGGTTAAAAGTTAGTGATTTTGTTCATCTTTTCAAAGAAACTGCTCCTGGGTTTATTGATCCGTTGAATTGTTCTTTTAGTCTTTATGTCATTCCCTTGTGCCCTGATCTTGATTACTTCCTTCCTTCTACTCATTGTGGGCTTTTTTTGTTGGTGTTTCTCCAGTTTTTGTAGCTGTAGGGTTAGGTTGTTTATTTTCAATGTTCCTATCTTTTTTAGATAGGCCTGTATTTTTATGAACTTCCCTCTCAGGACTGCTGTCACTCTGTCCCATAGATTGCACACTGTTGTGTGTTCATTTTCATTTTTTTTTCAGGATTTTTTGGATTTCTTTCTTGATGTCTCTATTAACCCATTCATTGTTTAATAGCATTCTATTCAGTCTCCATGAGTTTGAATGCTTTTGAGTTTTTTCCTTGAGATTGGTTTCTAGTTTCAGGCCCTTGTGGTTTGAAAAAATGCTTGATATAATTTCAATTTTCTTGAATTTGTTGAGACTTGTTTTTTGTCTTATCATGTGGTATATCTTTGAAAATTTTCTATGTACACATGAAAAGAATATGTATTTTGCTTCTTTGGGATGAATGATTATATATGTTAAATCCATTTGATCTAGTGTGTTGTTCAATATTGCAATATCCTAGTTGATATTTTGTTTGGAGGATCTATCCACTGTTGACAGTGAGGTGTTAAAATCCCCTACTATAAGTGTGCTGCTGTGTATATCTTTCTTGTAGTCCTCCAAGATTTTCCTTTTATATTTGGGTGTTCTTCTGTTGGGTGCATATATGTTTGCAATGTTTATGTCTTGATGGATCTTTCCTTGAGTATTATAAAGTGTTTGTCTGTGTCTTTCTTTATGGCCTTTGTTTTGAAGCCTATTTTGCCTGATATAAGTATTGCTACCCCTGATTTTTTCCCTGTCCATTTTCTTGGGATTTTTTTCCAACCCTTCATTTTTAGGCTGTGTAGGTCTTTTGTTCTCAGGTGGGTCTCTTATAGACAGCATATGTGTTGGTCATGTTTTTGTCTCTATTCAGCTACCTTATGTCTTTTGATTGGAGCATTTAATCCATTAACATTTAAGGTTATTACTGATACTTATTCCTTTTTACCTTTGTACCTGTGGTGTTCTTTCTCACTCTTTTTCATCATCTTCTTAAAACAGTTCTGTTAGCATATCGTGCAGTGCTGGTTTGGTGGAAGTGTGTTCTTCTAGCCTTCTTTTGGCTGGGAAACTCCTTATTTCACCTTCCATTTTAATTGAGAGCCTTGCTGGGTAGAGGAGTCTTGGATGCAGGCCTTTGCTTTTCAGTCCTTGGAATATTTCTTGCCATTCCTTCCTGGCTTGTACTGTTTCTTTTGAGAAGTCAGCTGCTAGCCTTATTGGGGCTCCCTTGTATGTTACTTCCTGTTTCTCTCTTGTTGCCTTTAAGATTCTCTCTTTGTATTTGGATTTTGCCATTTAAATTATGATGTGTCTAAAGTGGGCCTCTTTTGCTTCATCTTGATTGGGACCCTTTGTGCTCCTTGAACTTGTGTGACTTTTCTTCTCTCCAGGTTAGAGAAGTTTTTTGTCATTTTTTCAAACAGATTTTCTATCCCTTTCTCCTTCTCTTCTCCTTCTGGTATTCCTATGACTTGAATGTTATTGCATTTCATGTTTTCCTGAAGTTCCCTTAAGCTATGCTCATATTTTTGTGAGTATTTTTTCATGCTGCTGTTCTACCTGGGTATTTCTTTCTACCTTGTCTGCCAGCTCACTAATTTGGTCCTCTGCTTCATCCAGTCTGCTTGTGATTCCTTCTAGTGTATTTTTTTTATTTCAGATATTGTATTCTTAATTTATTCCTGGTTCTTGTTTATATTTTCCATTTCATTATTCATGTTGTTGTAGTTCCCACTCAATTCCTTGTAGTTGTCACTGAGTTCCTTGAGCATCTTCATAACTATTCTTCTATTGAATTCTATGGTTGATAGTTTGCTTGCCTCCATTTCATTTAGTTCTTTTCCTGGGGAACCTCCCATTCCTTTCGATTGTGGGTTCTTTCTTTGTCTCCCCATTTTAGGTGTTTGCTTTTTTCTGTGTTTCTGGATGCTCTAGTTGCCAGCTTTCTTCATGGTGAATTTGTGGGAGGAGTTCTGTAGGACTCAGTGGCATGGTCTCTTTGACCTCCTTGTCTGGATGCTCTAGAGTTGTCCTTTCTTCCATTTGTGTAGGCTTTCTTGTTGAACTTGGGCTTTACTTGTTGGTGGCTTCTTTGTTGGTGTGTTCTCCCCTCCTCTAGGCTTAGTGGTAGCCACAACTCTCACCTTGTCTTGTATGGTGTTGTATAGGTGTTGGTTAACAAAGCAATATTACCAGACAACCAAAGCTATGCCAGGAAAAAGAGCTGCCCCCCACTGACAATAGCAACCTCAGCTGCAGTTGAATTAAGATTAATAAATGTGGAAACAAATTGCAGATATTATAAGATATGACACAGGGAATATGAGATGACTAAAAGAGGGGAAAATGTTATTGAGTGGTAAGAGGGAGGACAATTGATAAGAGTTGGGATAGAACTGAGGTGAAGAAAGGGAGAGAACAAAATTTAAAATGTAAGTAAAACACAAAAGAGTACTGGGAACAATGGGTGAAGAAATGGCAAGAGTATACTGTGAGGTTTGAAGTAAAATTGAAAAGGTACTGGACCAAAGAGAGCAAAATTGCAGAAAAACCGGAGCAGAGTTGATAGCAAGAACAGCTGAATGAAGTTTAATAAAGGTGGAATGGGAATAAGAATATTGTAGCAAAATAAAAAGTGGATATGAGCTATCTACAGCAAAGAAAAATTATTTTGAAGGGATGGAGAAAGCAAACTAATAAGAATAAGGAGTAAAGCCCAGGTTGGCGGGGGGGAAGAGACAGGCAGAGAGAGAGAGAGAGAGAGAGAGAGAGAGAGAGAGAGACAGGGACAGGGGGAGAGAGAGAGAGAGAAGAAAAACAATGAAATTAAATTCCTCACTCAATTGATCAGGGGCAGGGGAAGGTGAAATGGAGTAAGTCAGCAGGAAAGTAGTCTATGGGATTTAAAGTACAAACAAAGAGTATAGAAATAGAAGTCCCTTTGGAGGAGTATAGTAATAACCGTGGTATTTCACCCAACTAGCCACTGTTAATAAAAAGTGAAAAAGAAAGAAGATTCTTATAACAGGGGAAAAAGAATGTGAGCTGACTTAAGAAAGAAGAGTACTTATGTGAGGGTAGATGGAGGAGTAATAGCGAGAGTAAGGGATAGAAACTTGGCATAGTGTGAGAGAAAATAAAGTTTACATCAACCATAATAAAGCTCAGAAATACAGTGAAATGGGTTGAGACCAGGGAAGGGTGCTGTGTGGGATTTGGAATAACAATAGTATGATTAGAAATATATAATCTGAATAAAAAGAATAAAAAATAAAAGACCAAGAGCAATGAAGTTTTTGGGATACAAGTGAAGTGAAAGAAGAAAAATTAAAATACAATATGGAAGGGAGAATAAAAAAAACAAAGCAAACAATAAAAACAAACCAAACTAAATAAATGGAAAGAAGAAAGAAAGAAAAACCATGCAAGGTCTGATGAAGAGCAAAGTGAAATTTATCTCACCTGTTGGTGTTCACCCTCTGACCTCTTTCTGGATCTGTCTCTGGTTTTCTCTCAGCCCCAGATCTTATTGCCTTACTCTTGTGGGGAGAAGGTTATTGTTAAGCTGGTACAGCAGGTTTTGCAGATCTTCCTGGTTCCTGCAGGCAGAGGGGGCTGGGTTCCATTTTTCCTTTCCTGTGGTCTGGCAAGGATGGGGGCTCAGTCTGGGCTACAATAATCACAGGTGCCCAGTTTCCAGCCCATGCACTCAGAACGCTGTGCGGCCACACTCTCCTCTCTCCACAGTTACGCCAGGCTGGTACCGAAAGGCACCTCATTTTGCAACCCTTTCAACTGTCTATGAGGTGCCCTGAGTGGGAGCAAATTGCGCCCACAATCCTCCCTCTTTGCTGGCTGGGCTGCTGCACGTATGGGGTCCATGCATGGTGTGTCTTGGTTCCCCTTTTGCAAAAACGTCTCTTTGGGTACCACTGCTGCTCTGAGCCCCCTTTACACACACTCCAACTCTTTGGAAAGTCCAGAGTCCACATGGGTCATGGCCAGTTGCATCTCACCTTTTCTCCCAGTTCTAGATGCCACCAGGATCCCTCAAATTCCCTGGCACTGTCCCAGTCAGTGACCACTGCCCCAACTTGGTTATGCAGCTGGCTTTATGCATCTAGGTCTCCCCTGGAGTGGGTTTGGGGTTTCCCCACAAGGGGAGGGAGGCTCTAGGCTGCTTTCACTGACCCGGCTCTCCTCTAGTGTTCCCACACCAGCTGCAGTTTCTGGTACCAGGCCTGGGGACCTTCTGTGTTGACCTATAAAACCTCCTAACTGCCCATTTTGAAGCATCCTCTGCACACTTTGGCTTCCAAACTTCCTATCAGCTAAGATTCTGTTGTCTTCTTACTTTGTTTTTCAGAAGGTTGGCTAAGTGTCCAAGATAGGTACACTAGCAAGTGGGCTCAGATCCCACCTACTTTCACTGCCATGTTCTGAACTCTGAGAAGATGTTTTTTAGATAACAGTCTGAAAGAAATACTTAGTGATTGGGAAATAGGGACATTTAGATAATTTGCTCTTTTACAGAAATATTATTAAATGCTTTATTAACTTTTGATGTGTCACAAGTTCCCCATTGAAACCCACAGTCATCATCTGTGAAACGTCATGGTTTATTAAGCCCTTGCACCAGTTAGAACCACAGTGAGAGCACAAAGAGGAAGTGGCGCTCTGCCCGCAGGAGGCGGCAGCTTTGGCAAAGGCAGGCTCAGGGCGAAGAGACGAGAGGCCACAACATTCAGTTGTAGGGAGAATGGTGTCCTGCATGTGAATGGAGTATGGGGTTCATCCACCAAGCAGAGAGGAAAAAGGAGGTATATGATCAATTACATGGTAATAATTGATCTTGGGTTATGTGCTAAACAAAATTATTTTCTTTTTAATTGGACAGGATGTCAAATGTCTTCATAAAGTTTTTGGAGTGGGATTCCAGACTAGTATGACAAAATATCTTTGCACAAATTGGCTACTGTTTAATGGGCTCAAATCCATTAACGAGTCTTTGGGCCTGGCTTGGTTAGAGGGCATATCCAGTCTATGTCTCCATCCATTTGCTCTGAATGATTTTCTCCTAAAGGTCAAGAAGCACAGGAAAATCAGAAACAAGTGTGTGTGAGAAGACATTCTATAACAGGCAACAGAGGGAGATAGAGTGAAATAGTAAAGAATAGGCATATAACAGAGTATTTGCCAAATGCTGTACCTCCAAAGCAAATGTCTATTTTGTACCTAACTGCACACACACATTTAAATAATAAGATAAACTCAGGAATAAGAGCTCATGAAATACATCAAATTTCAAGTTGTTAGGACAGGTTCACTTGGTAGTGGATCAGGGAGATAACTGGAAGTGGGCACAAGAGCTGGGGAATTATACTTTTTGGTCCAAGGGTCCTACAGGGCACTCCAGCCAGAGTCTTCAAGATGATCTTGGTGGAACAACTGATATCACAGAAATACAAATGATCATCAGAAACTATTATGAACAATTATATGCCAAGAAATTTGAAAATCTTGATGAAATGGACAAATTTTTAGAAAAGTATTATCTTCCAACACTGAAGGAGGAAGAAACAGAAAGCTGAACAGACCGATAACAGCTGGGGAAATTGAAGCAGCAATCAAGAAACTCCCAGCACACAAAAGCCCAGGGCCTGACAGTTTCACAGGAGAACTTTACAAAACATTTAAGGAAGAGCTAACCCCTGTCCTTCTCAGACTATTCCAAAAAATCCAAGGGGAGGGAAGACTCCCAGACTCTTTCTATGAGGCCAGCATCACCCTGATCCCAAAACCAGATAAAGACCCTACAAAGAAAGAAAACTACAGGCCAATTTTGCTGATGAACATAGATGCTAAAATCCTCAACAAAATATTGGCAAATCGCATCCAGCAATACATTAAAAAGATTATCCACCGCAATCACGTGGGATTCATCCCAGGGATGCAGGGATGGTTCAATATACGCAAATCAGTAAACGTGATACATCACATAAATAAAAGAAAAGACAAAAACCACATGATCATCTCGATGCAGAAAAAGCATTTGACAAGGTACAGCACCCATTTATGATCAAAACACTCAGCAAAATGGGAATAAATGGGGCATTCCTCAACGTAATAAAGGCCATATATGAAAAACCTACAGCCAATATCATACTCAATGGGCAAAAACTGAAAGCTTTCCCACTAAGATCGGGAACACGACAAGGATGTCCGCTCTCACCGCTTCTTTTCAACATCGTATTGGAAGTCCTAGCCACAGCGGTCAGACAAGAGAAAGAGATAAAAGGCATCCAAATAGGAAAGGAGGAAGTAAAACTATCATTGTTTGCAGATGACATGATAGTGTACATAGAGAACCCTGTAGACTCTACCAAAAAACCTCCTCAACCTTATAAGTGAATTTGGCAAAACAGCAGGATACAAAGTCAATATTCAGAAATCAAAGGCATTTTTGTACACCAGCAATGCAATAGAAGAAGAAGAAATGAGAGAAAAAATACCATTCGATATAGCAAGAAGGAAAATAAAGTACCTAGGGATAAATTTAACCAGAGAGGTACAAAAGACCTGTACGCAGAAAACTATACAACATTGAAAAAAGAAATTAAGGAAGACACAAATAAATGGAAGCATATACCGTGCTCATGGATTGGAAGAATTAATATCCTCAAAATGTCCATACTACCCAAAGCAATTTATAGATTCAACGCAATCCCTATTAAGATACCAATGACGTATTTCACAGAAATAGAACAGACATTTCAAAAATTTATATGGAACCATAAACGACCCCGAATAGCTGCAGCAATTTTGAGAAAGAAACACAAAGTAGGAGGGGTCACAATACCGGACATCAAACTCTACTACAAAGCCACTATACTCAAAACAATCTGGTACTGGCACAAGAACAGACCCATAGACCAGTGGAACAGAATAGAAAGCCCAGAAATAAGCCCAGGTCTCTATGGACATCTAATATTTGACAAAGGGGGCAGAACCATAAAATGGAGCAGTAACAGCCTCTTCAACAAATGGTGTTGGGAGAGCTGGACGGCTACATGGAAAAAATTGAAATTGGATCATCAGCTGACACCATACACAAAAATAAACTCAAGATGGATAGAAGACTTAAATATAAGTCGCAACACCATCAAAGTCCTAGAGGAGAACATTGGCAGGAAACTCTCAGATATCCCACGCAGCAATTTTTTCACTGATATGTCTCCTAAAGCAAGGGACATAAAGGAAAGAATAAACAAGTGGGACCTCATCAAAATAAGAAGCTTCTGCACGGCGAAAGAAAACATCAGCAAAATGAAAAGGGAGCCAACCCTATGGGAAAATATATTTGCTAATGATACATCAGATAGAGGTTTGATCTCCAAGATATATAAAGAACTCACTCGACTCCACTCCAAGAAGACAAACGATCCAATCAAAAAATGGGCAAAGGACCTGGGCAGATGCTTTTCCAAGGAGGAGATACAGAGGGCCCAGAGGCATTTGAAAGGATGCTCAGCATCACTAGCCATCAGAGAAATGCAGATCAAAACCACCATGAGGTACCACCTCACACCAGTCAGAATGGCCATCATAAACAGATCCACAAACAACAGGTGCTGGCGAGGCTGTGGAGAAAAGGGAACCCTCGTACACTGTTGGTGGGAATGCAGACTAGTACAGCCACTGTGGAAGGCAGTGTGGAGTTTCCTCAAAAAGCTGAAAATGGAACTGCCTTTTGATCCAGTGATTCCCCTGCTGGGACTATACCCTAAGAACACCAAAACACCAATAGAAAAGAACCTATGCACCCCAATGTTCATAGCAGCACAATTTACAATAGCCAAGTGTTGGAAGCAACCTAAGTGTCCGTCAGTAGATGATTGGATCAAAAAATTATGGTACATATACACAATGGAATACTATGCAGCAGAAAGGAAAAATGAACTACTAAACTTTGCGACAGCATGGATGGAACTGGACAGCATTATGCTAAGCGAAATAAGCCAGGGGGCGAAAGACAAATACCATATGATCTCACCTATAAGCGGAACCTAAACAACAATACAAAGATGCAAGGAAAATATGACCAGCAACACTGAAAGGAAAAGAAATCAACAGAGACAAGAGGGAAGGAGGGAGAGGCAGACAGGGAAAGGGAAGGGAAGGGGAAAGTCAAGGAACACATAACAAGAACTCATGGACAAAACCAAAGGGGAAGAGCTGAGGGAGGGGGCAAGGGAAAGTGGTGGGGGGAGGCAGAGACAAATGTATTTAAAAATAAATAAAGAAAAAAAAAAAAGATGATCTTGGTGGAAACTCCATTTTAAGGGATTACCCGTATGCAATATCAGAAGCTAAGAGGGGGATTTACTGCTTGCTAAGCTACGCACAGGATGGGAGGAGAGAGTGTATGTACTGGACACAATTTTTTTAAGAAACAGAAACTGCTGACTTTGTAAAGAGTTTTGGGAAGTATGTGTTTCAGGGACTGCAGACTTTCAGAAACAGGAGTGATTATGAACAGGTTACATTTAGCCATAGATGCAGGCTTTCTGGAATGTGGTTGTTGCTGATTGGCTGATTTTCAGAAACGTAGAGCTGCAACTGATTAGCTGGCTTTAAATGTGGTTGGTGCTTTAAGTAGGCATCGGCCAACAGGGAGGAGTTTAAAGCGGTCTGGTACTTACTTGCCTAATTTTCAAAGAATGGCCAGTATCTCTTTTTCTGGAAAAATACAATCTTTTCTTGTACTCTTAGGGCTACAAATAGAAAAATAACAATAGAGGGAGTAGAGCTGGGCGCAAGAATGGGTATAAGCATGGCTGTGTCAGAGCTCAGGTGTGATTATTGGAGCCGGTGTATTGTTTCCGAGGGTGCAGTTCATCTTAGCTCAGAACACCAGTGTGCCACATAGGAGCACCGGGAACTCTTCCCTAACCACTGTCTCGGGATCCATGGACGCTAACTTTCTTGTTTCTCTTCAGTTTCTTGTGAACCAGAATCTCCCCAAATGGGTAGAGAAGGAGAATCTGAAGAGCTTACCTTTGACCTACTACCCCGTGATGAGCAAGGTAAGTGTGTCTTAAAGAAGCGGAGTTAAGATAGAGAAAAGACAAGAGAGGAAAAAAGGGAGAATAAAAGGAAGACTCAGATATAGAGAGGATTAATATTATGTTTCAGAGGAAGAAGCAGCAAAACAAAATCCACAAGGGTATCAAAAATAGGATCATTGGGGCATATGAGAAGAGTTTTCATAAAATATTATTTTGTCTAGAATCAGAACTACCAGAAAATGGAAATGAGAAGTGTTCCTGCGTTATGTGCTCCTCAAAAGGTGTGCCAGGGGGTCTGAAGTCAAGGACTGGAAGTCGCCGAGGTAAGATGCCGCACAAGGGTCATGGCATGAGGGTGGATCCATGGTTACTCGGGACCGCAGGTGGAGTGTGAGAGGCAGTCAGTCCACAGCACTATGCGGTCCTCTTCAGAGTCTCCATGTGACCCTTTTGGGAAGAGCAGGGAGGCAAGAGATTATTATGAAGTCATGTTTAACAAGACAGGCCCTGTCGGTTATACATGGATGACGTAACAGAAAAACACTCCTAAACGACAACATCTAGTTTGCTGCATTTGTATATGAGTATTAACACGCCTTGAATTTGTGCAGTTATTTCCATTGGTGTCACACTCAATATTCCATGGAACCCAAGAAAACAAGGTGTACTTCTGCTAGAAGATAATAGTGTCATTTTTCACAACCTTTCAAAGACCCTAAGACAACTGATCCTGCCATTCAACTGTCGGTAGGGAAGACTTCCAATCAACTGCTTAAAACACAGTAGAAATTTTTGGTGGATGTCCTCCACACGTCCCACATTTATGTAGCATATTCCTACAAACTTTTAGCCATAAGATCTTATTTAATTCTCACAGAAATTTTTAACACCTAGAATAAGATACCTGTTCCTGTCCATGAGTGAGCAGAAGTGTGTAGGTATTTGAGTTTTTTAAAGTCCCATTGAGAAAGAGGAAAAAAAGGAAGTCCCATAGCTCATCCTGGACTCCTACTTTTCAATTCAGGAGATTTTTAGTTTCTTCAGACGGAGGAGAAAAATGATAACTAAACAAGTTTATGAACATATTCCTACTGTATGAATCTCCTGGGATTGATAACTTATGCCATTAATTTCTGTTTCCCTACTTCTATCTTTTACTAGATCCTATCAATCTTGGAAACAACTCTACTTTGGGATGCAAGAGGAAAAGAAGTAAGAGTGAAAAAGATTTCACTTGTTTTCAATGTTAAAATGAGGTTATTAAAGTCAGAGTTTCATTATCATAATTATAAGTGAAAATAATACGATGGTCCCACAAAAAATGTCCATATCCTGATCTCTGGAACCTATAATGCATTCTCTTCAATGCCAAAAGGGATTCTGCAGAGAGTGAAGCTAGGGGACTTTATTTTAGATATCAGTATGCCACCAACAGAGTCAACTGACCTTAAATATCGGAGAACAATTTCTGGCTGTGGGGATAGGGAGAAGTGGTTCTGGGAGATACAGAGAACTACAATTGCTGGCTTTAAAGATGGAGAAAATGATTGAAGATACGGGTAAATTGTAGAATTTGGAAACGTCATGGAAATAGTTTCTCCTCTACAGGCTCCCGGGAGGAATAAAGGGCTACTGAGACCTTTGTTTTAGCCCAGAGAGACTCTTGTCAGGCTTCTAACCAACGTATCTGTAAGAGAGTAAGACTGAATTGCTTTTAGCCACTATATTTGTGTTTGTTTGTTGTGGCAGCCATAGAAGAGCAATACAGATTTTGGTTTCTGGAAGTCGGGTGGGGTTGTAACACATTTCTATAAAGGTGGAAGTGGCTTAGGAATTGGGCATTGGGAATATTTTTCAGTAGAGTGGTAGAAAATGTCTACAGGGCCTGGAACAGTTTGTTAGTGGAAATGTGGACACTAAAGACAGAGAAACTGACAGAAGGATGAGCGAAGTTTAGGTTTAAGACACGTGGAAAGCCGACATTTCTGGGTATACATGAAGAGATTTCCAAAGAAAGTGATGAAGGTGGCGCTGGTTCCATGTTACAGCTTAGAGCACAGTATGACAGGAAAGAGGTAAGTGGAGAGAAGAACTGCTAAACCAAAGGAATCAGGACTTGATGATTTGGAAAATTCTCAGCCTATTCAGGTTGCAAAAGACGTGAAATGAGGAAATCCACCGTCAGGAAGATGTGCTCTCTAGAAGTAATAAAATTCTGCCTTCATGAAGCATTGCTGATGCGTTGGTAGTAGCAAAAATCTGAGTATTCAGTAACATATAAGGTTCTTTGAAGAGATGAAGTGTGTAACTCACAGATCTCCTCAAGCCATCTCAGCAGAAGTCAAACAGAGATGTATAATTATATACAAAAGATCTGTGGAGGAGACTCTTTAACAGAGTAAATCCACATGATATACATGGGAGATGCATAGGAAGATCCTTGAGAAGTTTATGCCAACAGAAACAGAGCTGTCAACATCTAATCCCTGGAACTGTTTCTTACATGGTGAAACGGAGTTTGAGGCTATGACTAGGGATATTGAGATGGGGAGATTTTCCTGGATAATCATGGTGGCCCCAATAAAATCACAGGCATCCTTAAAATCAGAAAACCTTTCCAGCTATGGAGAGAGTGATTTGTACCAGGAACTAATCAGGGAGAACAATGAGGCCGACAAAGGATGCAGACAAAGGACGATGAGCCAAGAAAGGCAGGTAACTTCAGGAACTAGAAAAGGCAAAGTACTGAATTTTCCCCTACAGCCTCCAGAAAGGAACAAGCTCTGTGGACACCTTAATTTAGCCCAGTGAGATTTGTGTCAGTTTCTTACTACAGCACTGTTACATTTCCCTTACTTCAAACCAGCCTGTGATGCAGAAGACTTTATAAACATGTAACATTTGCCAAATGAACTGTAAATTGTTTTCTTCCAGGCAAAATTTACAATGAATTATACAAACATTAAGTGGCCTTAAAATGAGTCTGATAAATGCATTTTCTGTATAAAAAAATTCAAATAATAACAAGATACAGAACCTGACCATCAACCTCCAAATATTGATACCCTTTCTGGTATATCCTTACCTCTCACTCATCAGAGGCAATTACTATTCTTATTTTTTAAATAATAACAATTTGGCCCATTTGAAAAGTATTTTATTGGAAAGCTTTTGCACTCAGCTTAATGTTTTTCAGTTTCAGCCACATTGTTGAGTGTGTAGTTTTTCCTTTTTATTGTAAAGTAGTGCATATTGTATGAATATACAAAATTTTGTGTATATATCCCGTTATTGATAGACACCACAATATTCCATGAATATCCTGGAATATTTCGAAGGAGGGAGATGTTCTTTATTTCACAGTGGTTAGGAAACAAATGTGCCCTCTGACCTGAGGGCTACAGTATCCCTGTTTCCAAGCTATTGAAACAGCCTTGAAAATATACTTTAAGGCATGTGGAAATGTCACAGAGAACTGCCTTTTCCTGTGTCTGTACAGTTTTCCTGTCACCCTTTTTTATGGATACTGTTTTTTCCCCATTGTATATTTTTGCCTCCTTTGTCATAGTTTAATTGACCATGTAAGCGTGCATTTATTTCTACCCAAGCAATCTACACATTCAGTGCAATCCTTATCAAAATACCAATGGCATATTTCACAGAACTAGAAGAAATAATCCTAAAATTTATGAAACCACAAAAGACCCCGATAGCCAAAGCAATGTTGAGAAAGAAGAAAACAAAGTTGGAGGTATAATGTGCCCTGATTTCAAACTGCGCTACAAAGCTATGGTAATCAAAACAGTGTGGTACTAGCACCAAAAGAGACACATAGGTCAATGGAACAACATAGAGATTTCAGAAATGAGCCCATGCTTACATGTGTTTTTAAAAAGATTTTCAAAGAAAGTAATTTCCTACAGTTTTCCAAGTGCACACACAACAAAATATAACTTTATACTCAACCTCACACTGTTACACTGGTAGTTAACAATTTTGCCCATTTTTTGTGGCTCAGCTCTGAAAAAGGTGCTTTAACTCTACTGACCTATTAGGCTTTGAGAATTATACCTCTGAATAATTAACTTTATTCTCTTCTTTTTTGAAGAAAAAAGGAAAGGGCATTCCTGGACAAGATATAAAAGGAAATGGCAGAGAAACACACGTCAAAGAGGTAAGCAGGCAAAGTGAAGAAGTCACACCTTTGGCGTTTATGAGGGCACTGCTTCTGTGCTCTTGTGGCCTGCAGTCACCTGTGGGCCCTGACAGTTTCCCAGTGACTGTGGAAGGTAGGATATAGGCTATGATGCTGTAACAGGCCTGAAAATGCAGTGGCTTCAATAAAATAGTTTATTTCTCGTACACATAATCACCCAGCGCTAAATGATCGGGGCTCATAGGGAGACACTGCCATCCGCAGTGCGTGGCTTCTTTACTGGGTCAAGAAATGGGACTAGAGGTTATGTATTGTTCTTTATGCTTTAGTCAGGCTTTGAGGAAGATATGTTTAAATGGAAATTAAAAAAAAACACTAATATCTGTAAAAAAAAAGGCAGGTCTATAACTGTGATTATATATATATTTTTCATTTTTGTCAGGGAAAAAGAGAGGCAGATATAGAATCCACTTAAATTCTAGTAACAAAGCCCTAAAGAAGAGAACCCTGTCAAGAGTTCTTGCCCTGTCAAGAGGCAAAGAAGGTAAGGGGATATACTTTCAATAATTACCTATCTAATTTCCTGTGCTGTAGTCTGTGTTTTTAATAATGAATCCATTTTACTAATTGCTTCATGTAGCTTTACTAAAAGTTGAGAAATGCATATGACTTTGCCTGTTTTCAAAATGTGTCAGGGACAGAAAGAGGATAATCTGACACACCAGTTACTTGGAGACAAATCTAAACCAGGTCCCAGGGTCCAGGGTCCACTGCGGTGCTGCTGTCGCCACTGAACTGATAAGTTTCACGCTGGACCCAGGCTGTTGCCATAGAAAGGGTATACACAACCCACAAATGATTTAGCTGACCCTTTTCTTACACAGAGAGTCACAGGTTGCAAACCACTGGTGACCCAGAGTGGTGGTCAGACGTCTTTCCCTCTCTCGACCCCAATGGCTTGTGTCGGTCACGTAACCACTCTTGCCTCAGTTTCCTCATCTGTAGAGCAGGAGAGTGAATTAGGCCAACCATCGTTCTCAGCCCCTCCTCGTGCTAACAGTCTGTCTCAAAATTGTTACATGGACAGACCACCTCCTCCTACCATGGCTCTAAAACTTGGCTGTGAGGGCAGGATCTGGTGCACATCATTCTAGAGTTGGTTCATTTGCTGCTGTGGGGGAGGAATGAGGCAAAGCAGCGACACAAACAGCAGACACCGTGTCCATCAGGTCGGCCCATCGCTGTCCTCTCTGCCCCTGCGTCAGAGCTCACACAGGAAGAGGCCTGCACAGCCTGGACTTTGTCTGCAGCGACCTGAGTGCAGGGAAATAGCCCCGGTGCAGAGCCCCCTCCTACCAGGGCAGCAGCTGCGTGTGCCACTGTCACCTGAGAATCAGGGGGTGACCACATGGCGGGGAGCTGAGACAGTCTCGTGTGGACGCCTGGTGTCTCTGCTACAGCGTTCTGATTGGGGGGGTTTGAGAGGTGAAATGAAGGTACATGTTCTGTGGTTATGTATCAAAAGTACCACTGAAGGAAAGACTCTGAAACTCTGGAGACTTGTGGAATAAATTTTCCTAAGTACCCCTATGACCTTATGGAAATGACCTCATGGAAATGACCTCAACACAGGAGGAAGTTGTATGCGTGCACTTGTAAAATGAGACAGATTGAAGAAACCTTCTGTTTCAGGGTCAAGAAAGCACAGAGATAACAGTGTGGATTTTCGCTCAGAAGTACTTCCTGTGACCTGTGGAGAGGTGAAAGGGATATTATATAAGAAAATATTGAAACAAGGTAGGTTTCATGGTCTGATTTGCAACTCTTATGAGAAGGAAAGACAAGAAGTCTAGAATTACCCATATGAATTATATATCATTGAAAGAGTTGAGGTTGTATTTTGGCTTGAGAGATGGAGGAAGTGAGCCTCAAGATGATATTTTCATCCTTTAAGACACTGTACATATTAGCGGCTCACTGCCACATGGAAGTGACCATGGAAATGCCCAAAGAACCAAGCTGAGAAGTGAATCAGAAATACATGGGAAGAGGTCCTCAGCTGCCACCTTCCTGTCCTCTCTCTTTCCTGGATCATTATTGGCAGGACAGGGTGTTAGATACAGTGAGGAGATCACAGAACTTAGAATGAGAAACCCTGGGTCCCAGCCTCAGCTCTGCCAGATGAATGACTGATTCATCCGAGTAAAAAAGGGCACTGCTCTTGACTCTAAAACAGTCTGAAAAAAGAGATGATGTTTAAAATATTCCTCATGGTATAGCTGTAAGGAATTAATTTACATAATTGATGTATACTATTTAAACAGCTTTCCAGAGATATAACTCACATGCAATTCACCACTTGGAGTGCACAATTCATTGTTGAGTTTTGTTTGTATGTTCACCGGATTGTGAATTTATGATCTAATTTTAGAACGTTTCTTCTCCCCACTAAAGGGAACCCCATGTCTCTCAGTAGTCAATGCCAACTCCCACCTCACCCCACCACCCAGCCTGAAGCAACCAAGCCTATTCTTGGTGTCCTATATAAATCGAATTGTATAATATGGGCCGTTCTATGACTGGCTCTTTTCCTCGGCATGATGTTCTTCTCCCATGTAATAGCATGTATTGGTACTTCATTCCTTTGTATTGTCAAATAATATAATACTCTATGGCATGAATATACAGTATATTGTTTATCCCTTCAACAGTTTGTGATATTTCCACTCTTTGGGATTATGAATAATGCTTTTTTGAACATTTACATGCAAGTTATTGTGTGAATGCATGTTTTTAATTTTTTGGTGTATCTACCCAGGAGAGAAATTGCTTGTTCATATGGTAAGTTTATGTTTAACTTATTGAGAAAACACCAAAACATTTTTCGCAGTGCCCGCACTATTTTATATACGCCTGAACTTCTCTCTGTCCTGGTAAACACCTGTAGTGTCTGACATTTTAAATGATGGCCATGCTGGTGGGTGTGAAGTGATATCTCACTGTGGTTCGGATGTGCACTTCTCTAATGACGACTCATGTTTAGCACATAATTATCTTTTATTGTATGATTTAAATGTTCACTGGATACATTTCACAAATATGTTTACCACTAGCTGTCCATGATCAGGGATGGAAACCTCTGCTCCGTAATGCCGTTAAACTTAGATGAAAGCTGGTGTAAGGGAGGGCACGGATGTTGCCACGGTGCCATTCTGAGCTGTGGAGCCCCCATCTGACATCTCGGTCCAACCTGAAGTTCTGTGTCCTCATTGCCACAAGGCCGACAGAGAGTCTGGCCTGTTCTCTCTCTCTCCAGAATTCCATAGCAAATTGAGAACCTCTCATTGTACAGAAAGAGAGGATTCGTGGAGGATTCCATATAGGTGATTTTGGAATATTTTTATAGTGTTGATTTTGATGGTAATGATTACTTTTTTGTTGTTGCAAGAAAGTCAAAGAAACGTGTGCGTAAAACAGGTAATCTCCATGGAGAGGTCTCACAGGCTGGGGTGGAAATTCTGATGTCTGAGAGGAAAGGCCACACTCTCCTGCTCCAGTGATCTTGAGCCCAAACTGGGTGACTCCAGATCCAGTGCGTTGAGAGGCCAGTGTCTGAACTGTGAGAACAGAAGGTTCAAGGTCAACTTCCCCTGGTCTTACAGGAGCCAAGAAGAAGTGCATACAGGGTGAGGATGGAACATGGTTGACTCCCGGAGAATTTGAAATCAGAGGAGGTCGTGCAAGATGGAAGTCCTGGAAACGGAGTTTGTACTGTGGTGGGAGAGCCCTACTATGGCTGATGGAGGTATTCTAGTGACAGGAGGCTTTGATGTGATTTTCCTGGTTGCACCCTAAGATAATGTCATTTTTCATTGAACAAATATCTGCTGAGTTATAGTTAAAGCCTCAAGGCCCCTGACTTTATCCCTTCCCAGGGAGAGGCACCCCGCACTCATAGCTCAGTACAAGGGAGCCCATCGATTTCTGAAAGGGGCTCTGTTGGGGTGGATGCAGGAGCCTGGAGGAGGGAAGGTCATTCTGACTCCGGTGCCTGCAGACAACTTTAGTCTCTGAAAGAGAGAAGACGTTCCACAGTCAAACAAGTGGGCAGAAGACACTCCAGAGAAAGAATGGTACAAAACCCAGAACCACAATAACTGTGACTCCATGGGTTGAGGTAGAAGGACTGTGTGATATGACATAACCCATCAATTGGGGCTATTTGGGCGGGATCTAACACCAGGATACGGAGTTTAATCTCCTAATGTAGACAATGCAAAACCAGGGAGTCTCCTGAGGTGTGAAATGGCATATTATAATAGTATCTCAGACAACATGGGGCTCTGAGGTGATTGTACTTTCTTTCTACTCAAGACACCTGTAGTCAACCTGCAATGTCTCAATGTTCCCTGACTGTTCTGCCCTGGTCATCCCTTCCCTGGACCCCTGAGCTTACTAGTAAGGCCCTTCTCATACTGTTTTATTCTCATGCTTCCATGCATTCCCTTTGTCTCTGTAGACCCCTCTCAGGTTTGTCCATGTTTAGGAGCTCAACACTGTCCAGAGTGTCTGACACCCTGTAGGTGTGGGACCCGTGTGTGTCAGCTGAATAGCCCTGGTGTGAGGAGGCAGGTGTGCGTGGCACTGGTGGGAATGGCGAGGAGGGGAGAGGTGTCAAAGAGATTGTGGAGGAAAACCACTGAAAACTTAAGAAATAGCACAAGGGGAAGGAAAATTGTTCCAAAGATGACTTTCTGGTTTCCATGGATGAATTCTAGAGGAAGAACAGGTGAGGAGAGGGAGATGGTGTCTCCTTTAGACACCAGGGCTTTGAGGTGACAGTGGACCATCACGACAGAAATATTTGGGAGGAGGCAGGAAATGCCAGACTCACAAACCAGGAACACAGGCTGACCATATCCTTGGATATTTTTATTTTTCAGAAAGGATTTCTCTATAATCCTCCAAGAATATACAGAAGGAGAAAAAAGGTAATAATTACATAAATTACTGCAAATTTTTTATCACATAACTGATTTTAGATACAAAGTGTGTTATTTTATGGTTTCTCAATTGGATAATTATAATTAAGTACCGTTTTTTGTGTGTGCCTTCAGAGTCGCTACCTTGAGCATTATGTGGTATGCAAAGTCTTTGAATAACAAACCTTTGTGACAGAGATGAAAAGGAGATATGAAAATAGACATCAGTTGAGTTTTAGGTATAGATACAGATGTGGTAAGGGTGTCCAAGCTGTAGAAGCAAACCAAATTATGGAATACACAGAAACAATTCATAATAAAGTCACAGGGTCACCTTCAAATCACACCTAGATATTTTTAAAATCAAAGTTATTATTTTCTAACTGTATTGAAATCTGGTGGAGTAAAGTTTGCTCACCACCATGCAGATAAATCCATCTAGTAGGTAGTCTATCTTGGGACATATATGAACCCATACACCATTTCATGATATAGGCAACAAAAAAACATGTGTGTTTTGTGATAGTTTACTTCCCCTTCCACATTCCAATAAAGTGTATACAGAGACACACAGATTCTTTTTCAGGGTGCAAACTATTAGCCTTCCATGAAGCTGCTACTTTTGGGGAGGAAGCTTTTGGAAGATCCATGTATATAGGAGGACCTGATGTGGAAATTGTTTATTGTGATGCTGCCCCTTTGGCTCCAGCAGAAGAGCTGGACAGGCCTCCTTTCTGTCTGTGAAAGTGTTTGTCCCTCTGTGGAAGAAGGCTGTGGAGACAACAAATACGTAAGGTGCAGTGTAGATTCAGGACACAGTGATGGCTCTTCCAAGATGGGACATGAAGAACTTGAGGTAGTGAGGGAGGAAAGAAATCCCGTTCTCGTATACTTCAGGTAGAAATGGCATTCTACCTGAAGACATTCTCAGAATCATCCTAAGGTAGGTGAATAGCGCTGGCCAAGCGAACTACATCTTCCACTGGGGATGTGAGGTCCAGGCCTGTACTTTGCCTGAACATCTGGCTGATTTAATTTCATTCACTCAGTTTCCTAATTGGAAACCACTGTTAGACTCATGTAGCGAGCATGTTACAAACCAGCATGTGAACCATTCCTTCAGGGTCAAGAGTTACTCAGTTGGAGTCCCTAAGGGAGCTGGCAACTTCCTAACACTAGGTTCTACCCGCAGTTATGAGTCAAATACTTCTCAGCGCAAGGGGCAGTTGCCTCTGTATTTTGTGCCTCCTTGAAGGAGAACAGAAGCTCCCAACAGTGGCAGATCCAGGACCCATAACTGCCTCTGTGGGGCGTCTGTGTCTGCCAGAACCTCTCTTGCTGATGGAGCCTGCTGTCTTCTGGAAACTTCAGTGTCACTGTCTGCACTACATGACAACTTCCTGCCTCCTGAAAAGGGCCTGTAATATCTCTCGGTGACAACTTCTGTTTTGTGAAATGATATCGTCCTGAAGAACAATCATTCACTCTATGGTGATGTTTGCTTAAGAAATAGCAAGTAATCTCTTTTCCTAAATGCAACAATACTCATTCATTCTCTTGTTGAATAGAAAGTTGTTGGGTTCATACTAAATGCCCAATATCCATTAAAGAAGAATCAAACACTGTCCTTGACCTCAAGAATTTTTCAGCGTCACTGGCGAAGAGGGAAGAATGAATAATGGGAAGGGCTGAGGGAACCTAGGCCACCCACAGAGGTGGGCAGTGACATGGCCAGTCTCAGGTGATTTCCCAGTGGTTCACACTTGTCTCTGACCTCTGCCCTGGGGTGGAGAGTAAGTCTGGGGCTGTCTGAGTCCAGGAGGGAAGTCATTCTACTGAATGTGCACAGCAGTGTAAGTCTAGTGGGCAGTAGTCAGTGACCTCAATGCCACCCAGCTGACATCTTGGGATTTGAATGCAGAGGAGAGGAGGGTGACATTCTGGAAGAAGAGCTGCCACACTGGAGTCCTTGACCACAATTTATCTTTGAAGCTCCACCCTCGGAGAGCTTCAGAATGTGATGGGATTCTTCTCTGGGTCACTGGCATGGATTGCAGGAATCTGGGCTCTGTGGTTGCTGGAGGCTGTGGACGATGAGTCCTCAGCTTGTCCCTCCCATTGCAGCTCTTCTGGTGGGATACCGAGAAGAAAGCCCGAGGGCCCCTCAGAGTGGGAGAACAGAAGAGTCCCTCCATCCCATCTGTGAGAGCTGGGCCACACTCCCTGCCTGACTTCCCAGAGGCCCACCTTGGGTCTCAGTGCCAGGGAACGTATTAGCTTGAACCCAACAGTGCTACTTTGGCAATTTTAATTCTCATTGTAGATATATACCTCCGTAAAAGTATGTATGAAATAATGGATAGACTGTGAATGGAATGCCTCCAAAAATGGCTATTTAAAAAAGTGGTGGATAGACACTTGACATTCATTATTGTCACTCAATCTTTCTCTTTTTTCAGCAGAAAATACCAAAGTCTTGCAACAGCATCATAGTTGACCTGTGTGTAAGTACCAGCTCCCATGTATAGCCCCAATATAATCTAGGCGTTTCCCCTTGGCATTTTACCTGTGTCGTTGTTGCCTTTCCCTGAACTGTGCTCACACTCAGCTGGAACATGTTGCTGTGTGTTTTGAGCAGAAAACAGCAGATGCATCACACATTTGAGCTACGTGTTCTGGAGTTGGGTGTCTCAGCATGAAAGCATTCTTGCCTTTGTTGGTGGAAACCTTCTTGTTCTTCCCTGTTATTATGGGAGGCAGAGTTCTAGTCCATTGGGTTCCCTAGAGATGGGACTTGAAGTAGAAATAGGCAGGGGAGACCTGCAGATTAGAGGGAAGGTGCAAATTTGAGAGGATAGCGGTACTTTAAAGAAGGCAGAGGGAAGGAAGAAAATGCCAAGTATTCAACCCACCATTCAAGCAGAGCTAAGATGGTTGTATGCATCAGGCGGGTGGACATGGCCAGGCCAAGCCGACAAACTGAAGATAAAGATGCTGTGATGAGTCCCGCTGAGACGTGTATGCAGGCCAGCTGGGTCCTTTACTGGGGCCCTGCATCCAACCTCAAGGGAGCCATCCAGGTGCTGAGTTGGAGGTTAGGATAAAATGCATCATCACTTAGCAAATCACAGGCATCTTTAATTACACTGATACCACATGGCTGTCTGCTTTAGGTCCGCCAAATATATGGCAGATTCCATTCTCTAAGTTTTATCATACATCACTTTCTTTCATTGTGACAAGATGATGTACACTTTAAGCAGAGTCGCCTTTGCACAACTCCAGGGGGCTGCAATCCAGAGGATGTGATGCAGTAATATTGATACATGATATCCACAGAGGAGGGATAGTGAAATAGTTTACATACACTTTTCCTCCAAACCATCCACCAGTAGAATTCAGATCTTATCTCCATTGATTTTGGCCAGCTCGGGAGTCTATGATCATCTCAACAACCCTGGAGTCCAGCGTTCATGTGGCTTGTTTTGGATGGATGTAGACACAGGGAAGGGTCCCATGGCCCAGGGCTGAAGGAGGACGGGGTAAGAGTACCCACACTCCTTTTAGTCTTGTTCCTGGAATAGCCATTACAGGCCAATTCAACATCGACTTACAGTATCCCCAAGCCTGGCTATCCAGACTCTGCTCTGGTTCAGTCTTAACTTAGGTTGCACACTGGAGTCATATGAAGACCTGGGTTACCCCCCGGAGACAATCTGATTTAATCACTCTGTCCTAGGATTTGTACATAAGGATTATTTAAGAGTCCCCTGGTGATTCTGATGCACAAAATTACCCATTTAATGACTCTAAGAAGAATATCAATGCGTATAGTCACCCAGACCAGTTGATTCAGAATCTCTGGTTTGGGGGCCAAGGCATTAGTATTTTGTACCCCCCCCTTTGAGGATTCTATCGTGTAGCTGGGCAAAGATTCAGAGAGATACGCTCTTGAAGAAGACTATATATGTGAGATTCTGAAACATCTGTTATGTTTGTCATTACTTGTTTTGGCGAGAAGGGTCATCACTTTTGGAGAATGATCCTGGTAGTCCTTGAGTGTCTGCACTGGTAGGAAGAAATACAGCCCAGGGCTCCCCATTAGAGCACCTCAGGCCCACTGAGGGTGGCGGTGTCAGGACCCCCCAGGATGCCGAATGGGAGCTCTTGGCTGGGTATTCCTTGGGGCTGTGCCCCCTCATCTATGACCGTTTTAGCAACAAAAGCAATGGCCAGAATCTCAATTCAGCCAACCCAAGTATTTTCCACCGAAAAACCACTAAAAAGACTCAAAACATTTGTAAATTAGTGCCTTTTCACCTTTTATTACTTTGCACACTAAGAAGTTGTTTCCATCTTAACAAATTCTCAATACACGGCCATTGCCATTGGCCATCCAATATATGATGCCATTGTGGTACAGACAAATAGGCTTAACACCACTTCAGGATCTTATTTTACCTGCAGGGTAATGACTTTACTCAGATCCCCATGAGATCACCCTCTTGTTTTGTTGCCTGTCTTTCTGTGTTAGGATCTCTGGTTTTATGGGAAAATCTTCTCTGGTCTGGCACACAGGCCAGTCCTCCTGAACTTCACTGCAGATCAAGAATCCTTCTTCTGAAACCCCCGTTCCATGCTGCCCCTTCTCAGCTCAGGAGAAACACACCAGTCCCTGCACGTGGCACAAATGCCATGAGACTTACATTCCCACAGCGCTAATCATCAGGGGTTCATGGGTATTGCGGTCACTGTTTTACCTTCTAGGAGAGAAATTCAGACATATGTGAGATCTGCCTGGACGGAGGGAAGCTCTTCTGCTGTGATACTTGTTCCAGATCCTTTCACGAGGACTGTCACTTACCCGCTGTGGAGACTGAGAGGTTTGTGCGATTCAGCCCCCCTCCCTTTTATAGACCCTTCCCCCTGCCAGGCACGCTCCCCCTGCAAAGTTCCTTCTTGTGACCTGATGGGGACAGAGTGGGGTCAGAGCTACGGGGTCCAGCAGTATGAGCCCGGCAGCTGCTGAAAGACGCTGGCAGCAGGAGGGGAACATTCTCCTCTCTCCTCTGAGAGGGAGAAGCTGGCAAAAAGAAGCCCTTGCCAGCATACTGGTACTGTCTTTCCAGAACTTTCTGAGCACAGACTATGAGTTATGGGAGTGGAAATGCCAGTTGCTTGTGTTCCGTACTTATTCAGAAAAAGCGGAAAACATGGCCTGTTTCCCCATTTCACCAGCTTTCCAGCTGGCTGATGAAGGCCTGAGTTCCCCATGGGTTAAGTTACGGTCCCGTCTCTGACACTCAGGCCTGGTGAGCAGAGCTCCTTGGGCTCCCAGCAGGTCAATGGGGAAAGGAGAGCCCGCCACCCACCCTGACACCGCCCTCCACCCACTGACCCCTGCTTTTACCCTTGAGGATAGAAGGTCATCAGCTCAGACTGCACATGGGGGTCTTAGAGTCCCTGGAGGGTGTTCTCTTCTGGCCCCTGCGGTGCCCATCAGCCATCCTGAAAGAGAGCAGTGGCAGCCGCAGGAATGGTGGCTGTTCCTGCGCTTTGCCCGGCTCACGTTGCCCGACCCCTCAGGAGCCCGTGGAGCTGCATCTTCTGCAGGATAAAGGAGTCTTCAGGAAGCCAGCAGTGTGGCAGGGAGCCCGAGGTCCTGGCCAGGCCGATGGGGCCTGAGGAGCAGCTGGTGAGTCCGGTTCAAGCCCCAAGCCTTCTCCCTTCTGCCCACCTGTGAGAAGCCAAACAGCGCCAGGGTGACAGGCAGGGTGTCAGAGCGCGCCTGCTCCTCGGGCCACGTCTCAACCACAGTGAAAACTCCCCAGAACCTGCTTGCGGAAAAAAATAGTTCAGCCATCACATGACTGTTTCATAGAGCGAAAGCTGTTTGGGGAAACTCCCAGGAGACTGGTATGGGCACGTCTGCCCATATATGGCCTCCTTCTCTCCAAGTTGCTTTTCATTGACATCCTCCTTCTTTTGTAGAAATGTGAGTTCCTCCTCTTGAAAGTCTATTGCCATTCAGAGAGCTCATTTTTTGCGAAGATTCCCTATTATTATTATGTGAGTAGCAACAACCATGATGTTGGCTGGCCTTGACAAGGGCTCCGGTGGGATTTGTGATGCGGAGCCCCCGGGAGGGGGAGCACGAGCCGCCTTTGTCTGCACGTTGGGTTTCTGCTGGTGCGATGGGAATCCACGGAAGGCAGGCACGGTACTGTGTCAGCAATTCTCTCAATGAAAGTTTCCTCCCCCAGATTAAAGAAATCTCCCAAAACATCAAGGAACCCATGTGGTTGGACAAAATTAGAAAGAAGCTAAGCGAGCAGGGTTACCCTCAGGTGGAGGGCTTTGTGCGGGACATGCGCCTCATCTTTCAGAACCACAGGGCATCTTACAAGGTAAGTGGCTCTCTGTTCTTCCATTTCATTATCTGTCCATTGAATCAGTTGGCCCTCATTTCCTGGGTCTGGAAAATTTTAGAATTTCCCTCATCTTGTATTATGAGCCTGTCCAAGCAAGAGTTCAGGAAGTGAGTGAGTTTTAAAGCTCAGGATTTCAGCCCACCAGGGAGAGTGACAGTGAGTCAGGGGGTGTCCCTGCAACCAGAACCCCACGCCTTTGACAGCCCATTCTCCTTGGAAAAGGTGACAGGTGCCCACAGAGAACAGTCACGTCCTCCCTGCTCCAATCCAAGGAGGAGGCTGTGTCCTAAAGTCATGATGTTGTTTTTGTCTTTCCCCAAATACACTCAGTGAGACCTCTGAGAAACCCCACACTGCAGAGTCTTTTGCGTGTGAATGTCCATGTAGTTAACAGGGGTCACCAGAGGGGAACAATGTGACAATGTGAAAGGAAGGTCACTGGTTGAATTTAATATTTGGTTGTTATGAAGAACATGTATTCGTTTTCTGTCACTATAATAAACAACCCAAACCAACAAGTAAGACAATAGATTAAAGAAGGATAAAAAAAATAACCAGCTCCAGAAGCTTCACAAAGCAGTAATAAACAGAAAAAATCCCCACATGTGGTCATCATTGCCCATTTTTGTCTAGTTAACATGAATTAATTGTGCATTAGGACACAGAACTTACTCTTAGCCATGGGAGTGTTTTTCTGTCTTAATCTGGTTAATGTGCCGTAGGTGTTTAAGGCAATAATTCTTGAATGCAGTGCGTGTAAACACCGAGAATGAGTGGCGCTACTTTTGTTGTTATTTATCTTTCTTCCCAGTACAAAGACTTTGGCCTAATGGGCCTTAGACTGGAGGCGGAATTTGAGAAGACTTTCAGGGAAGTGTTTGCTATTCAGGAAACAGCTGAGAGCCATTCACCGGAGTAGTGGATGCTGCTGGTTCCCTGGCCCCTCCCCTCTGGGGGCCGACTTCTCCTGTCACAGCTGCTGTGAGGGTGGCTGCCAGTCCACCTCTGAGGGGCATGATTCGTGCTCCCCACTGGGCTCAGGCTGGAGCTACTCCCGGCCGGCCGAGACCACATCCTTGCTTAGCTCCCCCCACCCCATGCTCTCCTGCTTCCCTCACCCCTCCTCCTCCTGAGGGATTCCTTACAATAAATCACTGTTGAAGGGACTTGATCTCAGACTCTTCCTTTAGGGAACAAGGGTAATAGTCCTGGCCAGCAGGCCCTAAGGATGGGGCTTGCGGGTTGGATCGCTGTCTGGCCAGACGGTGACAAGCAGAGTATTGATCCGACATTCGGGGTGCTATATCAGTGTCATTGACCAAAGTTCCCCTGTAGGAATCTGGATGAGAGAGAGCAGAAGTCCTGGCTGGTACAATTCTCTGGCGTTGACAAAGGGAGAAAGAGTAACTACAAGAACTGTGGATTTTGGTGGCTGTTGCTAAGTGCAATGAATATGTTGAAAAGAGTACAACAGGCTTAAATCTCCACCTCAAGCAATGAGATGCTTATACCTGCAGCTGGAAGGCAGACAGGAAGAAAGGTGTGGAGTAGACCTTCATTTTAAGAATGGAAGAATTTCAAGGAAGACAGAATTCTAAGCTCAGATGGGCTTCTTACTCCAAAGTCAAGACCCTGATATAGAAGGAATGAGCCCTGAAGCTCAGAATAAGCCTTTCTCATCCAGAAACATCCTCAAAGACACACCCAGAAATAATGTTCAATCTGGGCACCTCATGACTCAGCCCAGAAGATACATAAAGGTAACTGTCATAATCACAATGTGTTAATTGGACCTGATGAGCAGGAAGTGTTTTCAAGTCACATGAATTCCAGATTTTGAGAGATAAGCCATCCAAAAATCGAGAAACATGCCATTCGTGTATGTTTTTAGCTGGTCTATATTCTGGAGCATATCAGTATATCCTTTCCAAGCTCCAAGCTATTGTGCCTTGCATATCCTACCACTGAGAAGCACAATGCTTGGTAGGCCTCACCAGGTAAAAAGAATTACCATGGTGGACAGTTATCTGACAGTCATTTTAGGCTTTGGAATGTGTGCATTGGGGGTTTATGTTAATCATAATAAAGTGTTCTCATCCACATTTTTCACATGGCGTATTTACCTGTCGATAAGTAGAGTGTTGTATCACCTTCATCGGAGCGTTTAGTTTTCATCAAGCTTCAATTGCTTTTGGTGTTATGACCAATGCTAATTTGCATAGAGAGGCAGCAGAGCCAGGCATGTTTGGGCGTAGTCCTCTGCATGCTGGCTGTGTGTCTTTGGCAAGTTACTTACCCTCCCCATGCACCTGTGGGACCTGGCAATGCAGATGCTACTAGTGCATAGCTCACTGGGTCATTGGGAGGATTAATGTGTTAATATTTGCTACGCACTTAGAGAGTGGCTGACCATAAAGTGGTAAGTAAATAAACAGAGGATGTACAGCCACCTTGTATCAGTTAGGGCTCTTTGCCAGTGACACTAATGTTGTCTAGGTGAGACAAAAAGGGACCTCACTAATGAGATGCTCAGTGGCTCACAGGTAGGGCAAGAATGTTGAGCGCTGAGCCTACAGCCACCTGAGAATGAGGGCAGGAAGCAGAGCAGCCCCTGGAATTGAGCACCAGACACAACTGGGCCATCTTGTTAAGGGACTACTGCAGAATGAATGTTTTCCAACTGTTCCTTCAATTCCATAATGGACTTCACTCTGAGTCCATCTCCCCAAGATGGGAGAGTCCAACTGCCCTGGCCGGCTGAGGGCCAACATCTTGATCAATAGTCTCTCCAGTCATGTGCACAATGAGGAGATGCTGTTCCCCGAAAGAAAGCTGGGTGCTGACAGGGAAGGGGAGGAGGCTGAGTGGCCAAGGAAAACGTGGCTGACTGACAGAACCCACCTAGAGGACCCCAGAGGTGGGCCTGCTGTCTAATAGGAGGAATGGGGACAGTCCTAGGCTAGACAGAGGGGCCACAGAACCTGGGGTTCTTCCAATGGAGCCATTGGCTGTGGTCCCATTGCCCTGTGCTGTGGAGGTAAAGGCTGAGGTGGTCATCTTGCTCGAAGGGAGAGTGTCTGCCCCACCCCACTGGAGAGCCAAGAAAAAGGAAGGCCACTAGGCCTGTCATTCCTTTAGTTCTGTTTACCTGGACTCAGATGCCCGCTGTTTCCTATGATGCTGGGAGCTCAGTGGTGGTCGTACGTGGGGGGAGTGTGGCTGCAGGGGGACCTGGAGCCCCCGAGGCCCTGGGGCTCTCGGTAACCACCCGACACGGAACCTCCCAGAGGGGCTCCTCTGGGCGTCAGCACACAAGCTGCCTGCTCCGCTGGAGAGAACCGCCTTTTGTCTGAGAGGAGGGGACCTGGTATTCTCTTAGGTTCTCTGTGTAACCGGGGTGGGGATAAGTCTCTGTGAAGACAATATTGAGAGAACAGCTGGCTGAGGCTTCTGGAAAGTGAACAAAGGCAGCCCACTTTGAAGAGAAGTCAAATCTCACAAGCAGGCAGACAAGATAGTCCCTGTTCATTATCACCTGGCTTGGAGAGCAGCCGCAGGCTTGCATGGGGTGGCTAAAATTCGGTATGAGAGTCCGCTTTCTTCCTGGTAAGATGAGCCAGGGAAGAAGCTCCGCGCCCCCAGGCTTTCTGGGGAGAGAGGGGAAATTCCAGGAAGAAGAAACTCACAGGAAGAACCTCAGATTCTGAGTATGAGCCCTCCCCACGTCTCCCCAACCTGAGTTCCAAACCAGCGGACAGGAAAAAGTGATGCAGGGAGGGGCTCCAGGTACCAGCCTTCTCCTGGTGAAAGCTGGGTCCGGGACGTGGCTTGGATGTGGGCAAAAACAATCCCTAAGTCTAGATTGGATTTACTCAGTCAGCTTCCGACAGTTCCAAGCAACCACACGCGCACACAGGCAGTCCTCAGAGGCCGCTGTCCCTGTGCACCTGAGCTTGGAGGAGCACAGAGCCCCGGCCTCTCCCGCGGGACGAGCCCCGGGAGACCCACTAGGAGCAGACGCACCTTCACAGGGCTCCCAGCCTGAGCGTCTCCCCAGAAAGAAAAGCGTGGGTGGGGGGACCAGGGGTCGTGCTTGTTGACGGGCCACCTCCTAGAAGGCAACGTTGGTGCAGGGCCTGTGAGTTCCCACTTAGGTCCCGGTGCCCCTCCCCCTCCATTCCTGCCTCCACAGAGGCGCCTCGCCTCGGGTCTCCACCCTCAGCTGGTTTCTCCTGCGCCTGAATTCTCAGGTCTGGACTCCCTGCCTCGTCTCCTCGTCTCCGGGGACTAACCTCTGTCCCCGCAGGGTCTCCCAGGCTGGAGACTCAGCCCACGACTGACCTCTGAATGGACGCTGCTCCTGGGGAAGCTCAGGAAGCCCCTCCCCTCACTGCGCCCTCCACCCCATGACCCTCCTCCTTCACCGCCTCTCCTGCTTTCACGGTTTCCAGGCCCCGCGGCTCGGGCGACTTCCCTGGAAACAGGAGTGGTCCCTGTTGGAGTGCCCCTTGCCCCCGTGGAAAATGCCCCAGGCACTGCCTTCTTTCCTTCAAATCAGGACTGTTCAGGGGTCCACCCGCTTCTGAAGCTGGTCTCGTCTGCGTCCGAACCTGAGTGGGTCCGACCTTGTTTTCTGGATCAAAAATCTTTGCTTCTCCGCAGAGGCCTCTTGACCCCACAGAAACCAGTGCTGCTCACAGTGCGGGGTGTGTGCCCCGCTTTCTCTGGCCCCACGTTCTCTTCGGCCAGGGCAGCCCCAGTGTGGGAGTGTCCCCCCAGGATGCTGGCCCCCGTGGATTTCCCACCAGCCGACTGCTATCCACCTCTCCTCACACGGTGACCCTGGTGACTCGAAGCAGACTCAGGGCAAATCTGATACATTTATGGCAACCGCCACCGCGGTGGTGGCCTAGTCTGCCTCCTGCTCAGGGACAGAGGAGGCGGGCGGGGTGAACACTGGAAAAGGCAGGTGTCATCTGTGTCAGACTGTGTCTGGGCCATGAGTCCCACGGAGGTCGAGAGCACAGGACAGCCGTGTCCTCCAGAGGCTCAGCTTTCTAGTCTGCAGGGAGGGGGATCCCCGTGTGCGCAGCACCCGGGACACACTGAGACCCTGCCCGCTGGCAGAGGGCCTCGTCAGCGTCCTGGGATCTGCCCCGTGCTGATTAATATTCACTCCTGTGGGGGAAAGAAAGAACATAGGTGGAGAGAGGGTGGAACCTGCCCTGTATCTGACATGTAGTTGGGCAAGAATGCTTAGTCCCAGCTGGAGAGAGTTGGATGCAGGGAACAAACATGGAAACCAGCGCTCTAAGGACGGTGCTTCTCCAGCCCGTGTCCAAACACCGGGGTCAGCTCAGTTGGCACCAAGCTCTTCACCAACCTAAGTGATGATCTGGTTTCTGTCATTCTCTCTTTCCCTAGTGCTGTCTCCACAAGGACCAGGGGCAACGTGGAGCTCACTCGAACCCCGTGCAAACTCTTCACCCTCTTAGAAGGTTGGGGACGCTGAGGGCAGTGGGTTCACAAGGTGTTTTTGGTGTCTTTGCACATATGAGTGGACCCCTGGGAGCTGACCTTGCTCCCCTGGGAGTCGACCTTGCTCCCATGGGGGTCCTTTACTCCTGGCCCCCCAGGTCCTGGCTGTCCCTCCTTGTCCTCTCTTTCTGCTACCATATGTTCTGGTGGCTGAGAACTACTCTGGGGCGACATGAGGAGAGAGCACATGGTAGTGAATTTTACTTCTCTTTTCTCTATTTGGGTGGAGCCCTTTCTGGTGGGTTCACATGTTTCCTGCGCGGGGCTGGGCAACCACAGGCTGGGGACACCGGAGGGATGAGGCCCAGGCAGGACCTGGGGCGAGAAAATGGCCAGTGAAGGTGATGATCTCGACACCAGGTCAGTCTCTGTCTTCCTTCCTTTAACTTCCTCTCCGGCTGTGGGGCTGCTTTCGTGCCTGTCATTAGACCCTCATG